TCAATGAGATTTGCAATGTTACTTGTGCATACTGTTCGGTCTATTTAGCATTTTACAAAAAGTGCTATTTAGCATCACTTTTACAAGGTTATTTTTCTCATAAACTGAACCATATAACATACATTGGACAAATAGATGCTGCAAGCGATTATTTCACAAGAATGCTTTTATTTTAAATGCAGGAATTACGAAGATTTCCAACACTTCAGTCTGACATAGCAGCTGCAGCGAATGAAGCATTGGAAAGATTTCGAGAAGAAAGTAGGAAGACAGTTCTGCGGCTGGTTGATATGGAGTCTAGCTATTAACAGCGGAATTTTTCCGGAAGATTCATAATCTTGAACCAGAAAAAACTCCTAATCGGCCTGGTCAGGACAGTTTCACAGATAATCACCTCAGGAGGATTGGTATGTAATTTCCCACAAGCCATCTCATCACATGAATCACATATATGTTTATATTGAGTAAATTAGGACTTTGAATATCTCCTGTTATCTCCCATGTAATTTTCATGAGCTCTTTATCCTACAAGATTACGAGTTTAGTGTGTTGAACTTTCATTACTTTTGGGTCTCTTGCAGTGTTTGGATTTAAATTTCATAGTTCTACTTATTCTGGATATTAATAATTAATAATTTAACCTGAATTGATTTATTGACATGGAAAGGTCTGCAGTCATAATTTTTTTTTTCCCCCCTGGGGAGACGGGAGTAGATTTTTTATTCTGTAAATTTACTTTGTTCCTTGTTTCAGGATCAAATGTTAGTGCCTACATCAACATGGTTTGCGATACGCTAAGAAATTCCATACCAAAGGCTGTGGTTTATTGTCAAGTAAGGGAGGCTAAGAGATCATTGCTGAACCACTTTTATGTTCAAGTTGGAAAGAAAGAGGTACGATATGATATCTCCTGGTTGATGTTTGCATTTGTATACATAAACTCTACTTCCTTCCCGAAATCGTTTTTGCATGGTCGAGCAAAAAAATTGTTTCGTTGCTGGCATTAGTTTACTTAATTTGCAAGGCTTTCATTTTGTTGTGTCCACAGAGAACTTATTGAATTTCCTGGTTTTGTTGATCTTGATTGTGGCGCAAATCATGGGGTCTATGTCGTAAGATGTTAAATATAATGAATCTTGCGTCACTAAATTGGTAGATTAAACATTTGAATTTATTGACGGACAAGGATGAGAAAGGATACATGCCTAAAAGTTGAGTATGACCATAATTCAACTTTTTTTGTTTTTTCATGTGATTCTGACTGCTTGACCCCCTTATTTTCTTTTTGATAGATTTTCATTATAATTTTCAGGTAGTTTGGATCTTTTTGCTTCCTCTATATGTTGGAGTGTCGGACAAACTCTCGTGTCTGCCATATCCACTTGATATAATTCTTTTTTTCTTTTGTCCCTATGCCTACGATTGATTTGGGAACGCATGTGAAGTAATCTACGATTGAGTTGAAGTAATCTTGGGTCTTGTTTGGTAGGAAGCATTGAAAATTAGGGATAGGAATTGAGATTGTGATTGAGAAAATCTATTAAAAAAGTATTTAGCATAAAAGATTGTTTGTTATATGGAATTAACCAAACCCATATATATAGAATTGAGGAATACCATGGGGAAAGTACCAATGGTATTCCCTAATCCCACCTTTATAGGTTTGCCAAATCTCATGTAACAAGTAATTACTTATGTTAAATACTATTGGGAAAACCATATTGAAAGTACCTATACTTTCTCTCAATTTTTAATTTGGTACCTATGTGTTTTTTCCCCTTTAATTAAACATTTAATTTTATCTTTTTAACAACATTAGCTCTTATAACTTTGTTCTATTAATATTTTTAGTCTTAACATAAGGATTAATGATGTTAATAGAGGAAAAATAAAGATTTAGTTAAGAACAAAAAACACATAGATACCAAATTAAAAATTGAAAAAAAGTATAAGTACCTCTAATATGGTTTTCCCAATACTATTTTAATGATTTTTCTCAATTGTAATCCCAATCTTTATCCCTTATCTTTAATGTTTCGTACCAAACGGAACTTTTACTGCCTCTTTTTGATAACTAAAATGAACTTCTAAGAGGATTTCGTTCGTACCTGAACCCAAATCTTTTGTATGAGGGTTTATCAAGGTATAGTGTTAGACAATTAATCTGGTTGCAAGCATGATATTTGATGTCAGTTTATATTGCGAAAACCTTTTATGCTAATGTTGTCTGGTTATCTTTCAGAAGCAGCAGTTGGGGGCCATGTTGGATGAAGACCCAGCGCTTATGGAGAGGAGAACACAAATAGCTAAGAGGCTTGAATTGTACAAACAAGCCAGGGATGATATCGATGCTGTAGCTTGGAAATAAAGATTATAAAGGCCTGATTTTTTTCCTCATCTACCCTATGAGAAAGATGTGTCACCCATAGAATTTTTTATTTTTTTTACTGCCGTTCTTGATATTATTATTTTCTATTTGTAATTCAAAAACAGAACAGGCTGGCTGATGCAGGTCGTATTTGTACTTGCATATAATCGTTCTGCCCTTGTTTGTATAAAGATACATCAATGTTGTGATCTTATGAAGCCAACGAGTTGGTTCTGTGTGATTTTCTCTGCTATATTTATTATTTGCAGTTTTTATTTTGTTTTGACAACTCACTCGTGCTTCACTTTTTTGCTCCACGCCATTTGTATTGTAGTCGAATCAACATCTTAAGTGACATAGGTCTCATCCTAGATATCAACTTAATCTTACACACTTTTGGTACGGGTTTTTGGAGGGGAGGGAAGTTGTTTGGCTAGTATATTTTTTTTTTTTTAACTCCCCTTCTTACTTGGTTGAAATAACTTTTAGGGAGGGGAGGAGTTTTTTTCACCTTTTTATCCTTCCAGCTTTCTCTTTAGAAGTGGGGATTTTTTGTAGAAAAGATGAAAAATAAAATTTTTAATTTTAAAATTAACCTAACTAAAATATTTTACTTCCTCTCATGCTTTATTGATTGAGAAATAAAATTTTAAATTTCAAAAATTGTTTCCAAAATTGGAAAGTATTGTTAGGCCTGTCTTCTTCTTCTTCTTTTTCTAATTTTATTGTTTTATGCAATATTTTTTTTCACCTTGAATGCTTTAATTGAAACCTATCACTCATGGGTTTTTATCTTGATAGAATGGAAAAGTGAGAAATTTTATTTAACATCCTACGTGTGTGATAGTGTCATATGAGTCAAAGTTAATCAATTGCATTATATGTATTTATATCTTGATAGAATAGAAAAGTGAGAAATTTCATTTAACATTTATAAAGTTAGGGTAGTCAATTTTCTATTAAAACTAAATAAGGTATCATAAAAATTCCTTCTCCACGAGGGATCTTAAAATTCCCCCTCATTTCTCTCTGTTGAGCCAAACAGTGTGTTAATGTTGAAACTAATTTTTTAGAATGCCACTGCCCTTTCAATTTGGCCGATTCTCCTGAGTTAAGGCTGATGTTGTGCAACCTCATGTCATGCATCAGCATCATTCAAGAAGACGACTAAATATTAATATTCAATATTAGGGTTCATCTGGCCTAGTTTTTGTAACTTGCGTGACTAGGAATTAAAATAAGGAATTTGTCGCAATTTTCTACTCATGACGTGCAATCTATCGAATTTATAAAAACAATATACATATCTTTATACCTCCTGGTTACTGCCAGCGCAAACATTAAGCAGATATGCATGAAAAGTTCACAGAATATATACCATTTGGCGGGAAAAAAAGAAAAGAAGGAAAACTAAGACATACCTGGAAAGTTGACAACAGAATAAAGAGCCAAGAACATACGGATTCATCGTCTGATTTCACTGCATTCGATGAGCAATGCAGGTAAGGGCAGGTCGAGCTCCTTCTGTTTTTGATCGCTTGTAAGGGACGAGATGAGAGAGTGGGATGTCAGATCTGTTTGCTTTCCTTTTCTTAAATGTCAGTTTATTGCTAAATATTGTTATGATTCTGGTCAGATCTGAGCGAGATGGAAGGAAGTACTAAAAAACTGAATATTGCTGTAATTCTTATTGAAGTAAATCCATAATTCATGCTAAATTTTACGATCTAAGTCGACCAATTGGAATCTATGGCTTTATTATGAATGAGTTAGTTAATCAGTTAATTAAGAGACAGCTCTGTTAAAAATTACAAGGTGTTAAAAATGAGCTGGGAAATGAATTTGTGGTGGTTATGCATGACTACTAAATTTAGTTCTTCGACAAAATCGCCATAGTACGAATTAATATTATGAAATAAAATAAAAAGTTAATAACACAATGCCAGCAATAACTTGCTTGGCTTGCTTATGCGAAATGTGAAGAAAACGTAGCGGCTTTCGAAAATTCTGGATCGCATTCCAAGGATAAATCAAGCATGAGCATTACTTTTTATATTTTGTTGGGGACTGAAATTATTGTTCTTTTTCGTTGATCACAGGTAAAGCACATGTACAAGATTGTCCAACTTGAGGCTCACAGGTATTTTTCTAAAAACATACGAAATTGTCCACAGAATATTTGCCGTGATTATACTGCAGAAATATAGCTCTGAAAATTGTATTCTGTAAGAATTTGGTCACGCATGAAATGTTCAATTAGTGATCCAGGCTTTAAAAAACAATAGCCGTGAATCCACCATTCTCCGTTCAATTTATTGACTGAAGAAAATTCTTAAAATGTGGTACAACTTGAGAAGCCATTAAGGAAGTAGTTGGAAATTAAGCAAGGAAAGGAAAATCTTCATACCACTCTATTTCTAAATATAATCATTTGTAGAGAGAAATTTTGATCCTAAATACAAGTTACTTGTTGTATATTTAGTGTTTTTTTTTTCAATTTATTCTTGTTTAATTCTCATTTAAAAAAAGAGAGAGAGAATGAGAAGATAAAAGAATAAGTTGTAAACGGAGAGAGGGGAAAAAGAGGGGGGGAAAACTTTAATAAACTTTAATAAACATAAAATTAGAAAGATTTGACAATTTAGTATATTTCTTAGCATGTAAAAATGCGTTACAAGTGACTTGTATCAAGAATGAATTGCTATAAAGTATTTTCTACGCACAAAGTGATGAATTTGAAAGGATTAACTAAGGCCCCACATTGAGTTTAGGTATACAATGAAGACAGTTTCATGATTCCATATGGACGGTACTACTATGTCCAAGGTAAGATTCATCAAACTACATGGTTTGCAAATATGAAACCGATCTAGCTCTCAAGCGTGACAGGGTTTCGTCTTTACCATGAATGCGGAAATATGTCACAAAAAAAGAAGAAGAAGAAGAAAGGAAAAAAAAGGGAAAAAGTGTCGAAATAAGAGCCCTTATTTATTTAAAGAAGATTCGGTCTACAACGTCAACTGGTAAAGCATAAGCTGGATCTATTGGTTTCACTCCTGGATATTCAAGTAGTGAAAGTCCTGCAAGAACAAACATAAAACAAATTGAGAATCCCCAGCAATCTTTTGAAAAGAAAAGGAATCAGGAAAACAAAAACTGATGAATAAGAAAATGAACTAACCCATAGAGGTTAATCCTTGCCTCTCCTAAAGAATTTGGGTTTGATTCCTTTTGAGAGCATGCTAGAATTAAAATCTTATATGTGCCACTAAGGTAGGCGGAGAAAGAGAACGCAACTAAAGGTTGCCATGCCTAGAGAGGACATAGGCCTGGCTGACCAAAATAACAAAATTGAAGAAGTAAACAAACTAAGGCAGAAAGAAGATAGGCATGCCTGTCAAGATATGCTTAATTTGGAATCACACGTCAATTCAACAGCTACATAGAATGTCTGGCCATGCGAATCACTGATCGCCTTGAATTGTGACTCACATGATTTCAATAATCGCAGGTATGAGTAAAGAAAAATCCAGATTTGAAGAAAAGAATATGCATGAAGTTGAACACAACACCCCAAAACTATACATGTTCACCTTTCTTTATGGAATGGAAGAAAATTTTATGCTGAACACAACAGTACCGTATCCTGTGTGCAACTTCAACTTCACATATCCTCAACTTCAGAGCATCCAGACCGGAAGAAGACACAGAACAGAAAGCATGAATCGCAGGGAAGAAGGTATGATCCAATGAAAAGACATCCAAAAATCTTCACTCGGCCTAAATCAGACTAAGGTTAGGTTTCACAACATAGCACGCTAGTGTGAGTGTGAGAGAGAGGGAGAAGATTTAAGACCACACGCTAATTGCAGTTCACTTCTTATTTAATTAAGACTTGTTGAACTAATATCATAAATCTTGTCTGAACTTGAAGGGAATAACAAGATTCACTTGGATCTAAAATGAGAGTGACTTTTCCTCTTAAATGAGTTAGCCAGTAATCAAAGGTAGTGGCCACCACTGTCATTCTTAAAACGGAAAAATCTCGACATACTATATTGGATAAGTGGGGAAGTGCCCATACCACTCAAGACAAAAAGCCCAGAGGACAATAGATCAGCAGGAAAAATAATGAATATTAGCTCATATAACTAAAGGAAAGATAGAGACAGAAAAGTGGAGCAAAATTACCAGCCACCCCAAAATATGTATGGAAGATATCCACAGCATCATCGGGTCTGTCTGAAATTCCTCCATTTTCCGTGTCCTTCAAATTCAACAGAGAATACTTAAGAAAATCTAGCACAACCAAAATTAATACTTCCAGCAAGTAATCAGGAACATACTGATTCAAAATCACATGAAAGCAATTCCGCTAAAACAACCTGGCAATTTAAAATAAACTTTATAAGCTTCTCCTTGTTAATCCAATGAACCCTATCAATCATGATCAAGCTAGAAAGAACCCACCATGAGTAGCAAACCTGATATGATCCAAATCCAAGTTAGAGGAATAAAAAATGTCCAAATGGGCACTCATAGCAATACATCCAACTTTTAGTAGCTTTACTCACATCAGGTAGTTTCTCAGGACGGCCATTTAAACCTCCAGATTTGACTTGTCGCTCGCATAACCACCACCCAAGCAGGTCCTTGTCAACAAGATCCAGTGAACCCGTTATAGCAAGAGCTCCAACACAACAGAAAACTGACAGAAGGCAGAGATCATACTGAGCTTCAAATCTACAGGTCATTTTAAGGGCCTATTCATTTCGGCTTTTTTCAAGAAAAAATTGCCTTCCTAAGGAAAAACATAGCTTTTTAAGGAATAACCGAATTTGAGGATATTTTCTTAAACTTCTAAAAATAATCAGAATTAAAAAAAAAAAAAAACATATCTCTGATTAATTGGTTAAGGAAGGATTTCTTTATAACAAGTTAATTTTGAACTACAATGTGGCGCAAACTGTTGGTTTTTCAGGGAGGGGATGTTTTAAAAATAGATGTGAGATCTTTGTAATTTTAGCAAAATTAAGGAAAGTGAGAGTAACTTATTCTAAACATGAAGTAAATAATTCAAATTCTACACTAAGTCCATGAAACAATTAACTTTGAAATAATTCTACAGTACACATGTATTTGGAAACTGATATATTTGCCCCAAAATAGTCTATCACCAAACATAGCTTAGAAACATGCCATATTTTATTTCAAAATTCTGATTATGTGCAAGATCCTGAGTCATTTTCATTTCTCATTGAATAGCAATCACATTCATTTTGCAAGGAAATTCCGTATCAATGTATATAGCTGTAATCATTTATCTAGCTGCGACCATTGCATGTGACAAGATTCTGAGTCTTTACTTTTCCCCATTTTTCACTAGTTCTTCAATAAATTGGTGGAGCAAACATTTACTATCCTCCACATACTCTTTTCCTCCCTTAGCATGTGATTAAGAGCTTTACCCCCACCAAACACAATAATACACCTAATATTTGCTTACCAAAATAACCAATCATTATCAGACCATGCCAAAGCCTATGAGAAGCTCCAACGAAAGAATTGAGCATCAATCAGGATATTAAAATTGTAAAGATATGAAATATTATTGTAATTAGTATAGGATATCAGATATGATAGCATAGGATCAGATTAGATATGATACGATATTATCTCCTAATAATGAGCCATTAATGCCTAGGCTCCTCCCTTGTGTATATATCTCCTCATTCTCAATGTGAATAATACAAGAAACATATTTCATATTATTTCCAAATCAATATGGTATCAGAGCAGTCCGTTTAGGAGTAATTTCCCTCTGTTTGAACGTTGTTGCGCCGTACACGTACTGTTCCTACCGTCCAGCTTTGTGCCCATCATTAGGGCTTCTGTATTTGGCCTCTGAACGGAGCACGCGCCGGCCAGGGAGGATCGCACGGCGCCGACCGGCCGATCCCTGAAGTTTCGCGGCCGTCCGAGCAGCGCGTGACCGTCACGCGCCGTCACCCGCGGTGGTACTGTTCACGCGCCGCCGCGTTTTTCGCCGTCCGAGCAGTTCATCGACTTCGTCTTGCATTTTCCGGCGCATCCCTGGTACTTTTCAGGTCTGGATCTGTCCCCTGTGTGTTGATTCAGAGCTGTTTGGTTACTGTGCCTTGTGAACAGTAACGTTTTCAGACTGGTATTGCTGTTCCTGCCTTCTATAGATTGTAGGAGGTGTTGTTTGGTCCCTGGAGTGATCATTTGTGGCTACTTATTCTTTCCTGTCATTGCTAGACTTATTATCTCTTTTCTATTTATCTCTCATGGGTGATACTAAGTCTACAGTTACCTCTGAGGTGGTTCCCGTAGTCGTTAAGATTACTGAGCACAAATTAAACTGGACGAATTATCTAGATTGGAGTAAAACTATTCGTATCTACTTACGGAGCATTGAGAAGGAGAATCATTTAACTGAAGACCCTCCGACCACAGACACCCGTCAATCGTGGTTAAGGGATGATGCTCGGCTCTTCTTACAGATTCGCAACTCCATTGACAGTGAGATTATTCCTTCTATTTCTCACTGTGAATTTGTTAAGGAACTGATGAATTATTTAGAATTTTTATACTCAGGCAAGGGTAATATTTCTCGTGTTTATGAGGTTTGCAAAGCGTTTTATCGCGCAGAGAAGCAGGATCGCCCTCTCAAGACCTACTTCATGGATTTTAAACGGATGTATGAAGAATTGAATGTTCTTATGCCTCTTAGTACTGATCTGAAGGTCCAACAAGCCCAACGAGAGAACATGGCTATTATGAGTTTTCTCACTGGTCTTCCGCCTGAATATGAAACTGTTCGCTCTCAAATTCTGTCTGGGTCTGAGATTCCTACCCTTCAGGAGGTGTTCTCTCGTCTGATGAGGACTGAGAATCTTTCATCACTGCCTACCACTGCTCCTGTTAGTGCACTAATCAGTCGAGGCCAAAATGATGGTCGTGGAACGACTAACCGTGGGAATTCAAGGCAAGGGGGAGCGACTCCAGAGTCGAGTGGAGTGATATGCTACTACTGCAAAGAACCGGGCCATACGAAGCGTACGTGTCGTAAGCTGCAAAATAAGCAGCAACGTAATAATTCTGCACATGTGGCAACGCTAGCCAAGGACACGGTCACGATTTCCGCTGATGAATATGCCCAATTAAAATCCTCCACATCATCCGTGAGTGCTCCTGCTGCTACAGGTAATCAGGCTACTGCTCTTGTCTCTTCTTCCTCCAAATGGATCATAGATTCTGGTGCTACTGACCACATGACAGGTAACCGCCATCTCTTTTCCACTTATAATTCTTACGCCAATCCTTCAACTATCACTATTGCTAATGGCTCCCATTCCCGAGTAGTTGGATCTGGCACTATTAAACCTACCCCTTCTATTCCCTTGTCATCTGTGCTAGATGTCCCTGACCTTGCATTTAACCTGCTTTCCCCTAGTAAACTTACTCGCCAATTAAACTGCTGGGTCTCACTCTTTCCTGATCATTGCTTGATACAGGATCTTTTGACGAAGAAGATTATTGGTAGGGGCTATGAATCTGGTGGACACTATTTCCTTGACGAGCAGGGTTCGCATGCAGTAGCCTGTACCGGTGGTGTCACTCCCTTTGAAGCACATTGCCGTTTGGGTCACTTGTCTTTGTCTTCTTTAAAAAGGATTTATCCTCATTTTCAATATTTGTCATCTTTAGATTGTGAGTCGTGTCAGTTTGCTAAACATCATCGTCTTCCTTTAGTCTCTCGAGTCAATAAACGGGTTTCATCCCCTTTTGAGTTAGTTCATTCTGATGTTTGGGGTCCATGTCCTACTGTGTCCACTGCTGGTTTCAAATACTTTGTTACGTTTGTTGATGATTATTCCCGTACAACTTGGTTATATTTAATGAAAAATCGTTCCGAATTATTTTCTCATTTTTGTGCCTTTTCTGCTGAGATTAAGAATCAATTTAATTCTTCCATTGGTACCTTACGAAGTGATAACGCCAAAGAATACTTCTCTGCTTCATTCCAGTCCTACATGCTTCAAAACGGCATCCTCCATCAATCCTCTTGTGTTGATACACCAGCTCAAAATGGTGTTGCCGAACGTAAAAATCGTCATCTCCTAGAGGTGGCACGAGCACTTTTGTTTCACATGAAGGTTCCGAAACCTTTCTGGGCTGATGCTGTCTCCACCGCTTGCTTCCTCATTAATCGCATGCCCTCTTCCATCCTTGATGGTGCCATTCCCTACACCACCCTTTTTCCTTCCAAACCTTTGTTTCCCATTGATCCTAGGATTTTCGGGTGCGTTTGCTTTGTCCGAGATGTGCGACCCTCTGTCTCTAAATTAGATCCAAAGTCTCTTAAGTGTGTCTTCCTTGGTTACTCTCGGGTTCAAAAGGGCTACCGATGTTTCTCTCCTACTCTTAATCGTTATCTTGTTTCTGCAGATGTCACCTTTCAAGAATCCGTTCCCTATTTTTCTCCTTCCACTTCTCCTGTACCTCCTCCCTCTGCGAAGAGGATGATCTTCTAGTATACCCTGTTGTCCCACTGTCAACTCCACCACCTCCGGTTCTGGCTCCTGCTCAGCCTCCTGCACGACCACCCGTGTCTCATGTTTACACAAGACGTTCAAAGGAAACCCTTGTTACTGCACCAGGTTCTGCCCCTCCACTATCTGCTTCGTCATCAGATCCTGAGTTGAGTATCTTGCATCCTGAGCCGACACCTATCTCCCACTCCGAGACACCTCCGGTTCCTGAACCAGACCCTTCCCTTGACTTGCCCATTGCTCTTCGCAAAGGTACACGTACTTGCACCCATCCTATTTCTTCATTTGTTTCATATAACCACCTCTCCCCTATTTCTCGTGCCTTTGTCTCTTCCTTAGATTCTGTCTCCGTGCCTAAGACCCTTCATGAAGCTTTGGCCCACCCGGGTTGGCGTGCAGCTATGGAGGAGGAGATGGCGGCCCTTGACCAGGCTGGCACTTGGACTTTAGTTGACTTACCAGCAGGGAAGAAGGCTATTGGGTGTAAATGGGTCTTAACCCCTAAAACCCGTGCTGATGGTTCTCTTGATCGCCTTAAAGCACGCTTGGTTGCTAAAGGCTACGCTCAAACCTATGGTATAGATTATTCTGAGACTTTCTCCCCTGTCGCAAAACTTTCCTCTGTTCGTCTCTTTATTTCTCTGGCAGCAACTTATGACTGGGATCTCCATCAGTTGGATATCAAAAATGCCTTCTTGCATGGTGATCTTCTTGAGGAAGTTTACATGGAGCAACCGCCAGGCTTTGTTGCTCAGGGGGAGCGTGGGAAAGTATGTCATCTCAAGAGATCCTTATATGGCCTGAAACAGAGTCCCCGGGCATGGTTCGACAGGTTTAGTACTGTTGTGCAGAAGTTTGGCATGTGTCAAAGCAAGTGTGATCACTCTGTGTTCTATCAGAGAACAGACATCGGCATGATTCTATTAGTTGTGTATGTGGATGATATTGTGATTACAGGGAGTAATTCCTCAGGGATCTCATCACTCAAATCCTTTCTTAACTCTCACTTTCAAACAAAAGATCTGGGTCCATTGAAGTACTTCCTCGGAATTGAGGTTTTGAGGAGTAAGAAAGGCATACTATTGACACAGAGGAAGTATGTCCTCGATCTGTTAAAGGAAACAGGGAAGCTGGGGGCTGCACCAAACAGTTTTCCTATGGTTTATAATCCATTGCTTGATGCTGATGGGAGCATACCAGTTGAGAATCCCATTGATGCTGCTAAGAGCAAACCGTTTGAGAATCCGGAAAGGTATCGCAGATTGATTGGAAAATTGAATTATCTGACTGTGACCCGTCCTGATATTACCTATCCAGTCAGTGTACTTAGCCAGTTTATGGTCTCACCTACTATCAGACAATGGGAAGCCTTAGAACATGTACTTCATTACTTGAAAGGTTCCCCAGGTCGCGGGATATTATACAGAAATCATGGTCACACAGATGTTGAGTGCTTTTGTGATGCTGATCATGGTGGTTCAAAAGCCACTAGAAGATCCACTACAGGATATTGCGTCTTTGTAGGAGGAAACTTGGTATCCTGGAGGAGCAAGAAGCAAAATGTGGTGTCACGGTCAAGTGCAGAGGCAGAATATAGAGCTATGGCACAATCTGTGTGTGAGATAGTCTGGATATATCAATTATTGAAGGAGGTTGGTCTTAAAACCTCATTACCAGCAAAACTATGGTGTGACAATAAAGCAGCTTTACACATAGCATCTAATTCGGTGTTCCATGAACGCACAAAACACATCGAGATTGACTGTCATTTTGTTCGGGATAAGCTCAAGGAAAACTTCATTTCAACAGGACATGTGAAATCCAGTGATCAGCTGGGTGACCTCCTTACTAAAGCTTTAAATGGGGTTCGGGTTAACTATCTTTGTAACAAGTTGGGCATGATTGACATTTATGCTCCAACTTGAGGGGGAGTGTAAAGATATGAAATATTATTGTAATTAGTATAGGATATCAGATATGATAGCATAGGATCAGATTAGATATGATACGATATTATCTCCTAATAATGAGCCATTAATGCCTAGGCTCCTCCCTTGTGTATATATCTCCTCATTCTCAATGTGAATAATACAAGAAACATATTTCATATTATTTCCAAATCAATAAAAATAAAAGTAATTACTGATCTCTAACATACTTTGCCCAGCGTGAGATTCCCCACCCGGTGTGCAACCAAAGCCACCATCCATATTTTTGCAGCTTAAAATGTACTTCACGGCCTTCTCCACATTAATTTTATCCAAACAATGTAATATTGACAGACAAGATATGGCAATATATGAGAACCTGATAAAGAATTTGGTGAGCCTAAATCAGGATGACAAAAGGCACAAAAAGGCTCAATCTTCCAAGGTATCATAAAATAGAGATGGGTAAATTACCGTGTATCAACTTCGCCCCAAATATCCCCGGAAAAGGATCCATCTTCATTTTGCAGGCTAACAATATCTAACATAATTGTTAAGAAACGTCGGATCTAACATACTTTCTCGCCAAGAAAATATTTCAGTGATGGGGACTAGCTTTTTGTTCACAAATTAAAACTTTCAAAGAAAGAATTGTAATGATAAGGAACTAGTTTAGCACAGAATTGAAAAGAAATATATTCCCAACTAAAGATGCATATCCTGATAAGCAAACAGAAGCATCACAGTTGAATTATTGACCATTAAATACTTTACAAGAAACAAAGCTTCTGCACAAGAAAGGATCTGGGAATACAAAGCAGTTCCCGAGTCGAACAATATTTATATGCTAGAGGATACATTTTGTCACCTTATCCACATCAATAATGTCAAGCTTGTTGAAGAGAGCCAAAACCTGAACAGCACTTAGCGTATACAGAATGTGCGGGTCATGTCCAATGTTTCCACTAAATCCCCCTAAATATCACAAGCATCTCATCCAATAAAAAATTCACAATGTAGAAAGAGTCACTAACGAAAATTTAACGCAGACCCAAAGAAGTAAGAAATCAAATGAAGTCTTAATTAACCTGATTCATGTTGACAACTCATGACCCATGAAACAAACTCATTGACATCCACAGTGTCTAGCTTTCCCAGCAGATCAAGTGTAGTCAGTCCCCAATATACCCCATTCATTCTCAGGTGCTCCATTACCACAGACTCAAAGTCATCTTTCCTCTGAGAGCCCAGGAAAAGGATAGAGGAAAAATAAATAACACAAAAGACATGAAAATCTTAAGCATAAAGCAGCTTTGAAAGTAGCCAGCCACTCAAGATTACATCTTTTGTTCAGTTATAATGCATAAATGGGAAGCATACCTTTTCAGCAGCTAAAATATATCGAACATGTTTTTCAGTCACCAGCTCCCCCATCTTTCAAGTAAACTGCACCCACAAATTAATAATGACCTAATCAGAGATAAGTACACCATTAAACCCATATGTTCCTTCTTTTATAAGAAACATGTGGGAAGGTATTGCAACATACTGAGGCCACTAGTATTACAGATATTTATGTTTTGCTGAAAGGCAAATGCCCTGCACTCAATGATCTATTTGTAGCTCTAATATATTAGGCACGTCACAACGCCTAATCCTAACCAATAATATTGCAACAATTATGTGCACCATATTATCCAATTCTCAACTAGACTCTGAAAGCAGAGAAATAGTAAATTCAGTCAAGATTCACATTTCAACAATCATCAAAGATTCAATAAGTCGAGTTTATGGCTTTATGCATGAAAACTATAGATGAATATCTAATCCGATTCCCTCCCTTGCGGGGAACCCACCATGCCAACAATAAGGACGACTGTAAGCCGAATTATTAGTACTGAAAACCAAAGTACGGCCATCATGAATTTTTGAACACTAAACATAACTTGCAAAACAAATACTTAGCACGCCCAAAACAACAGTTTGGGCAGAATAATTCATCATTAAAACTTTGCGCATGACGGAACCGAGGCTGTATTTGTTTATGATATAAAAGCTCAGTTTAACCTCAATGCAGAGCAAGGAATGAACGAAGGTTAAACCTCAAGGAATAGAGCAAAACCAGTCGCAAATAAAGAAAAATGCGGAAAACAAACCTACGGACACTGCCCTAGCTTTTGAGAGCCTAGAGTCTCTCCCACGCAATATAAAACAGATGCCTTGCGGTCTATCCTATTCTCACAACACATTAGTCAGCCTTCGCCATATGCGGACCTGTATTACACGCGGTGGGGGCATCTTCCCCCACTGAAATCTTTGAAATATGCATAGTTGATAGTATACCCTATTAATTTTGGCTCTAGACACTTTAACGAAGATGCCTTAGCCAATTGATTCAGGCAACTCCTCCAAGCCACTGAAGAATGACAAATGATAACACCCCTTGTAATTTAAGATCTTCCAAATAATTAAACATAGCAAATTTAAAACAGAGCAATAAACGGTGCGACGGCGTCCGACGCAGAGTTGACAATAAACAGATGACACGTGGAACAAGTTCAAATCTAAATTCAACGCCAGATGTAACAAATCAATGTCCCCGGATTTCGGGAGAAGACAAAACCCCAGGATTCGTACTTTCTTCAATACTTGCCGGAGAACACCCAAGCAGGGCTGACAACGGCGGACGGCGAGCTCGCCCGAGTGTGGAATGACGACCAAAATATGAAATGCAACTCCTCCCAGTGGAGTGTTTTTATCTTCTTCTTTTTTCACTGGGTTAGAAGGGGAAATTCACTCAACGCCCACCAAATTGACTACTTTAGGAGGAGAGTAAATCGACTACTCAACAAGTTTACTGGTAAGACAATGATGATTTTAAGGGAAGGGTGTTGAGTGAGATCTTGAAGTAATTTTTCTAATTAGTTCATTTCCTGTTACATTGTAAATTTTTTTTATACAGAGAAAAACATTTTGGTAATTGTCATCCCATTAGCTTGTTACTTTGTATACTCAAGAATTAATTAACTAATTTAAATATATTAAGAAAATAAATTTAGTTATATATAATAAACATGAGTTGATTTTTGTAAAGTACTTTTGAACCGGGAACAAAAAATGGGATTGAATAGTGGGTCAAATCGAAATCAACTCGGGATCAAACCGATTGTATTAAAATAATATAGTTTAATTGAAAATAACAAAATACAATAATATTACTAATCACTAATAACAAAATACAAGAAAATATTATAATATTAATAAAGTATAGCAACATTGAGAATTTTGATCTTTAAAATTTTTCAATAATTAAAATCATTGATCTAAAGTCATAATTAAAATTTATTCAAATCTATAATAACTGGGATATTGGATGTTAAATAAGAAAAAATAGGACTAACAGCAACATAATTGTCCAAGCCGATTCATGATCAACTCACCCCTGGTTTGCTAGTTTGATGCCACTTCAGCATTCGAATTAGACCAAGACACTGACCGGTTTACCAATTCAACCAGATGTTTTTTCTTGCTTTTTAATCATCACTATCATTGAATAAAAATCCCTTAATATGTGTCAACAATAGAAATACTTTGATTTTGACAAGGAAAAAAAGAGATAATTTTGAGAATGACTTTTAAATTTGAGAGGCAAAATAAATTGACATCTTATATTTAAGATCAAATTTGATTTTTAATTAATTTTTATATTAAATATACGAGATAATATTATCAAGAAAATTGTTGAAAAACCTTCAATTACAAAAACTATCGTTCGAATGTAGCTAAAATTTGTGCAAGAAGCCGAATGCATTGGCCCTTACGCACATTTAGAAAATAATTTTTGCAATGGAAAATTTTGTCAACAATTTTACTAATTATTCAAATCTATTATTTTTATAATTATGCTACTGTCTTTTCAGCTTTTAACATTTTTAGGGCTTTTGCAATGGGGAACTCGTAAGTATCAATCATTGTCATTTCTTTCTTTCTTTTTTAAACCACAAAAATTTATATTTGAGAAATCATAACACTTTTCATAACGCTAATGCATATAAATATAAATATGATATCATATTATAAAAAACACTAATTAGCTTATGTACCATTTCTTTTATCGTAGATGCAATCGGTTATCTGCAACTAAATAACTAATGGCTGAGAGACTAGCACCGGTTGATTCAAAGTATATGTAGTTAATATCATAGGAAGAAAAAATATAAAAAGATGCACCCCTCTATCTTAATATAAAATCAATTTTATGAATCAATTTTATGATATAATATAATATCCATTTTGTAGTAAAATTAGTAAATACCTAAGTAGGCCTATCCTTAGTATAAAAATAATAGTTAAATTAGTTAATATAACTTTCTTCTAAACTATTCCAACCATCTTTTTAATTCTCTTCCTTCTTCTTTTACTTGATTATTATTGAAAAAACATCAATAGGATTAATTTGAAAAAAAAAATAATGATTATATGAAATAAACCAACATTAACTCTCCAATTTCATATTATATTAAGCATAAGAGGAGTATTGAAGAATGTAGCAGTAAACATCACAAGTACTATCAAGACGAATCAGAAGAGATAATTTGCCGAACCCAATACGGACACCAATCTCACGATTTTCACTGTCGTAGTTTAACTTCCCTTGAAGCGAGACAAGAACATTAACTTCCAAAAGCTTTGTCTACTCATAGTGTTCATAAGTACCAAATAGCTCCGTGAAAATACCCGATGCTGAAAAATAAAACTTGACATAATGAAATGTTCATTATAACAATATTTTGTAAGGCACTTCATAATTCTCACATGGCAATGAACAACAAATATCAAATTGAACCTAAGAATATCATTTATCATCCTCATTTTAAAAACTTGAGAGAAGAAAATTGGCGCTTAAACTTGTCCTAAAGTCATAACCAAACACTGACAACTAGTTCATTCTCCTGATGAGCTCATTTATGTAATTCTCTCTGTTTCCAGCGTCACCTCCTTCAACATAGTGGTTTCTCTTCTTCTTCAGTCCGCCTAAAGGTGCCTTGAGCTTAAATGGCCAAAGGAAGTTGTTGGCCTCCTTAAAGTGCGGACCAACTGTTATGATCTCATGGATAAGATCTTCAGTGCAGATGATTCCATGCTTGCCCAGAGCCTAAGGGGTGATCATCAGAGCGAGTTAGCAGCATGCAATCATTAATTTCAAATTATAGCCTCGCTCACAGCAAAGAAAACGAACAAACCTGCTCAACGATGGAGTTGTCAGTTAAAGCAACTCTCTGCTTGTCGACCTTACCATAACCCCTCTTGTAAATAAGTTCTCTGACACTCTTGAGATTTGGGTATCTGAAACAAGACGGGTTTTACTTTTAAAGAATATGAACATCATAAGCAAGACTTCAATCACAGGAGACTTCCATACCCATAAGTCACATATGGTTCGACTCTGTGCAGCATGTTCATTGTGGCTTTGTTGACTTTAAGGAATACACCATTGAAGATCTGTCCAGAAGGCCAATAAGGATGATTACATTGACTTTGTAGAGGAATACACAGATTTGCCAACACTATCTCTAAAACTATGTAAGAAAAAATCCCCCTAGATATGACATTATAATCTTAGTACCAACAGAATACAATATTTCAAGATTCAACTACTGTCTTCAATAGCTTAATTAAGGATTTCCTCAGAGGAATAAACTTTGAAATCTAGATGTTTAACTGAATGCAGAACCACACAACCAAAACATGCCCTATTGATCAATCATACAGACAGCCAACTACTTTCCGTTACGAGTATATTTACATGTTCAAACCAAGCTCCCACTAAAATTTGTGGTGACACGAAAACTTAAAATTGAATAACGGAAAAATCAATATCTCATTCTAAGGTTATCGTGGTACCTGTCTCAAACGCAAGAGCTGCAAGATCTTCCTAGTCTTTGGATGCATGGCATTGATACTGAAAAATCATAGTTTCTGTGCGTAAGAATCAGAACACATAGGAACTTGAGATCCATTACAAGTAAATGAAACACATACCCACGGATGCGAATAATAAACAGAAGTTTAGCTTCCGGATCAACATAAAATCCACCTTTAAGCTTTGCCTCACGTTTCAATCTAATTAGTTCCTTCTCCTAAACCAAATTTAAGATAAAAGTAAGGGGAAATCATGCGCCACCATAAATTAGGACCATCGACCAAGAATAAATGACTGGTGATATTTACTTGTTCCTCATACTCCTTCGCGTACAGCTTAGCTCTGTTGAAAATCAACTTACGGCTCTCTGCTCTCTTCTTCTTAGCAGCTTCAAGCTCCTGTATTTTGGCCAGTGCCCATTCCTCTTCCCTCTTCTGCTTCTTCAAGACAGACTCTGGAACGATAGACTTAACCTCCTCACCCATCTACGAAAGAAAATGAATGTACGAAGTTTGAATACGATGAAACAATACGAGGGCAATTCAGGCTGAAACATTAAACCATATGGGAAAATAAAGTAAACACTATCAGACACGCACAAAGCTTTATTCAGAAAACTTCAATGATCTAAACGAGGCGCAAATCAATGATTTGTTTTAGAACCGACAAAAACAAAAAGAAAAATGGCTACACCGGTCCAACACTCTTAACAACTTGAAGAACCATCTCACTTTCCCCTGAATTTGCAGAAAGCGGAGCAAAATAATACATAAAACAAAAAAAATATACACAGAACACAAACAAAACAAAACAAATGTTATCAATGGAGATTTATTCATCCAAGCTAAGTAAAAGGGGGGAAAAAACTTGTTCACCAAGAACATTCCGTTTCCTTCAGAAGTGAAATCTCAAATTAACAATGTAACAATGTAATGCAGTTAATTGACGTGAACACATAAATGCCACATCTAGATGGTAGATTTAGCCAAAGAGATGACCGTCAATAGATCATGGAAGCTGGAAAGAGTAATCCGGAGCCTACTCACCGAGTCTGCTCAAGCGTGGAGTCAGTCAGGCGCAGAGACTAGGGTTCAGGAGCGGCTGATGAGGCTGATGCATGGGAAGGATGTGGCGGGTTTTTGTAAGGTTCGTGAGTCCAGTTTTTTTTTTTGGGTCACGAGTTTAACTCTATTTTTGGGCCCAAGACCCACACATACGGCAACTAGTACTAAGGGCCCATTAGATCTAATACTTTTATTTAAGGGGTAATATCATTGTTGGTTCCTACATTTTGCCTTCATTTTGGTTTTAACCCCTAAAATTTGAAAGCAGTGTTTTTTATCCCCTCAAGTTTACTCTATTTATAACCGTTAGTCCTTATAGTTTAAAAGGGACTTGGAGCTAGTATTAACAATGTTAAGTTCGCCTATGTGTCACTAATGCCCTTTGAATTGATGATGTTGACTATTGATTGGGCAAGCTCCTTTGCTAACCTGGATATGTGATTTAAGCGACGTTAGTGATACGTAGGTGAACTTAACACTGTTAGTATTAGTTCCAGGTCTTTTTCAAACTATAAGGACTAACAATTATAAACAGACTAAATTTGAGGGATAAAAAACACTGACCTCAAACTTCAGAGAGTAAAACTAAAATAAGGACAAAGTATAAGGACTAATAATGATATTACCTCTTTATTTAATTTAAAAATATGTGAAGCTATTTTGACAAAAAAAAAAAAAGTGAAGCTAGGATCATCTCACTAAGTTGGATCACGTCAATGGAGCATATAAAATGACTTTGAAGAAAAGAGAAAATAACAAGAGCAAAAGTGTGTGGGTCACGGTGTAATTGATTTTCTTAAACTTGGTAAATTAATTATTTAGTTTCTATATTTGGAATTAGAGGGAGTAATTAATTATTTATTTTTTTCCCTTGAAAGGACTTTTATAATTTGCGTGGAGATTCAAATTCAATGTTTATATGGGCTGGGGAGAAACAAAATAGGTACTCATTGACAATAAGAGTGAGCTCAAACAAGGGATTAGAATAATGAACCACCAAGCACTTAGTTTAAATGTTATGGGTTATACTACCTTCGGTCTAATTATAAGACCGCATTTGTAATATACAAATGAGGCCTATAATTAGAACCAGAGGTAGTATCAGCTAGAGGTGTTCAATTTGTCCTGTCCCGGTAGGTCCATTTTGGTCCTAATTATCTTGAGACGGGACAAGACGGGAAAACAAAATTTTCAGAACAGGACGGGACGCGGGACAAGGTCGTCTCATCCCAGGATATGTAATAATTATTTTTTTTGCAAATATAAAAAATAATTAAAAAAAAGGAGCCCTAGATTGCATTTGTTACAAAATTATTTTAACTTGTCCACTGATTTCAAGGGCCCAAACTCCCCTTTTTTTTTTCTTGGCTAGCAATAGTGACTTAGGCCAACAAAAACAAACAAGAAGAAATTTTGATCGTTTTTCGACTTTAGGCAAAAAAAAAAAATTGTTAGGCTCAAAACCGAATTTAAAAAAAAAAGAGGGAGACGAGACGGGATACGGGATAAAAATCTTGTCCCGTCACTGTTCATTGGGATGGGATCGGGACGGGACCGTCCCGTCCTGTCCCATAAACACCCTACTATCAAGTTAATCAAAAATTTTGAGTTGAAGTCTCGTGGATACAACAATGTTAAATTAGTAGCAGAATTTTGATATCCTCTATGATTTGCCCAACTAAATTTAGACTAGTCTAAGCCTAAAAAATCCTCCAATTAGAGTGAGATAGATGTAGGATATTAGATGTTCCATACAAATAAGAGAACAAAAGAATCAGAGAACAATGAAAAATGGGATAGAGAAAGGAATTATACAAATTATAAGGATGATATAAATTACAAAGGTGAGGATTTGATATAAAAAAAGGAGCATATAAATCAAATATTTTAAGTTTTGAAACTCATTTTATCTAAAATTAGTATACTAAAACAACAGGCAATTTAGAATCCAAACAAACTCTCCTAATTAAGCAAGCTTTAGTAATAAAACATTGGTGCGGTACCTCAATACTATTGTAAGAGGAGAGTCGCGTGATTTCATATAATAGACATGAAATGCAGCTAGATGGCGGCCGGCCCCAAAAAAAAAAAAAAAGTAATCCTCAAAGCTGCCATATGTATATAAACCACACGATAAAAATATGATTTTCAACAAACGTAGTTCAAGTAAAATTAACAAATATGTCAAAATTTATATAAATGTAGTTTTTTGGAAAAATAAATATGTTTTTTAATAATAAAAATTCACATGAATAAAATTTTAAATTTTTGTCAAATATTAATGATAAAAAAATCAAATACGTCAAAATTTAATTGGAGAATTAAATCTGATAGACCTAAGTAAATGATATAAATATATGTATGTATGTGATTTCTTTTATAAAAAAATAACAACTCAAAAATGGAAAATGACCTGTGTATCTTATTTGTATTATGTATTATAAACAAAGTTTACTTCTCATGTAATGTAACTGTAACCTAACGTCGAACAAGTCATATGTTCCATCTTTAGTGTCTCTTCTTTCTAATTCGGTTTTAAGGATTTTATCCTTTCAGTTTTTATTTCTCAATAATTAGACTCCTCTCCCTGCACAACACAGATGTGAAAATTGCTTTCTAAAAAGAGTTCCTGCAAGAACAAAATCAAAGCAAATATTCTGTAATTCTGATTTTTAGTTATACTTATTAAACGGAATTTTATTTTAACATCTAATACTTTATTATAATTATAATTACAATAATAAGTAAACTTCTGTTATCTCCCCAAATAATAAAATGAGACACACGTCAAGTTAACACCTGAACTTCTTACACTTGACTCTAACTGCATCGTCCCCTACAATGGCGCGATCCGCTCTGACTGCAAAATTCCTCTCAAGCCACTTATTCTAAAACCTCCAATGAATCAGGCATTGCACATAAATACATGAATGTCTTCTGCGCCTCCCCCATTTTCTCCTTTCCCAAACAACATTATGCACTTCAATTCAATTCCTATCCTTTTCCCTTCCTCTCCATTGTCGTCCCCTGTTTATCTTTCTTCTGACAAAAAGGCAACCCAATTCTTTTCCACGACACAAGCGCTTTTCTCTTGGATGTCCTTTTCTTCCTTCACGTAAAATGCAGTGATGTGGTTATTAATGGCGTCCTAAACCAATACCATTAGTTCTCTGCTACTTTCTAGGCTGATTTACACGGGAAATGACATGGAGAAACCCCAACTCGGTTTTGGGGTTTCTTTCGTAATTTATCGTTTCATTTTGGTGTTGTCTGTGGCAATTTCGGCTTTGTCTCAGAATGATGCAGCTGTTATGAACATTCTTAAGAAGGCGATCAACGCCCCAGCTAGTCTCAGATGGACGGACACTGACGTCTGCAAATGGCAGCGTGTGGATTGCAACTCTGATAAACGTGTCATTGCCATCCAGATAGGGAGCTTGAATTTGCAAGGTGTGCTTCCTAAAGAACTAGAGAATCTCTCGGAGTTGCAACGATTTGAATGCCCACAGAACGGTCTCACAGGTTCAGTTCCATATCTATCCAAGACATTGCAAAAACTCGTGATCCGAGATAACAAGTTCAGCTCTGTCCCTAATGATTTCTTCAAGGAAATGACAATGTTACAAGAAGTAAGAATTGGAAACAACCCGTTTTCGCCATGGTCTATCCCAGATAGTCTCAAGGATTGTGTAGCACTTCAGACATTTGTAGCAACAAATGCAAGTTTGGTTGGAAGGATCCCAGATTTTTTAGGTACCATGCCAGGTTTAGTTTCTTTATTCCTGAATTTTAATAGTCTTGAAGGTGGCTTGCCTGCAAGCTTTGAGAATAGTTCAATCGAGGAGCTGTTGTTGAATGATCAAAATGGTAATTATAAACTTAATGGCACAATTAAGGTGCTGCAGAACATGACATCCTTAAAACAAGTTTGGCTACATGATAATTCATTTACAGGTCCAATACCAGACTTGTCACACCATGATCAGTTGTCTGATGTGAGTTTAAGGGACAATCAATTGGCTTGTGCTGTCCCATCATCTCTCATGGCTCTTCCAAGATTGCAGGTTGTGAATTTGACTAACAATTTCCTTCAAGGCCCCATTCCAACATTTAAACCGGGTGTGGTTGTTGATATGTCTGGGATTAATCGGTTTTGCACAAATATCCCGAATCAGCCATGCAATTCTGTCGTGAATGCTTTACTCTCTGTTGTTGAACCCTTAGGATGTCCTGTGAAATTGGCTGATAATTGGAAGGGCAATGATCCCTGTAATGGTAGCTGGAGCGGAATAGTGTGTGCTGGGGGTAACATTTCAATTATCAATTTCCAAAACATGGGATTGTCAGGCACTATTTCTCCCAAGTTTGCCTCCCTTGCTTCTGTCACGCAATTACTTCTTTCTAATAATTCACTCACGGGTCCTATTCCAAATGAGCTTTCTACAATGCCCAATCTGAAAAAGCTAGATGTTTCGAATAACAATTTAGGAGGTTATGTGCCATCTTTTCGTCAACCAGGTATAGAACTTAGAACAGAAGGAAATCCTGATCTTGGAAAACCTCTGAAATCACAGAGCTCAGACTCTGGAGGTAATGGTGGCCATGGGAACAACAGACTCATTGCTTTCATTGTTGGCATTGTGGTTGGCTTAGCGATTTTACTTGCTATAGCAGTTCTGGTGTTCCTTAGGTTTGTTAAGAAACGTAATTATTCAGGGAAGTTAGGAGGTCTAATAGCGAAGCTAATAGGTCCTCTTGATGGTGGAGCTGGAAAAGATATGAAGGTTAAGGTTCCAAGTCCTGGTGCTTCTGGTCAAGCTGATGTACAGGGTATGTTAATTCCAATTCAAGTTCTAAAGGAAGTCACTGACAATTTCAACAATGCAAACATACTAGGAAAGGGTGGTTTTGGCACTGTGTACAAAGGTGAACTGAATGATGGAACAAAGATTGCAGTGAAAAGAATGGAATCAGGATTGTTGATGGAGAAGGGACTGAGTGAATTCCGAGCTGAAATTTCAGTGCTTACGCAGGCCCGTCACAAACATTTGGTGGCACTTTTGGGATACTGCTTGGATGGAAATGAGAAGCTTCTTGTGTATGAATACATGCCCCAAGGAGCTCTTAGTAAGCATCTGTTTAGGTGGAAAGAGAATGGGTTGGAACCTCTGGATTGGACAAGAAGACTAAACATTGCCTTGGATGTAGCTAGAGGTGTTGAGTATCTTCACGCCTTAGCTCAACAAAGTTTTATTCATCGAGATCTTAAGCCATCCAACATTCTTCTGGGCGATGATATGCGAGCTAAAGTGTCGGACTTTGGATTAGTCCGGCTTGCTCCTGAAGGAAGACATTCAGTTGAAACTAGGCTTGCTGGAACTTTCGGATATCTTGCACCTGAGTATGCAGGTGAGTCGGCTTTTACATGCTTCTAAAATTGTGTTATCTGTGGCTTAAACTAAAAACTTGTTATTTGCACCCAAAAAAAAAAAAAATCAGTAAGCTCTGAAAAACGAACAATGTGCCCTTGAGCCCTTCAACATTATTATTGTCCTTTAAAATGTAAATCCATTTATGCATTTTCTGGCTAACCTTGAGAACTAAGAGAAGAAAAAGTCATCAGACTGTCATTTCTCATGTAGTTAAGTAATTAGTCCGCTAGAAATATTATGGTTAGCAGTATTTTTAGGTGGCATATAGCCAATATGAGAATATCATTTATCTCCCCAACTTTTACCTGGTAATCACATACAAGCACAGAGGAAATGGAAGATGACACTGAATTCACTCTTTACTCAAGCTCTTAATAGTCTGATTCAAAGTAATTAAAGATTCACAGTTAGATGAAAACTTGCACACTAAAATAATTATATGACGCGTGCATGCAGCAACTGGGCGAGTTACCACAAAGGTTGATGTGTATAGTTTTGGAGTAGTTCTAATGGAAATGATTACGGGGAGGAGAGTGCTTGATGATAGCCTACCAGACGAAGACTTCCACCTAGTTACGTGGTTCCGGCGAATGATGCAGAACAACGATGAGTCACTTCGAAAGGCCATAGATCCTGCCATTGATGCAGATGATGAAGCAACCATGTCCAGCATTAGGACTGTCTCAGAGTTGGCTGGACATTGCTGTGCAAATGAGCCCCAGCAACGTCCTGACATGGGGCACGTAGTGAACATACTATCACCTCTTGTTCAGGCATGGAAGCCCCTGGAGTCTAGTGATGATGATACCAAGTATGGCCTTGATGATCTGCGCATGAGTTTGCCTCAAGCACTCAGAAAGTGGCAGTCTTTGGAAGGAACGAGCACAACGATGACGGAAGGACCATCAGGTTCTCAATCATTTGTCACAAAATAATTAACGTTATGGATTCACAATTATTTATTTGTATTGGTAGCTCCATATGTTTTGACATGGACGATGATCAAGCTAATTAATTACCTCGAAACTAGCACCGATTGGCTCTGGTTAATGATATAGGCATGCTTGGGCTTTGGAGCATTTTATTCCGTTTTAAAATTGAACTGCGAGTGTGGGACAGGGAATTGATGAAACAAGAGGATTAAATAAGCGGGAAAAGCTATGAGCCCCACAAATAATAACCAGACGTGACGTTTCTTTACAATTTTAAGTTTTGTTTCGTAAGGGGTAAAATTGTTTTTTGAGCTAGACCAAACATCCCCTTTGATTTTTTGACCTTGGAAAGTGGAAACATCCCCTTGATAAACTGTTAGCTATTCTGCATTTTAAATTTTTTTAATTTGGACATCAAACTTTTTGCCGTTTATAATTTTTTTAAGAAAAGAATAAACATAAAAGCGTGCTTAAGCTTTTTTTTTTTATATTTTATATTACCCTATAACAGATACGTAAGATATACACACATATTTTTCTAATTATACTTTTATTTGTAAAGAGAGGACATGAGAGATAATGTTATGAACAGATAATAAGTTACATATATTTGATATATTTGATGCGAGTAAAAGTAAAAAAAAAAAAGTTTAAAATTTTAGACAAAGAAAATTTAGCTACTCCTCCGGTCCTAATTATAAGACCCAATTGACTTATTTGAGGAGATTAAGGAAGTAAGTTAAGTTGGTTATTTATAATAAATAAGTGTTGTCATTCCTAAAATATCCTTACTAATTAAGTATATTGGCTAAAACTATCATTATTAGAAGGATTATCTTGGAAAAAAATGCATAAATATAAGAGACAAAATGGATTGGGGTCTTATAATTAGGACCAAATAAAAAGTCAAATGGGGTCTTATAATAAGGATCGGAGGAGTATTATATTTAAGGTTATTAGTGTAAGAGAGATTGTTTATTATAAAAAAAGGAGCTTAGTATTATGTATATAACATAACAGACAAATGATTCAATAGGAGAGTATTAAGTTTTTGTTTCATTACCCCCCATATATTTATTAATGAAAAAGCTTCACAAAATTATTATTTCAAGTAATCAATCAACTCCATATATCTCTTAACTTTCGCGTGGAGACTGGTCTCATGAAGTGTGATGAGGGCGCGCTGGCAAGGCACGGACGACCAGCCGTCCCTTGTGTATATATTCCAACCTTTTTTTTTTTTTTTTTTGCCTGAATTTATATATTCCAATTTAGTAAACAGCATCTTCCGTTTGTTATGAATTAATCCATGTGTATATATACACACACGGAGAAAATGAACAAAATGTTAAATAAAATTATGAATAAAATGTTACATTTTTTTAAATAAATAAAATTAGACTACTAAATTTTAGCCATGACAATTTAAAATAATAATAAATATTTTATAACATTATTTTGTAAAATATGAAATCTGAACCGTTTAAATTACAATCTTAATTTTTAAGATGAAAAGTAGATGAAAATAGAGGGGAAGAGAAGTGGAGAGACCTTTTTCCATATACACACATACATACATATTTATTATTTAAACTTTCACAATGTTGTAACTTCAAAACTTTAGAGAATAATAAATTATATATAATTATGTAACACTTTTTTTTTTAAATGTACAAATTGATTATATATATTTATTAAATTAATTATAACAATATTTCATATTTTAATACTTTTTCATATGTAATTGTATATTAATGATTAGAACATAAATCTCCTAATTTTAAAATATTTTGACAAACTTTTTAAATATATTAATAAAAGAAATACAATAATTCATGCATATTAATAATTTTTAGGGGAAACAACTTGCTGTACGTACAGGGCAGAGTGGAAGGGCAGTTTCCGCCATTTTTGAAGATCAATAAATTGCTTCTCATCATTATCATCAAGCTTATTGTTAATCATTACGTTTCAAGAGGACATCGATCACCACCATCGCTATCCGTTCTGAACAAGAACACTTAAACGGAGTTCTATGTTCGTAAGCTAACTGCAAAATGCCTCGCCCACCACTTATTCTGAAACCATTAACGAATTGGCTGTTGCACATGAATGTGTTTTTTAACAACAATTCATGCGCATTCCTCTTTCGATCGCCATCCCCTCTCTACCTCATTTCGATCCTTCCTCCAACGAAAAGCGAACCCAATTCTTTTTCCCCGGAAGAAAGCAGTGATGTGGTTATTAATGGCATCCTTACACCCCTACCATTAGTTCTCTGCTTTCCTTTTCCTTTTCCATCGCTTGCCTGGGAAATAACATGGAGAAATCCCAACTTGGTTTTGGGGTTTCTTTCGGAATTCATCGTCTTGTTTTGGTGCTATCTGTGGCAATTTCGGCTTTGTCTCAAAATGATTCAGAGGTGATGAATATTCTTAAGAAGGCGATCAATGCCCCACCTAGTCTCAGATGGACAGACGCTGACGTTTGCAAATGGCGACAAGTGAATTGCAACGCTGGAAAACGTGTGATTTCCATCCAGATTGGGAACTTGAATTTGCAAGGTTTGCTTCCAAAAGAACTCGAGAATCTCTCAGAGTTGCAGCAATTTGAATGCCCACAGAACAATCTGACGGGTCAATTTCCATATCTATCCAAGACACTACAAAGACTTGTGATCCCAGATAACAAGTTCAGTTCCATCCCCAGTGACTTCTTTAAAGAAATGACAATGTTACAAGAAGTAAGAATTGGAAATAACCCATTTTCGCCATGGTCTATCCCAGACAGTCTCAAGGATTGCGTAGCACTCCAGACATTCATTGCAACAAATGCAAATTTGGTTGGAACAATCCCAGATTTTTTGGGTACTATGCCAGGTTTAATTTCTTTAGTCTTGAATTCTAATAGTCTTGAAGGTGGGCTGCCCGTGAGTTTTGCGAATAGTTCAATTGAGGAGCTTTTGTTGAACACACAAAATGGTAACTATAAACTCAATGGCACAATTAAGGTGCTACAAAACATGACATCCTTAAAGAAAGTTTGGCTACATGGTAATTCATTTACAGGTCCAATACCAGACTTGTCAAACCATGGTCAGTTGTTTGATGTGAGTGTAAGGGACAACCAACTGGCATGTGCAGTCCCATCATCTCTCATGGCTCTTCCAAGATTGCAGGTTGTGAATTTGACTAACAATTTCCTTCAAGGCCCCATTCCAACATTTAAATCGAGTGTGGTTGTTGATGTGTCTGGGATTAATCGGTTTTGCACAAACATCACAAATCAGCCATGTAGTTCTCTTGTGAATGCTTTACTCTCTGTTGTTGAACCCTTGGGATGTCCAGTGAAATTGGCTCATAATTGGAAGGGCAATGATCCCTGTAATGGTAGCTGGACAGGAATAGTGTGCTCTGGGGGGAACATTTCAATTGTTAATTTTCAAGATATGGGTTTATCAGGCACGATTTCTCCAACTTTTGCCTCACTTACTTCTGTGACAAAATTGCTTCTTGCCAATAATTCACTTATGGGCCCTATACCAAATGAGCTCACTACCATGCCCAATCTACGAGAGCTAGATGTTTCAAATAACAATTTAGAAGGTTATGTGCCATCTTTTCCTAAAAAAGTCATGATTATTAGGAAAGATGGGAATCCTAATCTTGGAAAACCTCTTAAATCACCTAGCTCAAGTTCTAGGGGCAATGGTACTAAGAAAAAGGACCAGCTTTCTACATTCATTGCGGGCATTGCCGTTGGTTTAATGATTTTACTTATTATATTGGTCATAGTTTCTTACGTGATTGTTAAAAAACGTAATTATTTTGGCAAATTTAGAGGTCTGATAACGAAGTTAATACGTCCTCGTGATGGTGATGTTGGAAAAGGCATGAAGATTTATGTTGAAGGTGCTGGTGCTCCTAGTCAAGCTGATGTTCAAGGTATGGTAATTCCAATTCAAGTTTTGAAAGAAGTCACTAACAATTTTAGTAATGCAAACATACTTGGAAAGGGTGGATTTGGCAGTGTGTACAAAGGTGAACTACATGATGGATCAAAGATTGCAGTGAAAAGAATGGAATCAGGATTGTTGCTGGAGAAGGGACTAAATGAATTCCGAGCTGAAATTGCAGTGCTTACGCAAGCTCGTCACAAACATTTGGTGGCACTTCTGGGATATTGCTTGGATGGAAATGAGAAGCTTCTTGTTTATGAATACATGCCCCAAGGAGCACTGAGTAAGCATTTATTTAGGTGGAAAGAGAATGGGTTGGAACCTCTGGATTGGACAAGAAGACTAAACATTGCCTTGGATGTAGCTAGAGGCGTTGAGTATCTTCATGCCTTAGCTCAACAAAGTTTTATTCATAGGGATCTTAAGCCATCCAACATTCTTCTGGGGGACGATATGCGAGCTAAAGTATCAGACTTTGGATTAGTCCGGCTTGCTCCTGAAGGAAGAAATTCAGTTGAAACAAGGCTGGCCGGAACTTTCGGATATCTTGCACCTGAGTATGCAGGTTAGTTGGCTTTTTTAGATTCTGTTAAAATTGTGTTATCTTTCTGTCTTCCATATATTAATTTTACCTTGAAATGTCTTTAGCTCTACACATTATACATAGATTATACAAGCCACGCCATTGTATATAATTATATAGAATCATAGACAAGGCACTAAAATGGTATGATTCGCTCACGCAGCAACTGGGCGTGTTACTACAAAGGTTGATGTGTATAGTTTTGGAGTAGTTCTGATGGAGATGATAACGGGGAGGAGAGTGCTTGATGATAGCCTGCCAGAGGAAGACTTCCACTTGGTTATGTGGTTCCGACGAATGATGCAGAACAATGACTCGTTTCGAAGGGTCATTGATCCTATCATTGATGCTGATGATGAAGCAACCATGTGCAGCATTAGGACTGTCTCAGAGCTGGCTGGCCATTGCTGTGCGAGTGAGCCTCATCAACGTCCAGACATGGGCTATATAGTGAACTTACTCTCGCCTCTTGTCCAGGAAGCATGGAAGCCCATGGAGTCAAGTTCCTCTGATGATGGCAAGTATGGCATTGATTTTGACATGAGTTTGCCCCAAGCACTTAGCAAATGGCAATCTTTGGAAGGAAAAAGCTGTTCAATGGTGAAAGGATCTTCTTCGCAATCATTTGTCACAAAATAATGTTACAAATTCAAGCTTAGAATTATATTCTTTCCCTCGCTAAACAGAGAATGATGGGCCTCAATATTAGTTGAGCTCGGTTTAATTCTTCCTTTCTCTCTCTTTACTATATACAGTGCTGCAATAAAGGACCCGGGTCCAATTAATATCAGACGATCTTCTCAATTTCATTTCTGTAACTTTGAAAGAAAGAAGGAAAAGAATGAACGGATGAGAAGTGAAGTGACATGTTCTGTAAGTACGCATTGCACTTGTGTATTACTACACTCAAAGAAATTTGGAGGATCCGAGGTGGTTTATTTACCCTTACCTTTAAAGTTGAAATTAATTATGCATAGATAAGGGGGGAATATAATATCGGGCTCACACAAACCTGCTCACTCATATAATAAGGCAAGATTTCACACGAGTGTCACTTATTGTTGATATATGTCTTTTATTTTTCAAACTTGACAAAATTATTCCAACTAATCAATTAAACAATAATACTCCAACTCACGAAGCCTTTTGCACCAATGACCACCAGTTCCTCCATATTTGGCAGATTCCTATTTAATACCGTGCATTATGATCATGAATTAATCACTGTTCATACAAAAAAATCTATAAATTGAAAAAAAAATTTTCCTCAGAATTGATTTCTAATCAAATACAATATGTATATATCTCCACCCATTCACACCTCTGTTTTCTGGAAAAAAGAAAAAGAAAATTCTATTCATGTTACATAAGGTATATATATATGTATCGTCATCACGAGCTAGCTACTGTGTTTTTGCATAGTAGCATAACATGTCCAAATTTGGCTGAGAAAAAGGGTTATTATTATTACCCACTGCAGGTTGATACAATTGCCTCTTCCATGAGTCACCTGCATCGTCCTCTCCTTGCCCCTTATACGCCCCAACAAAATTATTATGGTTATTGAATCCATTTTTAGAACCCCGGAAGCCAAAATCAGTCTGATCATGAGAAAAGCTAATAGAAGATTCCAACAATGCCTCCCAGCTATCATCCTCCTTTTTACCATCATCTTCGAGATCAATCAATGGCTTCTCCTCTTTATCACCAAGCTTATTATTATGATGTTTCCTGAATGCAACATCACCACGTCTTCTCGCAACGGGCTTTTCTGACTCCACCGACGATGACAACGGAGAGCTCGGCGTAGCCGGTGATAACGGTGACCATGATGGCGTCTCGGTTAGCTCCCACATGCCTTGGAGAAGAGATTCCAGAGCTTGAATTTGTATTAGTGGGATTCTATCAACCAAAGGGTACTCATAGAAACAGCAAAATCCTTTAGCTTTACACCAATCATAGAATTGGGAAAGTTGGCTTGTTTGTACAGAAGCTTTCTTGTATATAGCGAAAGCAGCTATGCAATTCTTGTAAGGCATTTGAAGAAGATTATCCAAAACCACTGCGATTTCTCTTCTGAACTGTGTGTAGCAAACGAAGCTATCTCGAATTATCTGTGTCATCGCCGATCGAACGATGGAACTCTTTGTTAATTTCTCCATGGGAACACAACCCATCACTCTGTCCATGATGCTTTGAAGCTGCGGTAACATCTCAAGCATGTCACCAATATCTGTCATCTTCGCTTCGAATTTCTCAGTCCCATGATTACTCTCTCCTTCTTCTTCTTGACCTTCACCTTCTTGTTCTTCATAGAATAATTTCTTGCCTTCCAAGAAAACACAATCTAGGGCTTCATCAATCAGTAGAGCGTAGGATCTAATGAAAACAGTGCACTCGGCAGACCTACACGAAGACGAATTGTCTCGAAAATGACAAGGGTAAAGAGAAAGCAAACCGTTAGAACATGACCAGAGGATTTCAGGCCGGGAGGGGCTGTCGGCCGGGACCGACCGGATCAAGCGGTGGAGGAGGAGAAGGCACTTGAGCGCGACGCGCCAGCTACGGGTGGCGCCAAAGCGGCGAGTGAAGCTGACGGAGAAGGAGTGGAAGGAAGAAGGAGAGAAGGAAAAGATTTTCAAGAGCACATGTACGTATTTGTCACGAAGAGGCAAGTCATCTGGTGGCGTTGCTTTGATGAGGATGAGATTGATATCGGAATACCCCGACGCTGAAGCGATCTTCGCGTAGCTGACGGAACTGTGCTCTTTCAGAGCACTGCGTACTTGCCGGAGCTTCCTCAGCATGTTGTCTCTCTCTCCCCCCTTCTCTCTCTACCCCCCTTCTCTCTCTAGTCTCTCCCAAGAATGAGGGAGCTAGGGAAAGATGAAGAGGATGGTAGCTGGTGATGACCAAGTATGACGCTTAAATATTTGAATAAAGCAATAATACTCATTTTCAAATTTTACAATAAATATGTGTGATGATGGGTAGAAAAAAATTAGTTAAATTAATTATTTATAATAAATATTTATTAATTTTTTAAAATACTTATTTCATCATTATGCTCATTAAGAAACTAAATACCCCTTTGTATGTAATTAATAGAGCTAATTTTAAAAAAAAAATACAAATTTAAAGAGCAAAATGAATTAAAATTTACATTTAGAACTAATAGAAACTCCTTAATTAGTTACGACATTTATGATATGAAGGAATATATTTTTATCTTTGGGTGTATTATGTTTATTTAGTATATTATTGAAAATGGGGGGCCTCGAATGTGACGACTTTAATGACTGGGGCCTGGGGGTGGTGTTTGTTTGGTTATCAGCCTCGTCGTGGCTACGACTACAAGAAAATGCTTCGGTAATAATGAGGAGGTAGCTGAAGTGGACTAGGAATATAAAAGATACTGTCTCGAATCTTTAATATAATATCTTGTTTGATTTTTATTTTGATCATAAATATAAAATCTCAATCCACTTTATCTCTCATATTTATATATTTTTAAAAAAAATAATCCTTTTAACAATGATAGTTCTAGATAACAAACTTAATTAGTAATGATATTTTAGGAAAAACAACACCTATTTATTACAAATAACTAACTTAACTAAATTCTTTAATCTCTACAAATTAATTAATTGAGTCTTATAATTAAGATAGGAGGTAGTAAAACAAATCACATTTTGAAAAGATTCTCAGCTTCTTAACAAAGTTTTCTAGTATTGTCGCTTTAGCGCATAAATATTATCGAAACCATGTCTTTAGATCCGACTCATGATTAGTCTTTTTGGAAATATACAACACCCCAATTACGACTTGGCCAATCAATTCAATTTTGGGCTCACAAGGGACACGTTGATATGCGTCAAAAGGCCAACTTTTACTCCCAAAAACAACCACAGGAAGTTAAGACAAGGATTAGTGACTCACAACATGACAAATAAAGATCGAATCTTTATTATGAGAAGTATTTATATTCTCTTTAATAGTATTTTGCAAAAATTGTGCTTGGCAAGGATCTGACAGTATTTTGCAAAAATTATCTTTAATAGAAGAATATTTATGCTTGGCAAAGAAAAATCCCCAAAAACAAGATCAACACTCGCAACTAACAAAGTTTGATCTAAGCAACAGGAATTAGACATAGCGGAATGAGTTAGTTTCTCATAATATAACAAACTAAAGTTTAAATACTCACTGAAAAAAAGTAATTACATATAGTAACTAATAGTGACTCGAATAGGATTGTCTCCAATAGAAAAAAAATACTTGTGCCTGGAAAAAAAAAAGCACAAAGGTTGGTCTCTGATTGAGCTTATTTTCTTTTATGTTTTCATGACTTAAATAAGGTTTTTTAGCAAGATATTTGCACTTAAGTACATATTTTTTGAACAAGTTGTTGAATCATTGAGTTATTGCATGAATTTGTGGTTTAAAAGGTGTTTTTGTTATTAAAAATTGCATTTACTCTTTGTTTTTATTCTTTGGAGCTACGATACTTCTTGGGCTTTATTAGTATTGTAGGTACGTTAAAGAAAGTGGACAAAAGGTGCAAATACCCAAACAAAGGACCACTTGGGCTCAGAAATTTGGAATTTGGGGGTTGAGTTTGGTGGAAAGAACTAGTTTATCATAATATGGCGTATCAAAATTTAAATTCTCACTAAAAGAGATGTCCATATTTAGCTCCTAACAGTGTTTCAAATAGAATTGTCTATAATAAAAAAATATCTATGCATAACAAGAAAATTTTGGAGGAAAAAAAAATTATTGAGATTCATCTTACACATGTTATAAACATTTAAATATGATAAATATATTAACTTGCCTACTTGATGCAAAAAAGAAAGAAAGATAAATGTGATAATTAAGCATGTAGGTAACCAAGTCCTCGTCAGGGCATTAAATTAATGCTGTTGAGTTTGGCACTAGCGACTTACATAAGTTAGTGCTTTCATGCGTTCGCACAATAGCAGAACGGAAATGTTTAGATAAAACCAAATTATAGTTTAGAGAATAACTTATAAAAAAAAAGTTATTTTTGAGAATAGATTTTAAAAAAATAAATTTTGTGAAAAAAGTGATTCTGATAAAATAAAAATGTTTGGATAGTTGTTATCAGAAATATTTTTTATATGTACAAATTACTAAAAAGGACATAAGTTAGTATAATAATTACATAAAAGATAGATTTTATATATTTTTATTTGAACTAATAAATTTTTTAATAATATATTTTTTACCAACATAATAAAAAATTATATATAATGCAATTAATAAATAATTGATATGTGTATATGTATTTATAAAATATAAAATTAAATATGTTTTTAAAAAAAGATTATTTTTTTTGTCAACAGAAAAATATTATTTTGCCTTAAAGATTTTAAACATGAAATCCCATAATATATTTTCACAACTAGTTTTTTTTTTTTAACAACATACTACCATTGATCTTTAATATAATAGCTATTTTGATATTCAATTTGGCTCTAAATATAAAATCCCAATTTATTTTATTTTTCATATTTATTTATTTTTTTAAAGTAGTCTTTGTAGTAGTTACACAAGTTAAATATTTTATCAAATAGTACTTTTAGCTAATATATATTATTAGAAAGAGTATTTTAGGGAAGACAAAACTTATTTATTACAAATAACTAATTTAATTAACTTTTTTGATATATTCAAATTAGTTAACTAACTCTTATATTAAGAATTAGAAGTAGTATTATAATGTAAAAAAAAAGGACCACATTTTCAAAAAGTAATATTTTTTTGTTTTTTATGAAATCATGATTTAGGTAGGTCAAACCATGATTTTGGAGCCATGCCATGGTTTCATAAAAATATAGAATATTTGGCAACTTTTTGGGTCAAATCAAAATCATGGTTTATGCTCTAAAAGTGATCTTGACAAGTTTGCCAAACACCCCTAAATTAAACTAGCTTTTATACTTTGTGTGATGTATGATAATATTAAAAATTAACAGAAGTCAAATATGACATGAATATCAACCCAATAAATTTATAACTAGATAATAGTAATTAACTATTAATTAAATGCTTGCAGTATTATGACTGATGGTTGTTATAGAAGCTGATTCATTATTATGCAATAAAATATTGGCACTTTTTATAAGGAATTGACTACTTTCTGTTCGAAAGTCACAACTCCTATTAAATGTGTTGAAGACTAAATTTATTATTTGTGTGAGTGTGTGTGTATATATGTGTGTGTGGTGGAGTGAGTGGCTCAGTGGTCACTAGACTACGCAGTGGTGGAGAGATTTTTTTTTCTCGTAATTAACAATTGAGGGCATTTCGATAAGTGCATTTTAAAATTTACTTCCAAATAAAAGATAAAATTCGGAGTATTTTGGTGATTTAAAGATTTTTATAATTTGACTTCTGGTGTGGGATCGAAGGATAAGTTCCCGGTGTTTTTATTTTCAAGATATCAGATCATTTCAATTTTTTTCATACCTAATGGTAAATTACTTGCATCGTGTCATGTTTTTGTGATTGGCCATATTATTTTGTACCCTACGACAGCTTGCCTGCATTTTATCATTTATCTTGTTCATTTTTAGTTCTGGATCAAAAGATGAAAATGACATGACTTCGTAAATACTACTTCCGGTCCTAATTATAAGATCTAGTTGATTAATTTAAATATATTAAGAAAATAAATTAAATTAGTTGTTTATAATAAATAAGTGTTGTCTTTCTTAAAATATCCTTACTAATCAAGTGTATTGGCTAGAACTGTCATTATTAGAAGGATTTTTTTGGAAAAAAAATACATAAATATAAGAGAAAAAGTGGATTAGGGTCTTATATTTAGGATCAAAATAAAAATTAAACGAAGTCATATACTACCTCCGGTCCTTAATATAAGACTCCGTTTGACTTTTATTTTGGTCCTAAATATAAGACCCTAATCCATTTTATCTTTCATATTTATATTTTTTTTTCAAAGTAGCCCTTCTAATAATGATAGTTCTAGTCAATACACTTGATTAGCAAGGATATTTTAGGAAAGACAACACCTATTTAGGATAAATAACTAACTCAACTTACTTTCTTAATCTTCTCAAATTAGTCAACTGGCTCTTATAATTAGGACCGGAGATAATATTAAGGACCAGAGGCAGTATTTTTTTTTTTGGGCCAACATTGGTAAATATTTATCCTAAGTGATACAGATAAAGATATTGATATGGTATTGAATTAGCAATTCCAAGTCCACCACATAAGTTTTTATTAACTCAGAATTCAAATATATTTTGCTTGTAGATGATAATACAGGCAATGACTAGGATATAGATTTAAATTATCAAATTTTAGGACATGTTTATTTACTGCAATTCGAAAATTACATGTTATGCAATTATATATGTCTACATTTATTAAGAGAGCATTTTAAAAGTATTTTTATATACATCCAGACAAAACAATTGTCATGTAGTTATTTTGTACATTGTACAATGGTTTTAGCTAATGAAGTGTTTACATTTCATTGGCAATGGCAAAGCATTCGGTCAAACTGTTTGTGGGTTAATAACGCTAGGGTTTTAGATTGAGAAGACTGCTACGAGTGTTTGGGTTTTAGGCATCTTCGGTTTCTCAGCTTACAGCGAGGGATTTGAGGGTCAAGCGCTGCTTCTTCCAGGTCTGATTTGTTCTGCTCTGATTCTGCGAACAATGGCGGCCATTGCTCCCCCAATTCCCGGTACTGTGACTGAAGCTACACCCAACAAGGAGGTGGAAGAGAAAGTGGATTACTTGAACCTTCCATGCCCAATTCCCTACGAGGAAATCCACCGTGAAGCTCTCAGTCAGTCTTTTTTACTCTTCAATTTTATTGTTGTTCTTATTTGCTGAGTATTATGCTAAACATTGTTGATGAAATTGGTTATTTGCCATTTTGTATGCGTTTCGTCACGGGATGACGAAGAAAGCTTAGTTCAGATATGTTTTCTGTTGATGAAACCCATTTCTGAATACTTGTTGCAGTGTCATTGAAACCCGAACTTTTTGAGGGAATGCGCTTTGATTTCACCAAGGGGCTCAATCAGAAATTCGCCCTCAGTCACAGGTAAGCATTTCGTTTCAGTTTTGTGTTTCTTGAATTGCGCGTGTTTACTTATTTAGTTAATTAATTTTGTTTTCTAATCAGTGTGTTTATGGGACCTACTGAGATTCCTTCTCAGTCCACGGAGACCATTAAAATCCCTACTGCTCACTATGAATTTGGTGCAAACTTCCTCGATCCTAAGGTAAGTTACCCTTCATTAAGATTAGCTCGTGGTCATTTCTGTTCACAACGTGATCTCATCGAATGTCTGTAGCTGATGCTCTTTGGAAGACTGCTTACGGATGGGAGGCTAAACGCGAGAGTAAAGTGTGATTTGACGGAAAATCTCACATTGAAGGCAAATGCTCAGGTATAATTATGGAAAATCATGTGGTATCGAATTTCTCTACAGTTTTGCATCCTCAAAGTTGTGCTAACACTCTGATGTACTGTGTAATAACCCCTTCTGCTTTACTTGGCATATTCGTCTGTACAGCTTACGAATGAGCCACATATGTCTCATGGAATGTTCAACTTCGATTATAAGGTAAATTATTCATGCCATGCTTTTTGGGACCGTGCTTTTGAAGATGAACTCCGACAGCTGTTTTGGTTTTTGCATTGCTCCTCTCTTCAAAATCAAATCATCCCCTCCTTTGTTTTACATACTGTATTGGAGAATCTAGATGGTTGCTTTGAAAAACTAATCTGTCCAAGCAGTTGTTGACGCCTTTGAGGTTTTTTTTCCATGTTATATCATACTTCTTTTGCAGGGTACAGACTATCGGACGCAATTGCAACTTGGGAATGGAGCTCTGTTTGGAGCCAGTTATATTCAGGTGCAGGGTCTTCTTTCAATTTGCAATATAGTTTTGATACCTTTTGTTTTCCTTTTTGGAAATATTTTTGTGTTAGTGCTCTGCTTTCTTAAGACCTATGCCGATCTTAAAACAAATGCATGAGGGCTCCACCAATTTTGATTTCGCTCTTGTTCTTTTTTCAGTTTTAGTAATATATTGTGTATTGCTCTGGGGATTTCTAAACACCTATCTGCTAGCAAAGAAATTGCATAACTAGAAGGGGCAATGATAAATTATTTGGGTGTTTTGATGTGTGGGGCTAATTGATCGGGTTTGGCTACTATTTGGAGTAATTTGGAGTGAAATCTGACATATCATTTGACTGCCTTTGTCTGACAATGAGTTAACGTTTGAATTGAATTTATGTACTGGTTCCTGTCTATATTCCCCTTATGTATTTATTTTTTATTGGTGCATATAAGAATGAATCATTTGTATACTTCTAGCAAAAGTAAACTAAAACGAGTGAGAAATTTCTCTTATACCATGGATTAGTCTTCCTAAATATAAGATTCCACTCCATCGTATCCAATATTAAATTTTTCTTTCTCATAATGCCTCTATTGATTGGGGCTTTTTTCATCTCTGTGCTTTAAATTTTAATCATTAAATGAAAGGGGTGCTTATGAAAAAGTGTCACAAATTCTTAACATGTTATTGCAAATAACCAACTTACCAACTTTTCTTGGTCTCTGTGAATTAGCTAAGAGAACCTTATACTTAAGACCGGAGGGAGTGTACTATTTGAATATCAATAATTGACATCTAATCTTTTCTTTTTTAGCTCAGTAATATTTCTTGGATGTCGCTGATAATAAGAAGTTTTTCTCATCATAATATAAGCAATTGAGAATCAGCCTGTGAGTCATGTAAATTTCCTCTTCTCAATGTTTTGTATATTGGAAGTTACAAATTTAATTTGTTTTATTAACTTTAAGCAATTTTATTGGTTTGTGTAAGGTAGGTATTAGTTTCTTATGTTTAAGACCAGAGGGAATAGATTATCATTGCTGTTGTATTATTTTTTCTTCCTTTTAACTGTTCCATGTTGCGTTATCCTTTTTGCTGTCATATTTTAGTCTATTGCCAAGCATTAATGTTGATTGTGGTCAAACCTGATCATTTCTTTCTTGACTTTACTGGATGCATGGCGTGGGACAATAATTGTATAGGTCATTGATTTCTTTTTGCTGAATGCCATGACTGTTTTACAGAGTGTTACGCCCCATTTATCTTTGGGTGGGGAAGTGTTTTGGGCTGGTCAGCATCGGAAGTCTGGTATTGGTTATGCTGCTCGCTACAACACTGATAAAATGGTATGATGGATTAATAGGTGCCTCCATTTAATTACAGTCCACGTGTTCCCTTGTTATACTTTCTCATCTTGCATGTTTCTTTTATGCTTAGTTGTTTATTTATTCATATTTTGGGATTATGATGCTTACTTTAACACTCAAATGGTAGGATGATTTAGTAATCGTCTTTATTGACATTGTCGGCCACCTATTCTTTGTATTTTCTTATCTTACATATTTCTTACTTGCTTGCTTGTTTGTTGATTTACATTTTGCCATTTTAGTCATTAGACAATTCGCACTCCTATTTGTTACTATTTTAGACATACTCTCCTGCACCAGATCATGCTAAGGTTTCTGTCCTCTAATTTTTCTTGTGAAAAGTAAAGGGATAATGTGCCTAATATGCTAAGAGAATCCTATATGCTTGCTAATATGCATGCAGGTTGCAACAGGGCAAGTTGCTAGTACTGGTTTGGTTGCTTTAAGCTATGTTCAGAAGGTATCTCAGAAGGTGAGTAAATTGTATAATGTTGCAGTATTATATCGTTTTCAATCCAAATTTATTTCTCTTATATAAAATATATCTTCAGGTTTCTCTTGCATCTGACTTCATGTATAACCACATGTCAAGAGATGTCACTGCCAGCTTTGGTTATGATTACATCCTGAGACAGGTAGCTTCTTGGGTTGTGTGTGTTTGTTCAGTCATCACCTTCACTATTATAGTTTAACTGCCAGTTTGTGTGAATGAGTTGAGATTATTTACAGATGCGCTTGACTCACTATGCCTGCTGATGGGCTCACAATTTTAGATTATATTAACAATAAAGTTTGTGTCTAAGTGAGCAAATGACAATAGGTCACCTTCTATCTGGATCGCTGTGCCTTGTAAAGATGCCTCTTGCTTAACAAAATTGTGAATGTGCTTGAGTCTTGACTCGTAAGATTCTGTTCTGGTGATTCTCTTTTTGTTTTGTTATGATTGTTGTAGTGCCGGCTAAGAGGAAAGATTGATTCCAATGGCTGTGTCTCTGCATTTTTGGAGGAGCGTTTAAATATGGGTCTGAATTTTATTCTTTCTGCAGAGGTGAGGGTACACTGTTTTCTTCCACATGTGTGCGTGTAATTCTAATTTGTTCTTTAAACGTATATTCCTCAAGGACCCCGGTGGGAATCTGCCTTCTGGTCTTTTCTTTTTACTCATAATGTAGTTTCTGTTTTTATTGCAGCTTGATCACAAGAAAAAAGACTACAAATTTGGATTTGGTTTGACAGTTGGAGAATAGGTATTTGAAGCTCTGTTTCTTCTCTTCAATGCTGCATCCACCTTAGCGCTCTCTGTTACTTCGTCATCCCTGTAGATTTTCTGTTCTTATAAAAACAAGGCAAAAGGAGGAAAAGTCTTGGAACATTACTCGCTATCGGCAAGTTTCTGTTGAAATTTGTAAGTCATTATTTTTTGTGTGGACCCAGGGCCAGAAAGAAATATGTCCATTTGGGACTCTGGCCTTTCATTCCCTTTAAGGGGCTGTAGAGATATCAGAATAATCGATATTGAGATTCATTTCAAATTCTATACAAGCGTGGAATCACTGTGTGATGAATGCCGTTTACAGATCAGGTTCATAAACGATGCCCCGTTTCTTTCTCCATTGTCAAGCAGTGAGATTTGGGATAACCTTTTTGGTCATTATTGTGCTTGTGTCCTAGTTGTGATCAGAAACTCCCGAAACCTTCTTTCTTTGGGATCGGTCATTATCAATTTGCTGCCAATTGATAATAAAGCGGCATGAAAAAGCTAAACTTTAGCTAGTTAGTGAATAAGAGTCAAATTATTAATATCTAATAGCACACTATTCAATTTGAGATTAGGGATACAATTGTATGCATGGCTTCTCTTTTCACACGCGACTCATGGTTTTGGGAGCAGCTATAGAAATTTCAATGAAACCAATGGTAGATTTTGTTGCATGATTGCTGGTGGGAGAATTTTCCAATGAGATACCAACAATTTATAAGTTATTTTGATGGATAAAAAGGGTAACTGTAGATAGTTCAGGCATTAAACTTACACGCGCGCGCGCGCACACACTTTTCAAATGAAAAGGTAGCAGCAAATAATTATCGCTGAATAATATTGTGGGCATAATAGATATTTATGTGCATGGAGGGGGAAAAAATTCATTTTCCTTACCAATATTTTGAATTCCAGGTAAACGTTAGGGTTTACTGTAGTTGTTATTAATTAAGAAATTAATGTTGTCTGTTATTATTATTTGTTCACCAAAAAAAAAGAGTAAAAGAAAAGGGCCAGCTCGTTAAATTTGGTCGTTTAGAAAAAGGTTCAATTACACCAGATTGATGAGCCGGCCCCAACAATACAAAATAAAAGGCAGCTTATGGAAGGAGCCGGACTCGACTTCTCGAGAAAGGCTCCCTCGGGAGATAACCCGGGATGGTCTTTACCGCAATGACAAATGCAGCACCACAAGCTGCCGGATGAAGCAAACCAAAGCCACAGCTCTGCCCGAACATTCTGAGGTTGATGACCAGAAAGCCAAACCAAAAAGCAGAACATAACCAATCCTAACCTAAGAGGCACGCATTTAATGATACTTTCTCCTCCAACGAAACTTGGACACGCAAGCCATTTGCATGAGTGATGGAAGACGCGTCGAACTCCATGAAAGTGCCTAGCCTTCCACCAAGAAACTCTGCTACCTCGTACGTGTAATCCACACATGAAACTTCGGGAAAAAGTGCAGAGCCCAGCAAAGTATTAGGAGTCCATTCATATAATGCTCGGGAGAAACCTTGAAAAATCCACGTTCCTTGACTTAAAATAGCATCAAGCTCTTGAGGACGACTAAAATATAGAACAAACAGATTCTTAACATTCTGCACCACCCTTATGATAACCTTTGAATGTCAATAATATCGGATTAAAGCTTGAAGTTTCGCTGCATGCAGTTTCCTCACACTAAAGAACGTTGACAATCAGAAAATGATTTCTGCAGAAAGCCAGATAAGTATTATCACAAGCCGGAAGTTTCATCTAGTAAACCATAAAGAACCACACACGCCTAAGAGAACAAACACCAACCACAAAAGATAGCCAGAAGCAAACCAAGCTAAAGACAAGATGGAAAAGCGAACTAAACTGATTCTGAGATGAAACTGAAATAAATGGGCTGTGACTACAGAGAAAGTCAGCACATGTTTGACCAGAAAATTTGCGGCGAACATATTATCAGTCAGTGAAACTCAAACTTCTGAATGGACGAGAAAGGTAAACCCAGAGACCAGCTGCGTCTGACCGTCCGATACATGTCACATACGGTGTAATCCTTCCAATTATACTACAGGGATTGAACTGTGATTCATCAAATTTTGAAGGGTAATAAAAATCGATACAATAAATCAGTCAGAGGTTCAGTCCAAAAAGTATCAGAGCTTCCGGCCGCCCACAACGCCGCCGTCCGCGTTCTTGTCGAATGTATGGCTCCTTTCACTTCACTTTATAGCTTCGGATAATCGTCTTCAAAGTCTTGCGCTACATCCATGCTTGTTGTTGAGTTTGGTTCCTGTCTCGGCGGTGTGAATTGAAGAAGATATTCATGAATATTTGAATATTTAGATATTCATAATTGTATGATAATAATTAGAAAAAAATATTTAATGTCGTTATAAACTTATCAAAGTTATTTTTTATTTTGTATTTTTTAAATAATGTTAATGTGAAGAAGCCTGTGAATTTGAAGACGATCTCAGGAGTCCGTTACAGTCTGCATGGCACAACAGCTTTCGCCAAACTCGCTGCTTGCTGCGACTTCCCCGAGCCAAGAAAAGGCATCAAGATGATGGAACGTTTCAGGTTGAAGAGACAGGCTCCCATTTCAGAATCCAAAACCGAGCCCGATCCCAAAAATGACGGCGTCGTTGTCCCCGATGATCCCTTCCCTCCCCAGCTCAACATTCCCCAGGAACGGGAAGCAACCGCGCGACTTGAACCTTCCAATAGCCACGTCTACACAGAAGATGAAGACCCGTTCATGGGTTTAAAGCTTCGAAGAATGGCCTCCTCTGTCCCAGATTATAGAGGGGACTACATTGACATGTCTTCTCACCCGCTCTTATTGAAGATTTTGCAGAAACAAGGTTAGGTCTAATTAAATGCAATGACTTATTCCTTGCTTGCGTTTCCGTAATTTGGAACTCATATTTGTAGGTTGCGGAGTTCTGAGTCTTCATGGCTATATTAATCTGTTCATGAGATGTTTGAATATAAAGTTTCTAAATTTATGTGTTCTATATGCCGTAAATAAACAAGGATTGATGATAATTTTTATATTGAGGTTTAATAAACAGATATCCAAATACTACCTGGAAAATTGGAAAAACAATCACCAAAATCACCACAATCCTTTTATAACCCTTTCGTCTGTTCCATTTGTGCATGGATGCCAATAAAGCAAGTTTATCCTAGACCTGGGCGGCTGCTTCTAGACTATATATATCTTCCGGCCACTGGATGGATTATTTTGTGAATTGAGCATGTGCTTTTAAATGTAAGACTTTGCTTCGAAAAATATACTGGGATCATGACATTTGAGCCCTTCTAAAGAAATTATTAACATTTTGGTCTCTTCGAAAAAATTTATTAACACAGTATATTGTAGTTGTTAGTTTCAAAAGAGTCGTTGTATCAAAGAACCGAGACATCAACAATTCCCTTGCAGTTGACTGAAAAGTCATTCTCCCAAATTTATTTGCCCGTGTGAATATCTCTTCATGCTATAGTATAGTGTTTGTGATATTCGTAGTGCTTCTTCATAATCTCGCCAGTTGAGGATTGCATTGGTTGAAGTTACGCGATCATTAAAAACTCTGGGAGTTTGGCTGACTGCAACTGATTGCAAAAGGACAACGTTACAAGTTTTCAACCACGACGAGAAGTTTATTGTTATGGTTTCGGGATGGTGATGCTAATTACTAATCATATGAGCGACCAACTAAAATTATTGTTATGCTCTGAGAAATTTAAATTAATAAAGGTTTTGGATTTCACGTGGTCATCATCTACCATTTACTATCATTAATCACTGAATCATGTGAAATAACATATTTAAACTACGATAAGCAATAAGTTTTTGTTTCTGCTTTTGTCTGAGGGAATGAGACAGGGATTGTAGAGGGAGTGATGCACGGCACAAATATAGCAATTTGAAAAGATTTGTGTGCTTGAAAGGAATCAAATGAGGGGTTGGACTGGGAGAGAGAAAGATCTGATGTAACAATCCGTGAAATCCTGAATTATATTTTTTTCCATTTCCTTTTAACAGGAGACAAGCAAGTTCTATTTGCAGATAAAGTTTTGAGGTTAACAGGCTCAGGGAAGATGAAACGCCGTATTCTGTTGATTACTGAGTTTGCCATTTACATTGTTGACCCAGAGTCCGATGCGCTTAGAAGAAGGATTACCCTTGCAGCTGTTGAGAAAATGTATCTCAGTGCGCTGAGTGATAACTTTTTTGCAATAATAATTCCAACAGAGTATGATCTACTCATGGTTAGTACGCGAAAGACAGAAATTGTGACTGTGTTGGTTAAAGCTACCAAGAAGGCTTCTAATCATGAACTCAAATTGGGTTTCTCCAATTGGTAATGAAACTCGTACATGTTACTTTTATGACACCTGTTTGTTTGTAAACAATAAAGATTTGTCTCTTTAATGTACTGGTTATGTTAGAGTGATTTGTTTCATTATCTCTGTTGGATGCTTCGAGGAAGTAATAAAATTATATTTGAGTTGTGCGTGCCTCTTTTTAATATGAACATGTTTGGAATATTGTGAAAAATTATTGCAAGGATGGAATTTTTCGGCTTTTATGTCCCTGAAATCTACGTTTACTTCCATGAGGAGCCATTTGCGTCGGAGAGAGATCTATTGTCAACCATTCTAAGTATACAACAACAATTGAGCCTTATTCCGCTAGGTAAAGTCGGCTATATAGATCATACGATGCTATTAAATCTTATTAATGACCAAATCTTTAGATAGATTGTTAATTGAAAGATTTTGCTCTATAACTTCATTGAGGTTTTTTTTTTTTTGGACATTCCTCTATCCTTACTATTTGTTTAGCCCTCTTCACTAGCACATCCAAAGGCCTTCTCAAACTATCTCAAACGATTTTCTACCATTTTCTTTTCAACAGGAACTGTTCTAGGTATGTAGTCTTGAAACACATATGGAAAGTAGTGGCCATAGTAATGGTCCAATAGGCTTGTTACTATTCAGTCGTATGTTGAAAAATTTTGTGGAAGTGCTTTGTCTGATCTAATCTACAGAGTGCTTAAAATTTATTGTTGTATAAGCATGCTAGAACAGCTCATTGACTTTATTCTTCCATTTGTAAGTTTTATGCTCGCTGTTTGTGACTTAACTACATTTGAACATGAAAACGTCAACAGGATTTTTCTTCTTTTCTTCCAATCTTTATTCTGTGTGACTGCACTTTCTGTTATCCCCTTGACCAGATTTTTGCCCTACTACTGCATGTAAGTTCTGTCTTACTACAACTCAAGGCTTTGGCCCTGCATATTTCTTTAAATTCTCAAGCACTTTGATTCCTGTAATTATTACTAAATAACTAGTACTTTAACAATCAAATTATCAAAATCTGTGTTGTAATTTCTGAGTGGTTTTTACCATGTTTAATAAAAAAATTTATGCTTACTTTGTATGCATTTTAGTGGCTCAAGTCCTATTGAGTGAAGTTGTTTGCATTCATGTTTTCTTCAAGCTTTCCTGAGCTTTAATGCATCACTAAAGCATGTTTTAAATTGCTTTGTAGTTTTGAATACCATGCAGCGGCTGACCTGCCAAAAGAAATCCAATTTGAAGAAGTCGAAGGTAAGTAACTAACTATTTCTTCTCCTTTCTTCCTTGCCTATTTTCTTTGGAACAGGGATTTACTCTCTTCATTGGATTTCTGAAGATTCTCCATTTCTGTTTTAAAACTTTCAGGGGGTGTTAAAACAATAATTTCAAGGAGGGAGTAAATCCTGCTTATCAAAATTTGTTCTAAGATTTACTTTTGATGAGGTGAGATGCTGCTCATGCAGTTTTGACCGTGTCTGTAAAACTTAGAGAGAGATCTGCATAGTTGAGTTTTGAGGGAACTGTGACTGAGGTTCTTTTGAACATACGTATAATAAGTGACAACAGAAACTTGGGAGAAGGAAAAGAAAGAAAAAGAAGATGTCAGGTCTGAACTTGAAACTCGATTTATCTGATGTCTGTACTATGATTCAGATGGATTTCATCGTAAATTATATGAAATTTTTGTGATGCACTATCAATTCACTGGAGCTTAATTTCAAAACGGCCTCGTGCACTATGAATGGTGGAATTGCTTTTGCATTCCACCAATCGAATGGGAGTTTTTTTTTTTTTGGATTTCTGTTCACTCTGCATATTTACCTTTTTTTTTTTTTTCTTCAAAGAAATGAAAAATCGAAGAGATAAACACAGAGGGATTTTATTTGGATCATTGGAGGTGCGGGGGACACTGGAATAATGAGCTCTATATGATGTTCATCTTTTTTTTTTTTTTTTTTTTTTGCTCTTTAAAATTGCCGAGAAATGAAGGAAACTAAAATCTTATTTTTATTTTGGTCCTTGTTGATATATATCAATTCATACGTAATTAATCTTCTCAATTCCTCATTATTCTTAATCGTTGAAAATTTGAACGGACAGGGTTCTAACTTCTAACGGCCTTTCAAATGATTTTTTTTTATATAATTAATCCATTCTTTTAAAAGAGAGGGGGAAAAAAAAAAGACTTGTCACCCTACTGGCTTACTCTTTACTGGTCCATAATACAAATCCTATAATGGGCTAATAACCAAACATACAAGCCCAATATAGAGTCAGCCCAACAACAAACCAGATTATCGCTCGAAGTATGCATGCATGCAGCAAATTTAGGAGAAACCATGCTAAACCAGGAAACTTCATAAATTCACTGCCAATATCATTAATTATATTTTTGAAACTGGATATACGCTTTACTTTGCGTGACGGTCTTTTTTATTATATTATTTAATTTAATTTTGTTATTTCATTTGAGAGACCGAATAAATTGGAGTATTTGTTTTTATATATATATATATATGTCTTCAAGTTTAAACTATTTGTGTCTTTTTTAAAAATAAAATTTAATTAAATTTTTCATTTCTGATTTACTAGTGAAATAATGAATAGGAGGACTATCATTGTAAATTTAAAATTTAGGAGTTCCATTATTAATTAAAAAATTATGAAAGCTATTCGTACATGGTGGCTTAAATTATTCTTTCAATATATTTATTAAAAATGCATAAAATCGGGCGTTCACAAAGTTTATTTTAATTTTATGTAATCTAGCATAGTGTTTTATAATAACACACATTTTAATGCCGGCCAAAAAAATAATAATACACATGTTAATTATTTTTTTCCCCTAAATCTTAAAAATGTCCAGAGCTCAGCCCATGAAATCTCGGAAAGGAAAATCGTACAAACAAACAACGGCCAAAACTAACCGACCTTCATATTGTGTTGATCAAATTGGGAACGGCTTCACCATTTTGTTCCTCCAAAACTATCACCATCTCCTTTCTCCTTCTTCCTCTTCAACATTCTCATTTCCTCTCTGTGGCGTCATTTCCAGCCACTGTGACCGTCGTTGTTTCTGCGAACCTTGCATGATCTCAAAATGTCGGTAAGTTTGACGATTTCGACGTGCTTTCGATCGCTTAGATCTGATGTGTTCGTCGCACATTCGTCCTTTTAATTGCTTGATTTTGAAGTTGTAGAATTCATTGCCCTCTGAAACTTGCTTCCTTTCGGATCCAATATGGTTTTCTTTTGTGGCGCTCGTGTCGTGTGTAAGATTGTAAATCAACCACTTAGCGTAATGTATACTCATATATAATAATATTCTAATGCTCATGCCAAAAAAAAAAAAAAAAAAGAATGTCAGCTTGTGCATTTAAAGAGTATGATGAGCGATAGTGGATGGTTTTTGAATGTGGTTACTTGATATATACATAGATTGGATGTTGCTAAAGATTTTGAAACTCTTGATTATCTTATTTCCTTATTTTTCAGCGTATGCTAATCCGTTTGCGACGACAGAGGTAAAATTGTCGACATCTACGTTGCTTAAACAAAATTACCTGGTGAATCTACCAAAAGGAAGCGTGGTTACGTTAAAGATTTTATTTCTGATCGATTTGGAATTATATAGTAACACGTCATAAGAATGAATTAATAATTTTTTTTATTATTGATGATTATCCCAGAGGTGGCGTTATTCTTATTTTAGTTGCTATGTTTATTAACCGTGATGAAGTTAGAGTTTCAAAGTTTAGATCGTCTAAAGTAAAGCCTTCACAAGCTTATTAGGATACAGTCAATACATGATACATATTCCCTTATTATGCACTTCGATCATGGTCCATTTTGGATCGAACGGCATTATTTATTAAAGAGGAAAAGGAAAAAATTTTTTTCCTACTGCTGCTTGCCTTGACTCATTTCCATTACTTTTTTCTCATGTCACGCCTAATTTAGCATTTTATGTGCAGGCCCCTGTAGACCATACTGACCAACATGTTGAAGCGATTCCACAGTCTACAACAGCTACGCCAAATTGGACAAACAATATCTCAGATGTGAGTAAAACTTTTTGTTGATACGATAAAATTGGTTGGCTTTATGATATTTGCTATGCATGTTTGAGGAATCGATTGTAGGGATTTCACATTGAAATTTAGACTTTCATGCCATATATTGACAGTGTAAATACTACAGTGATACAGAAAAGTTTGGAAAAGTAGTTATAGATCTCAAATTTAAAATACATGTGCGCATAAGGGACTCAAACTGTCTAACAAATGATTAATAGGTTACTTTCATTGACATTTTGTGTCTTTTGGCTATGCCACATTCAAGATTTATTACCCTGAAAAATAATTCTTTTGTGCCCCATATTCATGACAACTTCAAAGAGTTTGTGATCTGATTTTGGTTGTCTCAAATGAAGATTTCTAAAGCTGATTCCTTTATTTTACTTGTTACAGGTAAAAACAGTTAAGGTTAGCAACCTATCACTGGCTGCTTCTGAGATGGACGTTAGAGAATTCTTTTCATCCTCAGGTGATATTCGACACGTTGAGATGAAAAGGTAAGAACTGCAGTCTTGTGTGTATATGTATAGATATCATGATGCATTCTCATTAGGAGTGTTGTTTGGTACATCATTATATCACATTCCTTGATACTTTGGATGCCATGAGGTACGATACCAAGGTAAAAGATATATAGTCTTCAATATTCTGATTTTCATATGCCATTTGAAAGTTTTCATAAGGATAAATTAGCATTTAATAACTTAAACCTAAATTTGTGGGGATACGAGGTTCCTATGGCTTTGGGTGGTCTGAGTTATCATAAAAATGGTTTCATCTTGTGCCTTATATTTTCTTGGGTAACATCATGAAGCCAAGCATCCTAATGCTATTGTGGCAAACATGGACGTTGGACATTACATTCATATTTTGTTGAGGCAACAGTTACTCTTCTTCAAAGATTATGGGAATACTAAAAACCATTTTATTGTTCTGCAGGGAAAATGAGAGCACCCAGATTGCTTATGTTACCTTTAAGGAGTCTCGGGGGGCTGAGACAGCATCACTTTTGACTGTATATTTCCTTGCAAAAAAATTTTCCATGGATAAATTTACTGACAAATAGTGCTCTCAGTTGTTTGTTTAAATAATATTTAATATATATTTCGCCTTTAATAGGGTGCCAAAATAGCTGATCTTCACGTCAGCATCACACTTGTTGAGCATTACCAGCTGCCTCAAGAAGCTCTTCCCTCTACCCCAGTAAGTACCAGATCATAAGCCCAAATTTAGTCAGATATGTTGCCTGCAATTTAGTATCCTCATAATTCATTTTGCCACTCTCGATCCATTTATGTAGTTGAATATGATGAACATGCCTAAATACCCAAACATGTTTTTCTCTGGTTCTGAAATTATCAGTGTCAGTGACTCGGCAATGTTGAATTGTCATGGGCCGACTCTGTAAAACTAGGTTTTGAACCCGTATTGCTTCACTGCCGCAACTTACTGGGTGTTCAGTACCTTTGTCTGGGCATGATTAATTAAAATTGAGGTTTCTTTGTGCTAATGACTTCTAAGCAGCTTGCGCGTATGACAAGGAGGTTCCTTCTTTGTACGATGGATGTGTTCCAATCAGATATTATTGCTGTACAAAATTGAAAAGCACATAAATGGATATACTATATATGGATGTTGTAATCATTATTATTGCACTCAAATACACCTCACATTTGTGGGATTGGGCAGCTCTGATGGAGAATCTCAGCTAGTGAATTATATATTTTGTTTAATTTCTATTGTTATCAAATTCTGGTAATTCTTTAATGATTCTTTCAGGATAAAAGGCAATCTGCTGCTGTACTAAAGAAGGCTGAAGATGTGGCCAGTTTGGTGCTTGCCAAGGGTATAAATATGGGAAAGGATGCACTCAACAGAGCAAAATCCTTTGATGAACGTCATCACTTGATCTCAAATGCTTCTGCCACTGTTGCTTCCATTGATCAGAAAATGGGTTTAAGTGACAAGTTTAGCATTGGAACATCCATTGTGAATGAAAAGGTGAGAGAGATGGATGAAAAGTTTCAGGTTTCTGAAAAGGCAAAGTCTGCTCTTGCTGTTGCTGGGCCAAAGGCCAGTAATGCTGTGTCTGCTGTCATGAGCAATCCTTATGTTTCTTCTGGAGCTTCATATTTGTCAAGAACCTTCTCTGCTGTTGCAAAGGCTGCTGGGGATGTCGGCACCATGACAAAGGAGAAGGGTGGACAGCCTGATGTAGAAACGAAAGAGATTGTTCACAAGGGAAAGGAAGAGACCAATGATGAAGCCGGAAGCCGGCCGGTAGTTCCTGTTAATTCAGCCGATGACAGCAAGCCGGCAGTTGCATGACTTGAACTGATTTCCAATTCTCCACATTCTCACCAGTGCAGTATGGTTGATATTTTGAATGCTTATAATCAACTCATTATTCTGTTGCTGCAAGTTTGTTATTTGGTGATTCCTACTGTTGACTTTTGTAAACTTGTTATGATCTAAAGGTCATTTCTTTTTTGACAGACTTAATTCTTTAATATTGATCAATATTGAATGGATAAGATTAATTTTTTTTTATTAATATGTTACAGGATTTGAGTTTTCTCTGCACATTTTTTTGCATTAGATCATCATCATCCTTTGGATAACTTACAAATACTCCCTTGAACTTTCCAAACTGAAAGAGGGTTCTCAATTACATTTCAATATACTCCGGTCCTTAATATAGGACCCAATTCTTGAGTTGGTTTTGGTCCTAAATATAAGACCCATTTCTCATATTTATTAATTTTCTCTAAATTACTCTTATGGATACTCCCCCAACCATAATCAAGTAGAAGAGGGAGATGAGGTATTAAGAAAGATGATTATGGTATTTTAGGAAAAACATATCACATTTCTTATAATTAACTAACTTACCTAATTTTTTTAATCTAATCAAATTAATTAAATGGGTTTTATATTAAGTACCGGAGGAGTACAAGTCTTTATGGCTATTTCGCCCCTAACGTCGTTCGTTTGGAAGTCATTTCGAACTTCCTATAATAATGTCCTACAGGAGCTGATGGCAGGAACAAAAGCGAAGTTGTCATTTCAAAATGTTGTAGTCGTTTGATGATTCTTAGGGTGTGTTTGTATCCATGTTTTGACACCAAAAAAAAAAAAACGGTGGTTTTCTAGAAAAAGTAGTGTTTGGTTTAATTCTCATATAATCTGACTTTTGGATCTCAAATGGGCTTATGGAAGAAGCTAATCAATCTTGCTTTTATCAGTGGGAAGTAATTAAGGGTGCGGTGGAAAGGTAGTACTCTTCCGGTCTTTAATATAAGACCAATTTAACTAATTTGATTAAATTAAGAAAATTAGGTAAGTTAGTTAATTATAAGAAATATGATACGTTTTTCCTAAAACACCATAATCATCTTTCTTAATACCCCATCTTCCTTTTCTACTTGATTATGGTTGAGGGAGTATCCATATGAGTAATTTAGAAAAAATTGATAAATATGAAAAATGAGTCTTATATTTAGGACCAAAATCAACCCAATAATTGGGTCCTATATTAAGGACTAGAGGAGTATTTTTCAATTTCTTCCCAATAATAAATTAATTTCTTTATTTTTAATGATTTTATTTTCAATATTTCTTTTACAATTATCACATTATGTACATTTAATATTAAACATGTACTACCTCCGGTCCTTAATATAAAAACTAGTTAATTGATTTGATGAGATTAAAAAAGTTAGTTAAATTAGTTGTTTATAATAAATAGGTATTGTTTGTATTTATGATTAAATTTAATGTCAAACTAGTTCTTATATTAAGGACCGAAGGTAGTACATGTTTAATATTAAATGTAAATTAGTTGTTTATAATAAATAGGTATTGTTTTATATTTATGATTAAATTTAATGTCAAAATAGCTCTTATATTAAGGACTAGAGGTAGTATTACTTAATCAAATTCATATTCTTTTTAGTTATTTTACATCTAAACTAACTTTTTTATTAGTTGTTGAAACAAGTTTTATTTTTTCAAACTGACTTTTTTTTATAAAATCCAATCCCAACACAAATTAGATTGAAAGAAAAAGTTATTTCTCCTGTCATTGATCCCAAGTCCCAACACACCCTTATAGTGCAGTTCACTTCATTTAAATGGAAAATCAGAAGGAAAATATATTCATGTTGGCAAAACCTTTTGAAGACAGAATTTCGCCTTGTTTCTCTTTATTCATTTGTTTTTATCAGGGAAACTATTATGAAGCATTATGAGGAGATAACAAAAGAAAAAGCTTCCTTTGGAACGAAGGAATCATAATACAAGATGAGAAATTTGGGTACTCCCTTTGTGATTCAGAACAAGAACAAATTGCTCTCTATCCTGATGTTGCAATTGTTGTGACGACGGAAAACAAAGATGAGACATCTAAGGGTATCCTGACTATAATGACAACAAATAAAAAGAGGTCTATTTGCCCTATCAATAACTACGGGCAGCTTATAACAACTATTAGAGTTACACGGCCAAAAGAAAGCAAATTTTCTCTTAAAAAGGCTAAAGAATAAGAATGAGATGTTATTCAATATTCATGACCGGGCATCGAGGCCAAAGAAAGGCCACTTTCAATGACCTTTCTTTTATACTGCATTTGTATTTAGACCAATAAAAATAATTCGCAACGAACAGGAAGAAACTATAAGCACGGTATCGGCTTCCTTGTCAACTAGTGCGCGACCATTATCATAGATAGCGCAATAACCACTCCAGACTCTGTTGCAATAATTTTGAAAAAAAATTATATTAAGCTCATTCTCATTTATCAACATAGGACAAATGAAATGAAATTTGTAGTAAACTACTTATAGCACTAGTGTTCAATAAAGTTCTTCCGTAGTTACCTCAATGCATATGTGCAAATTCTCATCCTTTGATCTCACATGGATCTGCAAAATCATAAAAAACTAATTACTTACATGATCTATTCTCAATTACTTCTCGTACTGGAAGGCATATAAGCACATATTGAATATTCCATTCCAACGAAAAAGGGGGGCAAATTTAACATCTGAAGAATGTAAACAATATCATAATCCAGCTTCGAAGTCTGCGAATAAATTTGTGAATTGTCACCAGAGAGGTCCCGTTTTATGTAAACGTTATATTTGAGTTAAATTTATGCCCACAATGTTGAGGAATGGCCAAAATGAATCTAGGATGTTTGAGGCATATGGGGCCTTGCTCACATAATTTATGATTAACCATGCAGTGGGGGAAAAAGATGTGTAACCGTTGACTTGATGTATCTAATGACCAGTTAGAGCCTCAGTAATCTGCAATGTAAATGAGATAATATTACCCCAATGACTTTGTGGGATGCATTTTCATTGATGTCTAAGCAACCCAGGATTACAAGGGCGGCAGCAACTGTTGAGGGCCAGTAGCACATCTGCTCTTGAGCGGATAGTGCCAGCGTTGCCAGAAACTTGATCCTTTTCTCCACTTTTGCATCAACTTCAGCAGCTTTTAGGTAGAACCTGTAAGATGATGCATAGCTGAAATAAATATAAATTGAGGGCTTTGCTTATGTCCTCTAGCTACTAATATTAGCTGGACGTAGAACCTTATTTAAAAAATCAGATGAGACGGGAAGGATGTGAATAAAAGTATTATACCACAAGAAATTGTAGATGGTGGGCTGAAAACAACGGAAGCTGAGCACCTCCTGCACCATCCATTCCATAGCCACCACTTCACATCTACTATACATGGTGCTTCCTATGTAGAAATTCTTTTGCCGCACGCTACAAGGCTCGACAGATTATTACTTAAGTTAGCTTAGCATATAATCAAATGAAAATGAACCTTACTAATCTGGGGATTCGATTACATATGATTTCTCCACTCAGTTTCAGCCAACTAATCAATAATCTATTTCTCTAGTCTATAATCTCAGGGTTCTATAGTCAGTCACTCGCCAGCAGGCCGCTCAAATCAATATGATGAAAACAACTGGTCACCTATTTGACAGCTAGGACTTCAAGAAAAGAAAATGAAAAGGTTAAACACTTTACCTATTATTAGGCTGGTTTTCTTCGATCCTCGTGGCCAATGTGAGGCAGGCTATTCCAACAATTTGAAGGTTCTTTTTAGTTTTGAAGTATCCTTTGCTTAGGAACCGGTCAAGAAGGCTGACTCCAAGAAACATCGTCTCTTGTCGAAGCTCTCTTCGACAAGATTGCTGCCCATTTGAACCCAATTTTACATGTAAGAATTTCAGACAAGATCAACAACCAATTCAAATTCCAGTGATTCTATAACCGCTAGCTAGCATCAGAAATAACAGTTCCAATAATATAAGACATAATTTCTTTTTTTTGGTTTTTATATTTTAGTGGGTGACACTGCTTGGGGCAAGTATCTGTGCTGAAGAGAAAAAGCAAGCCCCGACTGAAGTGGCGGGACATAAAAAACCTTAGTAGACTTCTTTCTGTACCCCCGGCCAACTACTTTGTTGACGCCAAAAAAATAGTTATTCATCTAACAATGAGAAGAAGAAAAACTACCCTTCGATTCATTAATAGGGAATATTATACAATAATATAAAATAAAAATTATTAAATAAAAATATTATTTACAATAATGACGAGGATAATGTTTTAGACCAAATAGTAATTATTTTATTTTAAAAATAAACTTTAGTTAAAATTAAAGTTACTCAAGTATAATATGTGAAAAATATTCTTTAGGCGAAAGTACTTAAATAATGTTAAATTGGAGATTTAAAAAAAAAAAAAGTGCCCTAATCATTGTTTCTTTAAAATAATTAAATTTTTTTCCAGAATTCAATTAAAATAATTCAGTATAAATAATAGGCAACTTTTATTGAATTTAAATTTAAAATTAAAAGTAAAAGCACGTGGTTATAACAACAGGAGCACGTTCCATATTGTAGCAAGTTATAACTGCCATTTCTGTTTTCCCGGCAAAACTCTTGCCATACAATGCATTCAGCATACGTGTTCCTGAGAATGCCAATAGAATGACAATACTGCCCTTCTCTCGTGCGTGTTCTCTTTCGAGGCTTCAACGAAGCAATGCCCATGAGCCCAACAGAAAACAAGGCAATGAGCCAATGACGTCGTGGCAGAACTCGAAAGTCAAAACTATCAACACGGATACGAGAAAAGTGCACTGCATGCATGCCGTTACCATTCACCAAAATTGAAGTACGCCGGCAACTCGAAGTAAGAGATGGTCTTCAAAGAGCCCAAGTGTAGAGAATATTTACTCTCTCACACAGCATTAAATTTTCTTTCCACTCGTTTTTTTTTTTAAAGCTGTTTGAACGTGTTCTATCAAACAAGCTTAATAGCTAGCCATAAGAGACCGAGCGGCTCTCTATTTTATGCCAATCATCGCGATTAATGAGCTATTTAAGACATCTGAGAAATTAACAATTGAATCAGGGCTCCGAATTAGACTAACCTCAATTATCCAGTGGACCATGTGCGAGCGTTGCTGAAGAACGAGCTTGCCGTGATCGGTGGTGTTGGAACAGTACTTCTCTGCGTAATTGCACAAAAGCAATTGCCCCCGTTCTCTTTTTCTGAGCATTTGGTAGCTTTCTTCAACCTCCGCATCTTCAAACCTCAAGAACTAAAATCAAATTTATCAAATTCCTGAGAATCCCGTATCATAATGTAATGGAAATAAAATAAACAGTGCTTTTTTTTTGGTTGAAAATGAAACGATGATTTGATTGATTATTATAAAAACAAAGACGAAAATATGCCACTATTGGAGCTGAAACCATGGCCTAATTAATATCTTAATTTCCTCTCCAGACCACAAATTTAAGCACCAATCAGCGCTTAAGAAATAAAACATACTTCCGGTTGATGTGAGGTACCATCCTCGGCGCATAAAGCAATTCCAGTATCCGGTGAAGTCAACCTCGAAAACTCATTGTTGTACTGAATAAACAAAGAAAATGTTGGCGAGGCAGTTCCGGCAACAGAGCCGTCTGAGAATTGACTTCCAGAATCCGTAAAGTAATCCGAGATTTCTAGCTCTGAGCTTTCAGGAAATATATCTGAGCATTGGTCAGGAAATTCTGCCTCCTGACTTGAAGAATACTCTGAGAGGTCCCCATACGAGAATTGCTCCGTGCAAGTTAGATCGGAATCGTCGACAATATGATTTGACCCCTGTTGTATGCTCGATTGCGCATTTAATTCGATTGTGTTCACATTAGCGCGATGATTTCCAAAAACTTGAGCGAACTCTAATTCGGATGATCCGTATTCCTTTCCTCTGAGCGTCTCCTCTCCATTTTTTCCAAACTTCTCGGGAACACGAGAACCTGCTGGAACGACATCGTTTCCCGTTATCTCCGATGAGAATTTAAGACTTGCGGTGCCGGCAGAGCATTGCTCTTCGCAAGTAGTCTCCGATTTCGTAAAAGCTTCAGAACCTTCATTTGTTTCGGTTTCTTTCGCATTCTTACTTTCTCTTCCACTCCTAAATTTCAACACCAGATTCCTCTGTTCACCAACGACTCCAGAATTCGAGTCCACACACGAAGACTCAGACACCTCCATATCACCATCCTCTTGCTTCTCAGATCTCCGAATCCTCCTGAGCTCGTTGCATCCATCCTTCGGAAGATCTACAACTTCGTTGATTATATCCTTCATCGAACCCGACCTTCCTTTACTCTCGAACCCAACCGATATTCTGGTCAAATTGCATGACTCTTCATCATTAAAGCGAAAGCAAGAGCTCGAATCCACTGAAATTACATTCCCCTCAGAAGCTTTGAATTTCTTCGAAGCAACCAAGACTGGAGAGATCTGGCATCTTCTCCGACGATGAAGCTTAGACCGGAGCTTCTTCCTGATGCACGGCCGGGGTTCCGGTTCCAGTTTCCGCTTCAATCTGCTCGATCTAACTGTCATTGCTGTTTGGCTTCCGAGAATTGCAGAGCAAATTAGCGGCGTTGAAGTGTGTGTTGAGAGAGAGAGAGAGAGAGAGAAGGAAAGAGAGAAGGACGGTTACAAGAGTTGAGGCTTGCTTCGGTGAAGCGTGGGGTACATGGCGGAGATATTTATATGGTATGGTGGTCCCACGTACGCCTTTTCCGTGCTCTCATTCAGACATCAAGACCAGTTAATATTTATGGAAGACGACAATTAAATGTTCATTTCGTATGTGCTCTTTTCCACAGCCCAACTCATAAATAGTCTGAAGAGTAAAATTTATTTTCAAAGGCATCTGAATTTTTCTTTTTTGAAAATAAAAGCATTAGCAGTTAAAAGCTTGGCTGCTCTTTTTAATTATAAAATTGAAAGTGTTTAATTGTCACCCCAAAAAATGTTCACTTAAATGATCAACTAGTATTGTGACAACTAACACAGAGTCACAGACCATATGCTGGATAATTTGGTTAAAAAATTTACACTAAAATGACTTCCTTGCATATGTACAATTGTGCGGAAATGAAAATGTAAATAAAAATAAGATAAAAGAATGGAATGAAATTATATGAATTTAATATTCAATAAAAAATTATGTTCCGTGATTTGTAACTCTCTCTTGCCAACCTGCTGCCCGCGTATACATTCCCGTCCCCAGATGCGTGCATGATTTGTAACTCTGTATAGCATGATTTGCACTGCAAAGTAAAACTTCTATATTAAGTTGTAATATACCAATCTGCCACTACGTTTGTAAGCAAAACAGGGTTGGTAGTAGCATATACTACCTCCGATTCTAATTATAAAAGCTAGTTAACTAATTTGAAAAGAGTAACGAAAAGAATTAAGTTAGTTATTTGTAACAAATAGGTGTTCTCTTTCCTAAAATATCTTTGTTAATCAAGTGTATTAGCTAGAACTACCATTGTTAGAATGATTACTTTAGAAAAAAAATGTATAAATATGATAGACAAAATGGATTGAGATTTTATATTTAGGATCAAAATAAAAGTTAGATAAGTTTTTATATTAAGGACAGGAGCTAGTACTCTTTATATCCCTTTCTCGTAAAACTATATTAACTACTTTTTGTATCAAAAATTAATTAAATTTTAGTTAAATATCAAAAAATTTTACACCTTTTCAGAATCATTCTTAATTGAATTAAAGTTATGATTTAAGATGAGAACAAAAGGGGCTTTTTTATTGTTTTATTTTTTTTATTATTTGAAAGGGTTTTTTTAACTACGCTAAACCCCGCACTTCTCCTTAAACTTTTTGGGGTGTGGCTTGTTCCACTATTTTTTAAAATATTTTTTTAGGATCACCTTTGAAAAAAATTTTATTTTAATTTATCTCTCATTGTAAAATTTCAAAACAATATTGGCATTTTTTTTTAAAAAAAATCAAAGATAACATTAACTATTAGAATAAATTAAAAACATCCTAATTATGTAAGCTAGAAAAATTCTGACATACCAATTGTGTCATTGTCTATATTTTTGTGCTAGACTTTTAAATGAAGGATAAAAACAACATGAATTCCCACTATTCTGTGCTAAAAGAGATCATTTACCACATACTTTTAGAAAAAGAATATGGGAAACGTCAAGGTATCTAAACTTACTCCTAATTTTTTAATTTAGTATCTATGTGTTTTTTCTTAATTAAATCATTTAATTTATTGGTACTTTAAAGCTATTATTTATATTTCAAAAAATTATAAATTCAAAACATTAATTCTCACAAGAAGGCTAAATTATAACATCCAAAATTCATAATTTATAAAATTTCAGTAATGGCTTTAATAACTTAGAAATAATTTTTAACATCTTTTTTTTTTGCTGCCAAAATTTTTTAACGTCTTTTAATATAATTATCAACTCATATTATAGTAGTCTTCATTAAATATAATTTTTTTTAACAATTTTTTTGTGTAACTTAAAGTATCCTCAAATTATTTTGGACTTGAGATTAATTTCTATTGGGCTAATAAGTGTATTTCTCAGGATTTGAACTTATATATTTCTTTCTATGAGAATGAGACTACTTACTATCTTAATCAACAGGTTTTCAACAAATTAATAAATCATTCGAAAATATTTTTGAGATTTCTACTAGAAGACCTAAATAAGCATTGGGCGGAAAAAATAGAACTAAATTTGGGCCGGATGTGAAATGGACTAACCCCACTGGCTGGGGTTTTAAACTTTAAAAACAAAAAAAAAAAAGAAGAAAAGGAGAGGGAGAGCCTCGGGGTTTAGGACCATAAAATCTGTCGAGCGTTTCCGCCTTAAGCGTTCGCAAAAGTAAAAAGCTTTCAAATTTGAGGTCTTCTTGTGCCAGTGAATTAAGGTATGTATCATCCTTTAGCTAGCTTCTTTGGTTTTTTATGTTTTGCCCCTTCTTTTTATCTCGTTTTCTCTGTTTGAATTTCTGCTTCTTCCTTTCGGGCGCGTTTAATTTGCATTTTGATTTGAATCTGGGTTTTGTGAACCGTGGATCTGTAAGCTCACGTCTGAGAGGAATAAATTCAGTAAACTTTCGTTCTTCTGATGTAAAATTCATGAAGAAAGCTTCTGGAGACCTGAACTGAAGAGACATAGTGGAAAGAACCGGTGCTTTTCCGAGTATTGCTTATTTTTCAGTCCTATAATTGAGGAATGCTTTTAAAGATTTCGAACGAACTTACTTTGAAAACCCTTTGTCTCTCTCATGCTAATTCCTGATTCAGTTCTTAGCCATGGATAATGCTTTTGGAGACTTGAAACGAAGTGACTTACTTGGCAAACCCGTTGTGGCTCTGATATACACTTACGTTTCTCTGATTAATCCATGTTTTGGCTTGGTTTGAACTTTGAAGTGATGGATTTTTTTGCTTTGGTATCCGTATCTACGACCTAGAACCCTAACTTAGGGTTTTTAAAACATAACAGGCGAGAACAACCTACAATTGTACTTGACCTAAGTGAAAATTCCGTTCCAATTATTTCCTGAGTTACAGAAAATATCACTCATGTATTTGGGAATCTTAAAATCCTTGTGGATTTAAATCATCATGGGTTAGTAAAATACACTAGTATTATGTTTTACACGAAAGGAATTGCGGTCGTCCGCGAGATGTTGTTGTTTTTTTAAATAGTCTCTACTGTTCTTTAACGATCCCATAGTAGTTCTATTTGGCCATTCGTTGGGACTTTTAGGTTTTTGTAACCATTTTCATTTGTAAAACCGACTAAAATTGGCATTTGGGAACAAAAATGCCTCCATTGATTACCTAAAAAAATTTCTTTTTGCTGAGTTGCTAATATTGGAAAATTTATGGAGAACTAGTGTGAGGGAGCTTCTTGTTCTTTCTCTTTATAGCCTACCCTTCTGAAATCCTCATATAAGCTTAAGATTTATTTGCTTAAATGTGATTAACTCTTTCTTATAAGGGAATATTATATCTGATTTAACTTATTTTCAATCTCATCTCCTTGCTCTGCTGCATATTCTCTCAAATTCTGTGTTAATTAAATGAACAAGCTCACCTCATCTTTTCCTTGTTACATGACTAGTCATGTTACTAACACGGAATGCAAACCAGTATGCGATATTTTTCAATTATGATTATCATGTGTTTATTTCAATTCTAGTATTTACTTCCTATTCTTCACAATTCATCCGTTCTGTTTTTATTTTCTTTGCCCTTTTTAATTTATTTAATTGATTTGTTCCCTTGTCAGGACAGTTCCTGCTATATTTGGAGAAGTTTGCGACTGAGCTTCACTTCCATCCAAAATGAGGTAGAATTTAGTTTCAATTGGTCGTTTTGATTAATATTATTTGACATTTTGATATTTTTGGTCAATCACTAACATGTTTCTCTTCTTCCTTTATTTCTTGTCAGCCGGCCAATGGAGGAAGATGTAAGTTGTCGTCGTCGTCAATAATGAAGTCATTGTTGTTGTTATCATTATCACTGTCACTATCATTATCATTATCATCATTGTTATTATTTGCTTTAAGGTGTATGTATTGCTTGAAGTCTCTCTTGATGTTTGGCCGTGGTAAATGCTTGTTTTGCTTGTTCTTCATCTTCTTTATTCTAGATTAATAATTTCTTTTTTATCCAAAGCACTTTTTGGAGGTTGAAGTCTGAGGTGTTAAATTTTGTTTGATGGAAACCAATTTCCTCTATCTCCTTTTTTTCCCTTCCCTTTTCTTTTAATTTCTTTTATCTTTTGCTTTGGAGTTGGTGGATGAGGCATTCTTGGGTGCTGGGTGGGTAAGGACGTTTTCATTATTTTGCAAGTTCTTTGATAATGCATAAGCATGTCTTTGAAGGACTCCTTAGTTCCTGCTCTGTTAACCTTTCTCTATAACTGCTGATCAGCTCACTCACTGCTAATTAAAGTGATTTTGTTTGCTGTTGATATTGGATATCAGATAATAGTAATTTAAACTGTGTTGATTTGAATGAAATAATGGCTCTAAAATTTTTCTTTTATGTCGCAATCAAACTGAAGGTCTGATGTCGTTCATATAACTCCAGACTTGTACATTTTATGGATTGTAGAAGGTTTGTTTCAATTTGTATTCATTCATGGTTTTTGCAGAGTGGTAAGAATGAAGAAGAGGAGTTTAACACTGGACCGTTATCTGTGCTAATGATGAGTGTTAAGAATAACACACAGGTACTGTTTGTTCTAACATAGCACTATGGTGTCCATGACAGGTTTGGATTGACGTGGTTTAAAGTTTTATTGAAATATCTTGCTCGTGCAGGTGCTGATCAACTGTCGCAACAATAGAAAGCTTCTCGGTCGTGTTAGGGCTTTTGATAGGCACTGCAACATGGTTCTTGAAAATGTTCGGGAAATGTGGACTGAAGTATGTTTTCTCTTTGTCATGGGTTCCTTTTTTTTCCCAACTCAGAGCTGAAATCCCGATGTAGGGATGAATTGAAGCTTTCAAGCTTAGGAAAGAACAGATGGAAGTTAGATAGATTAGAGATAGTGACTAAGAACATTTATTATCCTAGTGATCATGGTGATGTTTTGCAATGGATTTATTTGTCTTTCGCCTGTGCTCATAAATATCTGAAGACCTATTTGTTCCATCCAGGTGCCAAAGACTGGTAAAGGAAAGAAGAAGGCCCAACCAGTTAACAAGGATAGGTTCATCAGCAAAATGTTCCTGCGAGGAGACTCTGTCATCATTGTTCTCAGGAACCCCAAATGAGCTCTGATCACTTGGTTGGTATTGACATTAAATTGTAGTAGTTTTTCTGTAATATTTGCCCCTTGACTGCTATTTTTGACCAAGACCCTTTTTGCAATCTTGACGAGTATTACAGTCTTGTTGACTAGCCGGATGCTCTTTAAATATGTTGAGATGTTGAGACATAGCTGGGACAGGGATGGTGTATTTTTTATGGCAATCCTTAAGAATCATACAAAAAAGTGGTTGAAGATTTTCCTGAGTTTTTTTTTTTTTAAATGTTCTTAGAGTTTGGACGGAAAGTGATGTATAAAAGAAATGTATAGGATTACTTTTTGTAAAAAGTGAAAAAGGCTCGTGTTTTTAACTTTTCTTAATTTAGACTATAAAAATTTTAGGACAACAAAATTCAGAGAATCTGTAATCAACATATTCTCAAGCCTCGGGTAGGGGAATTTGCTGGAAAATTAGACTGTAAGACTTCATTTGGAATGCTTGTGAAGTTCTCAGGGTTGGGTAAAGGAAATTTTATTTGAACTCCTCCCGAACTGCAGCGAAGTTAGGATTAGCGTTACTGAATCAAATGGACTGGTAAATTTTGTTTCATTTTCGTTAAAAAATCAACATTTTGGAATAGTAGAGTTAAAGAAATTTTGTCTGAATTCGTCATAGCGCGTTTAAAAACTAATAAAATCAGGCATGATATCTAATAAAATTAGGCATGATATCTAGCCCTAAATAAATTTGATTAAAATTCTGTAATTCCTGCACTCCCTGCATCTTGTGTTGTTATCGATATATTGGCATGATCGCACCAAGCAAGTGATACTAAACTGAAGCATTTTGTCTTTCATTTTCTCATTCAACCTCAATGTATCAAGAGTTAACAAAGAAATAAGATTAAAGGGTGTCAAAGAGGAGAAAATTTGAAATTCTAAAAGATAACAGATTTTTAAGAGATTAACTAGGGATACTAAATATTTATATTAATGCAAATATTCATAATTAATATTGTTGTTAATAAAATCAAAACATATTTTCAAGTCTAAAACTCATTCATAAGAAATATTAAAATCAAGAAATTAAACTTATATTTTCCTGAAAGCTAATCAGATACTTTTATTTTAATTTCGAGTGCGCAATAACCTAACAAAAATTATATTGCAATTCTTGATCTTGAAATAATAAACATTGACAAGTCATGAGTAAATTATATTAAAATTAATATCTCATCAAAAAATATTTTGACTCAAGTTATCCCTCTTAATTACCTGTATTAAAAAAGGCTCTCCATCAGTAGGATAGTTTTCAATGTAGAAAATTTAAAAAAAGAAAAAGAAAAAACAATACTCTTGCGGCCCTAAATATAAAGATCTTATATATAGACACTACAAAATGACAACAAAAATGTAAGATTACGTGGCAAGTGGTATAGGAGACTACTCAAGCTTAAGAGTTGGATAGAAATAAAATTATGGTTTCAAAAGTAATTTTACAATTTATGAAGTAAATATATGAAAGAGTTTATCTCAATTTGCGAAAAAGTGTTTTTAAAAAGTACTTATAGACTCGTCCAAACACCCGTTAAAATATACGAGTTTGAACCTTAGTTGGAGCGAAAATTAATGCCAAGAAAGAGAAAGAGAAATGTTATTGCCAGTAAGTAGTACCACCTGATTTTGGCAGATAAACACTACGAGTGAAGGGATTATTGAGGAGAGACAAAGTTAAGACCCAGAACCTTGTTGTGGAATCAAGTGTACAATCGAACAACTAATGATTTTTGCTGGTAGTGTCCTATAAGTTAGACAATAATTTTAGGATACAAATGGCTACACAAGTATATAAAAAAGAAGACTTCCTCAACATAGTTTCAGTGATGCAACTGGAGACAAAATGGCAAGTTTAGGCCTTCACTCACTTGATCCGCCTTTTCCATGATTATAGGACTTTATACTAGAAAATCTCTTTCAAGATTGTCAGATTGAAAAATGATTAGCTCAAAAGAATAGCGACCTGTAAGAATCTCATCCTTGAAACATGTAAACTCATAGTAACATCTCAGCAATCTGGATTGCATTGAGTGCAGCTCCCTTGCGAATTTGATCGCCACAAACAAATATGTCCAACCTGTGTGAATGTATATATCCAACATTGATGTGAAATGTTCACACGAAGGTGAAATGCTAATTGGTAGACTTTTTTTTTTAAAAAAATAAAAATTTGTCAAGAAAAAGAATTACCCTAGATTCCCATCTTGAGACAAGTCACGGCGAATCCTGCCAACAGCAACGTCATCTTTATTTGAAACTTCCAAAGGAGTAGGAAAATGATTTGATGCGCGGTCATCAATCACCACTACACCTGGAGCAGTCTTCAGAATATCTCTGGCAGTGTCCTGAAGAAAGGAAAACCAGATGAACTGAGATGGTTGAGGTCCCAATTACTCTCTTTTTTATTTTTCTTTTTTTAAAATTTTTTAAATTTTTTTAAAATACAACAGGAAGCTAACGCTTGAGAAACACAAAAGGAACTGTTAATAAGATTAAAGGGAAAAAAATATTAAACACAAGGACGATGAAAACCTTTCAATAATCAATCCGACAAATGACAATGAAGACAACAAACCCTTCTAAGGTGATTTACACAGAAAATACATAACGCTTTGGCGAACCAACACCAAACTCTTTGGAGTAACACGAGGTAAGGACCAAGTTAACCCCCCTTTCTCTATGAGGTGAGGATTCGACCTCCCTACACATGCATAAAGTGTATGACTCTTTATATAGACAAGAGCCTTGTATTGAGTGAGTGAGAAATAACTAACTCAACTCAACTCAACTCAACTCAACTCGCTAACCAATATTCCAGCGGGAATTATAGAACATAAAAAGAACCTAACTTGCATGGCATTTATCAGCCAAGAATCTACCATGCATCCCGGAGGTATTGCAGAGGCCAATTACTGATTTCAGAAATGCAGCTTGATTCACCTAAAATTCAGTATTTGACATTCCTATGCCCTCAGCGGCCACATCCAAAGACTCGATAACAGTACAACACATTGATTTCCTTGACTATGGATAACCTTGTTAGCTTCCAGCAACAGGGTGATAAACGATGATACAAGCTATTATTTGCTACCTATTGTTCTAGATAGCAACCAATGCAATATCTGCCTAGCCAAACCACTGTTCCAAGCAATACACAAAACTTAAACTCCTGTATCTGGCTGCAATAAAATGCCGCATAACATGATAAGAATTACCTCATCAAGGGGTTTCTCAAATTGAAGATTCACACTCTCAGCATGGGCTCGCATTACAGGAACTCGTATACATGTTGCAGTTATTTTCACATCCTTGTCATTCTGCAAAAGCAGAAAAAAATGATAAAATAAACTCTCCCTTAAATCTAAAGGTGAAACAATTATAGAGCCATCCCAATATGAAACAAACTGATAAACACGACAGAAAGGTTTATCTTACCCAAATTTTCCTTGTCTCCTTCACCATCTTCATTTCCTCTTCATTATATCCATTTGAGAGAACAGACGCATTATGGGAGAACAAATTAAAAGCATACTGCAAAAAGAAAAGGACAATATTATTAGGAAGTAGTCCTCAAGCTTTGATAACAAGAGATGCGCACAGAAAAGAGCAAACTTGTTATGTAACCTAAAACGGGGGTGAGAGAGAGAGAGAGAGCAAACCTGTTGATTAAATATTTTACAAGTTGGCGGCCTTCCTTCCAATACCTGAGTTCACGAAATTGAAGCACAATCAACTCAGTATGAAAGATAAGCAAATTTATTTCTCCTCAAAATATCTTAGTGGCACAACTTGAAACAAGATAACAAAACACTTTTTTTGTCAGTGGGATACACATATTAAACCTCACGAGTTTGCAGTTCCAGCTCTTCCATTGCAGCAGCACCAGCACCACTAGCAGCTTGGTATGTGCTAACAACCATACGCAATACCTGTGACGTTATGTCACAATTGAAAAATGAGTCAGTATGAAGACAATAGAAAGCGTACAACCGAAGATTTACACATAACCAAGAATGATGTTACTGATAGGACATTTAAACTCCCATTGAATTCTATTGACCACTAACGGTACCTGAAATACGATAGAAAAAATTCAATGGCCGAAAAAGTTTTAAAAAAAAGAAAAGAAAAGACCCTCAGTCAAACTACCAAAGTACATGCCGATGCCACGTTCAACTATATTCTGAAAATGATGTCCTGGATTATAATAAATATAGGAAAATATTAACAATGAAATTTCAAAGCTTTCTGAGAAATCAAAACATCACGTTCTTTAAGACGGTAAGCACCGCAAATTAAGAACTCGGAAACTAATAACTAGAGTCACACAATGAAACCATAAAAACCAATACCTCAGGCTGCGTTACATGAGCAACCATATGCGTGATCCAATGTAAAAACAAGTCAGATGACAAATGATTTTGCAAGTGTGTGTAAAAAAAAAAAAAAAACAGGATTTTGCAAGTGCGAGTCATTGGTACTAAAAGTCTAAAAGTTCAAAAAAGCGATACCATTTTGGCTCGTGAGGGTTTTTTTTTTTTGGGGGGGGGGGGGGGGGGAGCTCCTTAATTTTAGCCCTAATTTTCACAATTCTATACAACAGCCTAAAGGTGTTTCTCAAAATAGAATAAGAACAAAAAAAAGGGGAATGTACATTCCTCCGCTTCAGGACAAATGCGCAATCGAGTACCAGACACCAACAATGTCCACAAGTTCATTCCTAAAGCTAATAGCGGTGGAATCTTCGTACCTTTGCCCGTCGATGAAGAGGTGTAGCAGCCACCAAGCAAATAATGGTGGAACAATTGGGGTTAGCTACGAGAGCGCCCTTCCCCATTCCAAGCTTAATATGATCCATGGCCTCGGGATTCACTTCGGGAATCACAAGCGGTACATTCTCGTCCATACGAAACGCCGAGCTATTATCCACCACAATCGTCCCTCGTTCAACCGCGGTGGGACCAAACTCTCTGCTGATTGTCCCACCAGCACTGAACAAAGCAATATCAATGCCGTCGAAGCTTTCAGGAGTCAACTCCTCGATGACATGTTCTTTATCTTCGAATGTGAGCCGACGGCCAGCGGAGCGCTTGGATGCTAGCATCTTGATGGAGCGGTAAGGGAAATTGCGATCGGAGAGGACCGAGAGGAACTCTTGCCCAACGGCACCAGTGACGCCGACGACGGCAACGGAGGGCCCATTTTCTTGAAGGGACATGCGGACTTTGGTGGAGGAGGCGAATGTGGGTTTAGGAGGGATGAGACGGGTGGTTGTGGAAGAGAAGTGAGTGAGTTTAGGAAACGAAAATGCCGCCATTGAAGGAGAATGGATGTTGAGAAGTACAATAGAGAGAGGAAAATGGAAAAGGTTTTAAAGGGAGGAAAAAGAGGAGTGTGATGGAGTTGGAAGCTGATGCGTTCTCGGTGTCGGAGAATGGAAGACGACGTTGGCGGCACTTCGCTGAATAGCTTCTTCGGGCTTGAATATCTCCATTTCATTTAATCAAGAGAAGAACCAAGTCTCACGTACAAGCAAAGTGAAACAAAGGAAGAAAATAAAACTGTCAAAACGAGCTAAAGACATGCAGACATCAGTAACTATCTAGGATCAACATTAACCCCATGAGCATCACGATGCAAGATTTTCAAAAGAGGAGTGGGCAGCCTCCAAGCCCAATCTTCTAGGCATGACCCATCCAGCATAGCCTTAGCAAGCCAATTAGCGACAGCATTAGCTTCTCTAGGAATCCATTTAACCACATGGTTCCTAAACATTTTCCTTGATTCCAAGATATTATCAAGGATAGCAACACATCTCTAGTCCGAAAAGCTCTCGTTGAGTATTAATATAGTTGACAAGAATCTGATTGTTTGACTCAAATTGCACATCATCAATTTGATTTTCAATTGAGTACTCCATTGCATCATTAAGAGCAATTCCTTCTACCATTAGTGCAGAATCAACTATAGTAATCCTAGCTCTTCCATCAAACAACACTCCATTTGAGTCTTTGACCAAGAAAATAGAGGCGGCCACCTTGTTTTCTAAGCTAAAGGCACAATTAGAATTGATCTTTAGGGTATTTCCAACAGGAAGGATCCACTTCATGTCAGCCTTCAGAGGAGGATTAGGTAAGTTATGCTTTGTAGCCACAGAGTTTAGCTAATCATTTGCCTCCCAAAATTCGGAGATAATCTTCCCTGCTTGAGTAAAAGCAAAGACAGGATCAGAACAGATATTATTAAAAATAAAAGCATTCTTTCCTTTCTAGATTTGCCACAAAAGAGTAGCCAAGGATGCTTTTTGCTAAGGCAACATAGATAAATCGCAAACACAATTAGTTATCCATTGATTCAGACCAACATTTAAATTGTCATCCAAGAGAAGGATGAAAGGACTACCAAACCAGGCTAGCCTTGCCCACTGGCGTTGTAGAAAGAGATGATCCAAGGACCCTACACTTCTGGTGCAAATTAGACACATATTGGTAATGTTACAGTTCCTCCTTGCAAGATTCTCAAAGGTAGGTAGGGCTTTGGAAATTAATCTCCAAACAAAATTTTTGACTTTATGAGGAGCTTTAAGCCTCCAAACCTCTTGTCATAACTTCTTGTGATCATTATAAGAGGCAGTGGGAAAATAATCATATCTATGCAGCACATTTGTTCTTGCCAAATTATATCCCTGCTTGACCACATAAACATTCCTATTACCTTCTGTCTAAATCCATTTATCATTTCAATTATTTCTAGCAACAATTGTGTTAAGAATTGCAAAGTTATCCTCCTCTAAAACCATCGTTCAATTGGAAGAAGGTTCCATCCCCTTCCTTCTCCCAAATCTGCCACTTTTGGATTCGCAAGGAAATTATTTGGGCATGGTGAAAAAGTTTTTTTTCCTAGGAGATTGCCAAGCCATGGATCCTTCCAAATATTGGTATCTTCCCCATTTCCAATGCTCTTCAGGAGATTGTCTTGTAAGACTTTCCTTCCTTCAATGATGCTAGCCCACAACCAAGAGGCCGAGCCACCTTTCTTTGCTTCCATAAAGTTGCATCTTGGGAAATATCTAGCCTTAAAAATCTTTACCCACAATTGATCTGGGTTTTGCAGATAAGCAAGCCTATCTTAGCCAACAGAACCAAGTGGAAGGCCTCAAAGTCCTTGAAACCCAAACCACCATCAAACTTTTTCATTTTGAGTTTCTCGTTTGAGACCCAATGAATTTTCCTTTTCCCTTCTTCTTCCTTCCACCAAAAGGAAGAGATAATCCTGTCAAGTCCTTTAAACACAAACTTTGGAAAAAGAAAGCAGGACATAGGATAAATCGGAATAACATTTGCAACAGATCTAATAAGTAATTCTCTCCCTGCTTCGGAGAGGGTCTTCTGCTGCCAACCTTGGATCCTTTTCTTCATTTTATCGAAAACAAAATTCAGCGCTTGAGCTTTAGATTTTCCCCATATGATAGGAAGCCCCAAGTAGTTTCCAGGGATATCAACTGCCGGAATCTGAAAAATACGACCAATCTCTTCCTCTAATAGCTGGGGACAATTTCTAGAGAAAAATAAACATGACTTGCTCACATTAACAAATTTTATATATTTAATGATCTTCTTGATATATGAAAAACTATTATAAGTAACAATTAAAAAGGAGCAAAGTAATAAAAATCGTAGTAATTCTTTCAAAGCAAATATGTGTAAATTGCTCTCTATTTTTACTTTTTGATGCCATGTAACAAATTGCTGTCTAATTAATGAGCATTTGATGTAATGTGTTTGGTTTGATGTTAATAATGATTAAGATTATAACTTCTTATAATCAAATTGGTACATGTGCTTGTTTCCCTAAGAGCATCTTGATAACCTATTAATCATCACACACACAGAGAGAGAGAGAGCCTATTAATCTTTCCAACAGGCTGCAAGCAAATAGCATTGATTATATTTTTTTTCTTTTTCCTGAACTGAAGACAATTTTATTATTAACTATTACGTAAAAAAAATATGAAATTCATTCAGGAAATCAAATTGAATTAGATGTTACTCCCTCTGTCCCTAATTATAAGATCTACTTAACTATATTACATAGTCTAAAAAAACTGTTAAAATTAGTTAAAAATAAGAAATATATTAAAAATTTATTTATTTTAATCAAATATGCCTTTATTTATAAGTGGGTAGGTGTGAGTGAGAAAAAATAGGAGAGAACGTGTGGGATAAAAAAGATAATGAGAGAAAGTATATTAATTAAGGACAATGTAGATAAAGATGTATTTATTGTTTAGATAAATCTAAAAGGATCTTATAAAAAAGAACAGACCAATTCAAAAAATTAAATCTTATAATAAAGTACAGATGTAGTATTTTTTTTTTAAATATAGCATTAATTATGTTACTTTAGAAGAAGATGTCAAATTCATTTAGGACATGAAATCAAATTTGTCACACTTATTATTTTGAAGATGATTATTAGAATATAGGCTGACGTGAAGAGATCCATATTCTTCGTCATTCATTATCTATAAAAGGTATTCCCTCGCTGGCAACCGGGAAAAAAAAAAACGTAGAGCCGGTTTGGTTGGATTTCATGAGAGGGGATTACGTGTAATCTTTATGTAATAGAGTGATTTTTATGTTTGGTTGAGTTTATATAATGTAAATAAGATTACATTTTATAATCCTAATTACATTATTAAGATTTATGAATAGAAATGCAGACCTCTTGTAACAGAGTTAAAAAGACAATATTGCCATTGTAATTTTTTAAATTGACTAAAGTGCCCGCCGGTGCCCATTCAGCCGTTCTCTTTGCCCGTTTGCCGCTGCTCCTATTGTCTTTGTTGGTGCTACTGTCGTCCCGGAACAGAAGTCGTTGGTACTCGCTGCTTGGTCATCTTCGTTGCTGCCGTCTTCATCTCCGTTAACAACCGTTCTGTTACTGTTATTATTATTTCCGTTGCCAGACTAACATATCATTAATTAACACTGCTATATTTCTTTTACATTGAAGGTCACGTCTTTTTTTTTTCTCCTGAAAATTTCAGTTTTTTGAGGCTTTTTTGTTTTGCTTTCATAGAGGTTTTGATATATTATTGGCAATCACAGACACTGCTACGTATTACTACTAAACTTTAGTTGAATGGCTGATGCATATTTGGTGAGATATATATATATATATGTGTGTGTGTGTTGCAAAGGAGAATCTGATAATTGAGAAGCATACAGACATACATATATTATTATTATTGTTATTATTATTATTTTGTGTGTATTATGTAGTCTTTTTTTTTGGCTTGAACCTATTGTTACATATGTGAATAGAGTTATTATATATATTTGGAGAAAAAATAGACAACTTTAAATTATTATATGTATATTCGTATATGTAAATAAGGGGAATTTTTTCTTTTGATACATTACTCTTACCTATTCTTATATCCTTTGTAATCCAACTAAATGGTTTTACCCCTCTACGTAATAAACTCATGTAATTATTGTTATATTACATTTTAGGGAAAATTAATCTTTTGGTCCTTATAATTTTTACTCATTTGTAACTCAGTCCTTATACTTTGACTCGGTGCAACTCAATCCCTGTAGTTTTAACTCGTTTGTAACTCGGTCCTTGAAATTTGACTCGCTGCAGCTCGGTCCCTATAGTTTTATCTATTTTATAATTTAGTCCTTGTGTTTTTGAAAAATAAAATTATATATATAATAAAAGGAGGGATTAAATTATAAAATGGTTAAAACTATAGGGACCGAACTGCAGCGAGTCAAATTTCAAGGACTGAGTTACAATTGAGTCAAAACTACAGGGATTGAGTTGCACCGAGTCAAAGTATAGGGACGGAATTATAAATGAGTGAAAACTATAGGGACCAAAAGATTAATTTTCCTTATATTTTATTAGATTCTGTTATAGTACATCACATTTCTAAAGATTCAATGAACTGAACGGGCACGTACTTCCTCACATCTCATTAAGTTATTTTCAAATTTTTTTATCAAAATGGGGAAAACTTTATAATTTATAATTATGTTTACTCTTTTTTAAATTCCTATTTTACTCATATCAAGTATATTTTTAAAAAATCATTTCCTATTTTCAAATCAACATTAAATAAGTATAAAAGAAAAAATAATAGTAAAAATGAATCTTTCAATTATTGTAGATTTGTAGTTTTGATTTGATTTAAACCTAATTTGTAAACGTTAACTTGGCGCAGTGCATTTCCTAAATATTTGATTCGATTATAAATCAGTTCTTAAATTTTAACTTGATCCAACTCAATTGTTATAATTTAACCATTTTAATTATTAGTCGCCATATTTTAAAAATAAAATTATATATTTCATGAGATTTAAGGACTTAAATTTTGAATAATCAAGACTATAAGTACCAAGTTACAATGAATTTTTGAAATTGAGTTTTAATTAAATCAAAATCACATAGAGTGAATTAAATATCTGAATATTGTGTTATAATTGAATAAAAATATAATAAGTAAAATATTGATTTCTTCAAAATAGTAATAAACAATTAACATGATGCTTTTTTAAGTAAGCATAAATATGAGGAAATGACCTAAAAATACCAGTTACCAGAACTACACCGAGGCGGGCAACATCATCGCATCATTTCATGTCCCGCTTGTTTCATCACATAGCAATACTTCGTTAACCAACGCCCCCTAGTTCATTCCATTCCTTTTGATTTGGAGCATCAACCATGGCGGCATCCAGGAAGCAACGCGTTTAGAGCCTGAGAAACAGAGGCTCCTCAAACACCACACCGAGAAGCATTTCACCGCCGGGGAGGTCGTCCGTGATATCATCATCGGCGTTTCTGATGGTCTCACCGTTCCTTTCGCTCTCGCCGCTGGCCTTTCCGGCGCCAATGCCTCCTCCTCCATCGTCCTCACCGCCGGCATCGCTGAAGTCGCCGCCGGCGCCATCTCCATGGGTCTCGGCGGGTAGTTGATTCCATTCTGTTATTTTTTTCCTTTTTTCTTTTCCTTGATATCCGATTCGCAAATCTTTGACGCTCTGATGGTTCGAAGAGAAAATGATATGGAAAATTGTGTGCTGCGAATGAGATTCGATTAAAACTTGAATGGAAAAGTTTTGCGAGGCTGCGGTTATGCAAGCCGAAGAACATAGATTTTTTAAATTTTCTGGACAATTCTGGACAACCAAACAGGTTACAGAGGGTTTGGCGGTTTGCTATATTTAGTTGATCAAATTAGTGATGGATTGTGCAGTTATCTTGCGGCAAAGAGTGAGGCCGATCATTATGCGAGAGAATTAAGGAGGGAGCAAGAAGAAATCGTGACTGTGCCTGATATTGGTAATTCCTTGCTATTAATTTTCAGAAATTTATAGGAGTAGAAAATTATTGAGAAACGGAATTTACTTATTTTTTTTCTGGCACCATCTTTTATTTATTTGGGGAATTTAGAAGCGGCTGAGGTAGCGGAAATACTCGCACAATATGGAATAGAACCGCACGAATATGCACCTGTGGTTAATGCTCTTAGAAAGAAGCCACAAGCATGGCTAGATTTCATGATGAAGTAAGTTCACAGTCTCATTTCTGTTTCTCCTCATTCACTGAACCTTTTCTTTTCTCTTGGTTATTTTTTTTAAATATGTCTCCCATTAAGGCTGACAGTTTTAAATTGAGTACTAGTTAGCGTTCTTGGGTGACTTTTTACACATGAGTATTGAATTCTAAAATATAATTTTTTTTAAAAAAATTCAATTTAAATATTTGAGAATTGTGTCTATAGTAATATCACGGTCTTTATAATATTACCTCTAATTCTGAATACAAGATCTTGTTTGATTTTTATTTTAGTTCTAAATATAAAATTGTAATTTATTTTATTTTTTGTATTTATCTATTTTTTTTAAAATAATCTTTCTAGTAATGAAAGTTCTAACTAATAAACTTGATTAATAAGAATATTTTAGAAAAAATAATACCTATTTATCACCAATAATTAATTTAATTTATTTTTTAATCTATTTAAATTAGCCAGTTAGTTTTTATATTTAGGATCCGATATAGTAATAGCTTTTGCATGCTCAGGACAAGCATAAGAATGCCACAGGATGAATCGAGATTCTCTCCTTTGTCTTTTCGGATTTTCTGAGAGATAGAAAGACATACTGATCGAGTGGGATTAAAAACATGAATGTATAAACTATATTTAGAGGCCAATAGAGAGAAAAATATACTATTAATTTTAAATATAAAACTGGGTTCTTCTAAAAGTTTGAGGGAAAAAAAATCTCCGTTGAGATCCCTAGTGGGAAAGGCATCCACGAGAAGAGATAGATAGTGAATTGGGTAGGCTTTTAGGAGTGGGGGATCCAACTTTTTGAAAAGGGACAAAACGGTAAAGGTCCAGAGTTCGGTTCCTGCGCGTGGTCCCTTGCAGACAAAACCCGTCGTTCCAATTTTCAAACACTTCCCACTTATAATGGGTGTCACGTGGATAGGTCATCAATGGACCAGTTTGGGATAGCGATCGAAAACACTTATAAGTATATTTTACGTAAGTCAAGATAAAATTTTCATATACTTATTGTGTATTTTGAGAAGTTACTTATAAGTTATTCTAAACGGCCTAATATCTTGTTCTATTATGGCAGAACTGTTTTTTTTTTTTTTTGAAAAAAGGTTCATACATCTGTACAGTACAATATGACATGATATCATACTCCAAGATATGGTCTGCCGATCACTTTTCCATTGAAAAGTTCAGATTTTTGTCTGCAACATCTATTTAAACTAGGAGAATCATGTTCAGAGATTTCCCACTAGTTTAAACCCGAATTGTTTATTGTTACTTGTCTTGGCAGGTTTGAGCTAGGATTAGAGAAACCTGATCCAAGGAGAGCATTACATAGTGCGGTGACCATTGCTGTTGCATACGTATTAGGAGGACTTGTGCCTCTTGTGCCTTACATGTTCATTCCAAAAGCTACAGATGCTGTTGTGGCATCCGTTGTTGTCACTTTGGTGGCTTTGCTCATCTTTGGCTATGCCAAGGGACACTTCACTGGCAACAAGCCCTTCAGAAGTGCACTCCAGACTGCTCTCATCGGCGCCATTGCCTCCGCCGCCGCCTTTGCCATGGCCAAGGCCATCCACCCTTAGATTGTTATTCCTTTGCCCACTCTGTTTCACTTTAATTTGTCCCCTGCTTTTACATTTGAATTCGAATTTTGCATTCTAAAGACGACTTTGGTTGGTTCAATCGTTACCACTTTGTAAATTACATGGTAGTTCTCTTACCAATGTTGTTCAATGGAGCTAGAATTACGGGTTCATGGTGGGTTGAATTATGCCTCATTCAAATCTGAATCCTTAAAATACCTATATGCAAGGCCAAACATCTTGTCAGATGAAAAGGAGAAGAGTATTTCCAATGTACTCTAATGAAAGCAACAGATTAAGAATTGGGGTTTGTATCAGGGAGGAGGAAAGTAACTTTACTGAGTAGCAGCAGCAAGATTGGGTCATCCAGGTTCTTTGTCATTCTGAGAAAGAGAGAGAGCTGAAGGTGCCAATGTTATTCCACCTCCAGGAGGTCCAATGAATCTTTGCTAAGCATCCTAATCTACTAATTAGAAGAAAAATATTATCCCCAGAACTTAATAGAAGACCAATTAATTAATATGAAGAGATTAAGAAAAATAATTTTTAGTTTTTTAATTTCTCCAAATTAGTTAACTGAATCTTATATTCTTATATTAAACATGAGAAATAATATAATGCCTTAAACCATATAATTTTTTCAAAAGATAATTTTATTTATCATTTCTTTTTTATATATCATCTGATATTTTAATTTTCTAACATATTTATTGTTGCTTTCTCTCATCACTTTCTTTTTTCTTTTTTAAATATAATTATGTCTGCAGCCTTGGATTCAAATCCGGATTGCGCCATTACAACTTTTGTTAGAAGCCACGTCATCAAATATTGTCGGTTCAGTGTCATTTTGACCCAGTAGCGGCGCACGAATCTTCCGCATCGGCGATTGGGAATTTTCGTTTTATAAAATATTCTTACCTTATTATTTTGGATTAACTTCAAGTGATTATACATATCTTTTATTTTTTATTCAAAGTATGATTTCTTGTCTTTACTTATCAAAAAAATTATATTTTGTTTTGACTGTTTAAATAAAGAAAACAATACACCATAGCTGAACATGTACACAAGTTCTGCTCACACGTCTCAACGAGACGAAAGAGGTATTTGGATAGAAACCAAACTATAGTTTAAGAAGTACTTTTACGGTTTACGAAGTAAATATGTGAAGAAATTTATCTCATTTTACGAAATAATATTTCTGAAGCTATAGTTTGGAGGTTGCCAAACACCCCTGAAGAGGGATGAAATAAACCAAGCTGCGCTAGATGATTTGATTGATACATGACATCTACAGAGACCGCATTGTACCCAAAATTATCACGCAAAACGTGAATATAGCCTGCGGCCAGATCACTACAACCATTAACTTGCATGACCTCTCAGATAAACACAGAATTATATTACATACCTACTCATTGAGCTATAGAATTTTGTTATGCTTGAATCGGCCTCGTTAGTTTTTTTTTTCCCTCCGGGATTCTTCACTCCACATCAACCCTGAATATTTTCACATCAAGGGTCAGTGGCTTCTTGCCTATACCTGCTAAGCGAAACACACAAACATCAAATTCTCGCAGGTTATTGTCCAGCGCAAACTGTTTCCACCCGCCGGTGAGTCCGCCGCTCCGACGACTGGCTTCAAAGGCATATTTAGCAAGCCACTCACTCTCTCCCACACGTAATATCACATCTTCAGATTGTGGAGGAAGATGCTGCGTCACCCACTTCGTAGGGATTGTCTAATAAGCAACAATGAGCAGAAAATACAGTCAAAACCAAATATTGGGCAAAAAAATCTTCTAGAGTTCTTGCAAAGTCCCTGCAGAATGCAGAAAGAAATTAACACAAAAGGTGGAAGTATATATGGAACCTACTTCCTCTTTTTCTCCCACTCAATTTTCTTTTCTCTTATCTCTTCAAACCCAACAAGAAACAGCTCGAAAAGATCCATATTCTAATAAATAGAAAATAATTAAAAAGATTTGGATCCTCTCAATTTCTTGATAAATTCATAACTACATTGAGAAAGATGTGTCAAACCCAATTACGGATCAGCCTTCCCACAGGGTCACAAACAGACAGCATATCTCTCGGAACCAGTTTTGGTAAAGACCGAAGTTCATTAAGGTTATAAAGCAAAAGGAAGTCAGAGAACAATTAGAGAGGAGAGGACATTCAACTAGGGAAGAGAAAATAAGAAGCAAAGTTTACCACATAGAATTTCTGGAATACATGCGAGGGTCGCATGACTACATAGAATCCATCCATGGTACATGCTGCTTGAGCCAACTGGAGGGTATTCTTTTTCGCCTCCTCTATGGCGGCCTTTCTGCTTGAAGCATCCACTATTTCAACCATCTTATCTCTGCTCATGGATGCAGGTTCAGCATCTGATCAAAATTCATCGCAGTTAAATAACACTAACATCACCAAAGTAAGGCTCCAGTTCCACAAAGCAGCAACCATAAACAAATAAAGATTATTTCTCATAAGAATAACTACTTCGTCGTAATGCTATTTTGACTTAATGCAACGAGCAGCTATGTCAAATATAAACTCAGGGTCCCCGTTGCTGACGTTGCCAATTTGTTCACATATCATCAAGGTTATAGCTTTATTCTTTCTAGGGAAACTGCATTAACCCTTTGAACCATATCATAATTACAACATAATTACATGAAACTCAAAAAGCAAGACTTTAATTCTTGAGCTATCACAAGTTAACTTCTGATTATCTTATGACCTTACTCGCCAAAATGATGTAACAGACACTAGTCATCTTTTGAGCCTTTCAAAGTCTGTTTCCATAATTTGTTTTGACAAAAACAATTATTTTTCAAAGTGGTATGAGCAAAATAAAATTGTGACATGAGAAGTGGACTTCTAACATGGAAAGTCTAATTCTACTACTGTCAAGACTTGGTTTCTCAAATCACATAGCACCTTTGAACTTTCAAAGACTTAAAAGTTGACTTCTATCAATCATGTGACTACAAGAAATTCAAGTCAACTATTAGAAGGTTAACTACATTTTTTCATTGTAGTAATTTCAGAAAAAGAAGAGCAAATTATTGTATTTTCAAGTTGATTCACCAATATTGCAAGTGTGAAATTGTTCAAGGGGATCAAATGTAGTTTTCCCTTTCTTTTAAGCAATAAAGATAGACAGTTCCAAGCCCCCAGATTTAGTATGTATTTACCAGGAACCCATTCAATTTCTCCAGCATGCACATCAGATCCCCTAGATCTTCCTCTCAGTCTCCGATTAGTTTGCTGGGGAGGTGTGTATTCCATAGGGGCAGATCTTCCTCTCCGCTTAGATTGCTGGGCAGGGATATGTTCCACAGTAGATTTACGAGCCGTTTTCTTTTTACGATGTGCAGATTTCTCAGGCGAAGCCCCTTTGACATCAATATTAGAAGGGACATTAACATTTTCTTCTTCAAAACAGTTATCTGTGTTTCTCTTATTTGTCTGCCCACTGTCCCGGACAAAATAAGAAGCCACCCTCTCACATAAGTTCTTCTTGTCAAATATTAGAACATCAAACTGTGATTCACCATTGTACTTGAAGATCAGAAGATCATTCTCTTCCAAAAAGTGATCTTGTGCAAATTGCTGCCAACCATGCGTGAAATGCAATATATCATCTCTAGTTGACAATCTGACAGTCCATTGAGCTCCGCCAGGGCCTCTAAGGGTCACATTATCTGGCAATTTCCTTTTCACGCCATCTGAAAACGTTTTGGGAAGTGCCTGCAGTATAAACTCAACAAAATTTAACAAGGGTTGCTGAATCAAATTGAGCCTCAATGATAGGCATCCAATACAGAAATTGGAAGAAACTGATCACAGCTTCAATGACCTTCAAAACTCTAACAGCAGGCTCCTAAAGAGACCAGTACTAGAACTAGAAACTAGAGAAGGTCCTGTGTGGTCGAGTGATCATGTAATGCAGGCTCATTTTGATAAAGGGAGTTATCAGCTAGCAAGTAGCTACCATAATGCAAGTGTGGTAGCGTGGCAATGGTAACAGAATGCTAAAGTGACATTGAATAGGCAATCAGTCCATGAGAGGAAGGCCTGGAAAATCGTGGGGCACGTAATGGAGTTTTCCACTCTCTTTTCTCAAACAAAGGGTGCCAATGCAGAACTATGAGAAACTTCATTTCCTGTATATCAGTTAGCTTTCCGCAAATTGACTAATTACTCCAGCAACTTTTACATACCATGAAGTGTTTACACTTGCGATTAAACAGATTAAATCCATACATGTGTGGCTCAAGCACTGAAGTAGAGATTCAATCAGAAACATTAGGAGCGAAAAAACTGTGTAGCATATACACCCCCCCCAAAAAAAAAAAAAAAAAAAACTGTGTAGCATGCGAGAAGCAGTCTACCTCTTGTTCCCTTATAAAGTCCTTTTCGCTTTCCCCTCTCTACAGTGAGAAAACTAGGGTTCATTCAAATTGGTGGAACCCAAAAAGTTGACAAATTTTCCCTTAACTACAATTGGTGAGAAAAGGAATAACTGAATAGTTGACTTCTAAAAGTGTACTAAATGAAACAAAAGTAGCGATCCCTTCAGGCTAGTTGATCTAAAGTTCATAGCTTAAGATTATAAAAGAGATAAAAATATATACATAATCAAGAAAGTAAAAAAGATCTCTGAGATACTGTACAGCAATGCAAGGAATTAAAGGGCTCCGACCTTGCAAGGAGGTATCAGGAGAAGAAGTTACGGATAACTCAAAATTTCCTCCTCACAGATACTTCTGAAGTGAGTGATCTGCAGAACAGCGAAAAGAGGAAGAAAACAAGAGACTTACAAGGTGTTGATCAAAACCAGGAGGGAGACGCAGGGCAAAATGCGTAAATTTGAAATGGGTCCAGTAAATGTCATCGACCCAGGATTTACAGCCTCCGCATGCTTCTGCCATTTCAACAGAGAGCAAAACACAAAAATTAAGGGAAAACAGAATAGGTAAAGAGTTCGAGAGTTACTGCAACTCGGACGCCCGAGAACCGGAAGAGGGACCCCGGTAAAAGGAGAGAGGGAAGAGAGAGAAGCGAAGGGACTAGGGAGGGAGAGAGACAGGCAAATGTTCCCCGCACGTGAGTCCACGTGAAGTAAAACCAATCTGAAGAAAACGCAAGACTGGTTCTCTGACTAAGTGACCATACAGTACGGTCAGTTTCCTTTTTTTACCCGACAGAAGTTTTTTTAACATTCTTACCTCTTGTAATATAAGGGTCTATTTGATTTTTATTTTAGTTTTAAATAAAACCATAATTTATTTTATCTATCATATTTATATATTTTTTTAAAGTAGCTCTTCTAATAATAATAGTTCTAGTCAATACACTTGATTAATAAGGATATTTCAAGAAAAACAACACCTATTTAGGACAAATAACTAACTCAACTTACTTCTTTAATCTCTTTAAATTAGTCAACTGGTTCTTATAATTAGGACCGGAGGTAGTAATTTAGAGTTTTTTTTTTTACCAAAAACATAATTTAGAGTTTAGTCTATCATTTTCTCTTCTTCTTTTTTTTCTTTTTAAAATAAACTAACCTAAATTTCAGAATCATCTTCTTGAACATCAATATATTATTCAGATTTTCTCTTCTTCTTTTTTTCTTTTTAAAATAAACTAACCTAAATTTCAGAATCATCTTCTTGAACATCAATATATTATTCAGTTTTAATTAAAATTACTATAGTTAATGCAGTAGAAACATATTTTAATTTATTCATTGAAAAATGAAACTATTGGTCATCAATCAATAGAACTTTTGCCTAATTTATAATTTGAACCCTGTATTATATTATATTATATGTTTTTGATCTTAAATATAAGACCTATTTTTTAGTATAATTTATATTATAAAAAGAATCTTCTATTTAGAATCAGATGAGTATTAATCCATACTAAGCAACATGAGTACCAACATTGCTTTAAAATAAAATGAGTGTTTAAAAATCAAATCATGATTTTATAGTATTCGAAGTAAGTAAGTATGTGAGAAGAATTCTCTCTCGATTTTATATGAAATTACTTTTAAAAAACGCTGCTTTTTTCTTTAATGGTTCAATTCTTCTTAATTAATGTAACATTATATTTATTTATTTCATATGATTAATACTAGCAATGAAAATTAAGATTCAAGCGCCGCAAATTCCTAGCATGGGATATGAAATCCCAAGGAAAGCAGGATGGTGCTGACATGTCCACTGGGCTTATTTAGTTTGAAATCAAGCTCCACAGGGGCAGATCAAGATCTTATCCATTCAATGGCCCCAATAAAACAATGCCACGTCAGAGTCCAGCATCTCTGTCTATCCAAACCGTCACTCATCCTGAAGCCACAAATCCCTCATGTGGCTGCTTTCAGAATAAAATTGTGGCGATTATTGTATCCGTGGCCAAACAACAACCTCCCAGAAAACCCCGTCATCAGCAAGAAATTCGCAGAGAAAGAGAGATTTCAGAAATGGCGACCTCAATGATGACTTCCCTCCCTCAGTTCACTGGTCTCAGACCCAAAGTCTCTGTTGCTCCTGTTCAAAACCTGGTTCGTTTCCCTGTTCTTCATTTTTAGCATCTGATGAGATTGTAATTACTTGTTCATGAACTGATTGGATAGTGTTGGAATCAAAGAAACCTGTTTGATTTCGAAGTTGGGGATAACAAATGAAGAAACTTGTTTGCAGGTTGCTGTGCAGCCCATGAGGAGGAAGGGACAGGGAGCTTTGGGAGCTCGCTGTGATTACATTGGTTCCCCCACTAATCTGGTAACTTTTCCGTTTAATCAACTTAATTAATTACTATCCTTACTAGTAATCTTGTAATTACACAGTGATTAGGCTTAGGCCACACAGATAAATCCATTCATGGTTTTGATGAGATTATATACTTGTGGATGTGGATGAGCAGATAATGGTGGCATCAACAACCTTGATGCTGTTTGCTGGAAGGTTTGGGTTGGCTCCGTCGGCAAACAGGAAGGCCACGGCGGGGCTGAAGCTTGAAGCGAGGGACTCTGGCTTGCAGACCGGTGACCCTGCTGGCTTCACCCTCGCCGACACCTTGGCCTGTGGCTCCGTCGGCCACATCATCGGCGTCGGCGTTGTCCTTGGTCTTAAAAACATTGGTGCTCTGTAAACTAAACTATACTGCACTTAATTCTCTCAATTTCTCATCATCCGCCCTCTTAATCTACTCATTTTCAACTTCATTGTCTCATATCTTCTTCATTGTTGGTTCCACATTTCAACCTATCTTTACGTCTTAGGGACTCAAATTTGGAAAAGTTTGTCTCTTGGTTTAAAGTTTCTGCCTTTTTCATATTAAACATCAAGTAAACTAACTATTATGTGTTTACTTAAAAGAGGTCAGAGGACTTAAACCAAGACACAAACTTGGTCCCTCAAATTCCAACGCTGGCAATGAGTGAAACAGAAAAAATAACCACGGTGAGAAATACTTCTCCGGTCTTTAATATATCACTTAATTATTGAGTTAATTTTGATTCTAAATATAAGACTTATTTATCATATTTATCAGTTTTTTTTAAATTACCCTATAGATACTTCCTCGACCATAATCAAGCAGAAGAGGGAGGAAAGATATAAAGAAAGATGATTATATTGTTTTAGGAAAAATATGTCATATTTTTTATAATTAACTAACTTACATAACTTCTTTAATCAAACAAGTCAGTGATTAAAAACCGGAGGAGTAACACTAATAAGCTTTGCCTTTTTTTTTGCCCTTATTGCCCCAATTAGAAACTGAGATTTCCTACCCTTTGGCTTCGTCGCTAACTGATTACAATTCTGAGTATTTGGTGGAGAGCCAATTCAATGTGCCAAGTAGGGTCTTAACCTAATTGTAGAACTGAGCCTCAAACAAATTAGCTCCTTTTAAGTTACAGACTCTACATGTTTTCATCTTTTGTGGTTGACTGGATTTTATGTTAGTTCTTCTTTAAATGACTCAGTGAGTTTTAAGGAGTTAAGTTTGTTCAATACTTAATTTCAACGACGAACCGATAAGCCATACAATTTTACAACTTGCATGCTGTCAACCGTACTGGATTTTTAAAAAATTAATTAGTTAAACTCAGCTCGTTTAGTTTCATTATATATAATTTTTTGTATTTTAAGAAACAAAATTCTTTTTATATATTTATCTGGTACAAGATATAATCACTTAAAATAAACTTATCTGAATTAACGCAAATCACAGTTAAAACAACTTGTATACAGTAAACAGCGTTCTATGTTTGATGCAGAATGTGAAACTTGAAATTAATAGTAGCTCTTTTTTCCCCCTTCTTATTTTCATCGCAAACTAATCAAGAGCAGGAGAAAGCGCTTGAAACGAAAACACTATTATATAAAGAGACATATTCATACTAAACAGCTAATGCCTTTATTCATCATACCATATGACACTTGCAATATTTCTTAGCAATAAAAATTGACCAACGAAAGATATCCGTTCTATGGTTGCTCAGTTAAAAAAAAGTAGAGGAAGAAAAATTACTATTCCTCTTTTCCTTAATATAAAATCTAATTGAAAAGTTAATGTTAATCCTATATATAAAATTTATTTTATATGTTTATTAATTTTTTCAAATTAAACCCATTAATATTTCCATAACAATAATCAAATAAAAGAGGAAAGGACAAAATTAAGAAAGATACTTAGAGTGTTTCAGAAAAAAAATCATGATCACTAACTTAATTAACATACTTAATCTATTTAAATCAGTCAATTAAGTCTCATATTAAGAATCAGAAAAGTATAATAATAGTCATTGTGCCTTTCTTATCATTGCTGAAGAATGTTCACAACATTTTCTTTGAAATTCATTTATTTTTCTTCTGATTCCATTCTCTTCTGGACCCCAACCAAGACTGATGAAGTCTATCAGCAATTAAAATCATCATTATCATCATGATTACACGCACAAACATTGATATTCTTTTGGTCCTAAATGTAAGACTCATTAAATAGATCTTATATTTAGGACCAAAAGAATATTATTGATAAATTATGAATAGTTGACATACAAAATGAAGGCATCTCTCCTTTTTGCCAGACAAGAGGATGGGAATATTGGTAAACTCGAAGTTTTAATGTTGAGATTGGCGCCTACCAAAACAGAAAATTGTATCATAGAGATTCATATGCAGAAAGACATAAAAGTAATAAAATATTTGTGAAGCCATAGGCCGCTGCTTAGAGTGGCACAATAAATACAGCTCTTTGCATAATATTTTCTCTAGTCAACCGGCAAATTTAACTGCCGTAATATTCAAAATATAACATTTCTGGTCACAACATTACCGAGTAATTCCCCCTGTACTTGTCCACATTATCAGAACGCCAAAATCTGTCAGATGACCAAAATGAGAATTAATCCTTCGACAGAATTTGGATTTACAAATAGTAAAAAAAAAAAAAAGGTTACATTTTGTGTGCGCGTGTCCATATCTCTTGCAGTTATATACCTAAACATGTGAATGGGTAGCAGACTCACACTGGTTTTAAATGAAGATCAAACCAATGGAAGGAAGATGGAAGTGGGAATTCTTAGATTATATCCAAGTACAATACTAATGTAGATAACCAAAAGTTGTCTGGCGCTATATATTTATTCCCCTACTTCTCATTTGGCTCAGAAGCCAAAAGTTCTATTTCCTCAGTTAGAGATTCCAAACTCTGCTGCTGTTCCAAATGAACACCATTAGCAGATCCTTCCAATCCACTCCTCCGAGTTTTGTCCACTTCTGGAATCAACCCAACACAATTTTGGAATTTATCAAACAGTGTTTCGCATATAGCAGGCTCGATCTCCATTCCACTGTTGGTAGGCCTGTCACTTTCCTGATTTGAATCTTCATTTTCAGTGAAGGGACTGCCTAAAAGAAGCTGTTCCCAGGCATTATCATCGGGTGAATCTGGTAGAATAAATGGAGAATTATCTATTTGACACAATTTTTCATCCATGAGTACTTTTAAGAAGTCAGAATTGATAAAATAATCTTTCAACCCATCTGTACAGAGATTGGGTTCTGGTTGCTCATCTGAAACACGAGATGATGTAACTACAGGCTTCAATGTTTCACTCAAGGGTGGCTGATACTTCATTATCATCCCATCAGATGCGACATCTTCTACACTGTGCTCCAACATATTGCTTGTCTCAGTCTTACGCCAACCTTTTTCCTTGGGCTGAAGCAGCTGAACCATGAACCCAGGGATTTGCATGGCCATGACTAAGAACGATAACATCTGTTGCTGATTCTTCTCCATTCCTTGAAGCCGATTGGTCAGGAGGAGCAATTTGTTCTTAGATAATTCCTGGTGCTGCCCAAGTTTAACCAGCTCCTGTGTGAGTGCATTTTTATCAGTTTTCAAATTCTCGACTTCTTTCCATAGGTCATGGTTTGTAACTTCTTGAGAAGGCACATCACGATTCTCTTGCTGCTGTGATGGCTTTCGCTGATCTGCAACATGTGGATGTTTTCTTCTCAATATATTCTTCAGGAAATGCTTTTGACCTCTGATAAAGTCATCATTGGCAAATTCCCAGCGATCTGTATCAGTTTTCCTGAAACCCTGGTAGTTCTCACCGTTAGATATTACTGACTTTTAAAATCATATGAGGCATTACGCAAGTAAAGAACTTGTAAGGTTCAAGGAGTAATTTTTTTTACCCTCTCTGAAAAAAAGAGTTGAGTTAATTAATGTTGATTTCTACTACAAGTAAAGAACAAACACTTTGAAGAAAATAAATCAATCTTCCAGGATTCATGTACACAGGAAAAGATAACTATCAGCAATACGCAAAGGATGGGTCTGTGAATGGCAATTGAATGCATAAACCTTCAAGAATTTATAAATCTTTGCAATCATATTCTAAAAACTCTGGAATTTCTAATAACTGATACAGTGTTCTGAAATATTGGTATTGGGAAATGCGATCCTTCACATTAGTCACAATCAATAAAACATGATAACTAAGCCATAACCAGATGATTCTTCACACCGAAAGTTGTTCAGCTTTACAGTAGTACGCAGCACACTGAATCAGGTCAAATAATTTATTCCTGCTATAATCAGGATTTGGTTCTCACAATTGCCACACTTGTTTTCACAAATCGTGAATAAGTCACTCACGTCAATGTTTTCACCATGAATTGGACAACTCTAAACTAGCATATTACCCATGCTTATAGTTATCCTAGACCCAAAGTTGAACTGATAAGAATTAGCTGACACACTGAAAGGACCAGGATTTGCCAATGAAATGTTTTCATTTATATTTCTGTATTAGAATGCATCCTGCTAGGGTTAATACAGATTTGCAATTAACAGGAGGCGCACATCATAATGCTGGTCGATTTAGCTTGATAAGAAGATTCACCATGCATCATGATGGCTTTTTGGCTTAGAACAAAAAATTCAACCTACACATGAAAGATAAGTGAGAGGCTGAGGAGCGTTCATCTCTATAAATTATGAATTATCAATGATGGAATTTTTATGTCTTCCATGCAATCCCAGCTGCAACAAACCTAGACTAACAAGTCAGATTCTCAGCTATCTTTAAAAAGGAACTGATGTCTAGATCGGGAGGCTGAAAGATGGAATTTTTCTGTCTCCCATGCGATCCAACTGCAACAAACCTAAACTAACAAGTCCGAGTCTCACAAGCCCATATTTGAAAAGAAAATGATGTCTAAATTGGAAGGCTGAAAGTTCTTGACAATATCACAAGAAACAATACTACACTAATGAATCTCTATCTACCCTGTCTCCTGCAGCAAACGTATCTTACTACGAAGTAGTGAACAATAACAGCAAACCTTATCTTACAACCAAAGTACAGAACACTGCAGCACATATAGTCTCCAGGAGAAAAATTATTGCCTCAAAGAAAGAAAAAGAAACTCTTAATATTCAAAATCCAAATCTTTCATCCAATGTTAATTCCTAGTAGCCTTCAAAAGGTCAATTAGATCACGATACAATAAGGGGAAAAGCAAAAATTAAACCCCTGCATACAAGTGAAAGAACAACAACTATATTTTGCTTTGTGCACCTCTATGATTCAAAAATAAATAAATAAAAAAATTCAAAATACCAGTGTGGCCAGAATATTCATAATATACTTTGCTAGCCCGGGCTGCCGGGTCTGGAAAAGGTATGTTACTATTGCTACTATCCTGTCATATGAAGTAAAAACTGAAGCAATACATCTTCTCAAGGTTCCAACCTTATTGTAACAGAATAATAACGATATAATATCATTATCCACCTTAAAAAAATACACCCCAGCATCTCAGCCAAAAGACATTTCATGTGCAACTGTTTCAATTTGTCCATTTCACACTGACTTGTCGAGTTTGTGACATTTCTAGAGCTGGCAACAATTCTCGTAGCAAAAATCTAATTCAAAAGTCTAGGGTCAGGGGATGGAGCATCCCCTGGAAAAACTAATATTACAAAATACTTAAATATAAATCCATTACAGGGAACACTCACCATCCCCAGGCATCATCAATGGATATAAAGAATATTCTAGATCCTCTAGGGTCAGGTAATGGAGCGTCATTCCGATGCTAAGGTCTGAAAGGCTCAAGGTTTTCTCTATATCAGGAAAAAGGGCGCCCTTTCTTCACTTTCAATTGTGTATGAGCGCATAGGAAGTAGCAAAGCAGAAACTGGTGAGAACTTTGCAGTAAAAAGTAAAAGCACACTGAAAACACAGCACAAGATCACCAAAGCAATCATAAAAACAAGACTTGACCTAGTCTCAGTAGTTACTGAGTGTTGTGTCACATATGATACTGAGTGTTGGATACCTAAAGACAATATGCATATATGGCTCAATTTTTAAGCATCGGTATTCCATAAGACCTGATTTATATACACACACAAAATATAACAGATATACAACAAACAGAACAATCCAAAATTCGACCTTCAAAAATAAAGAACGAAGCAAAGAAGAAAGGAAAAATGAAAGAAGGAAGATACCCACATAAATATTAAGTTGCCTAATGAAACTGGAGAAATTGTTGTGCTTGAAATACTTAGGAAGCAAACACACGGAGAACTCAGTCATGTCCCAGATAATAAAACTGTCATTGCTTTTGCTCCAGGATATAAGCGAGTCGGTCGACTCATCGTCCACCATCTCATAACATTTTTTCAGGAAAGGCGCCACAGAACCAAAACCATTATCGGACGACTTTACCATCCCTTTCGACAAATTCCCACCAAAGAAATCCCAATTCGCGCAAAAATCAGTCGGATTCACCTGAATTTTCTCAAGTCTCAGCCCAAGGAGCAGACAAAGTCCTGGTCTTTCACTTGCTTTTGTAGAGCGAGAGAGAGAGAGAGAGAGAGCGGAGTAAAGGACCAGGACAGTGTGAAGCGATGGGATGGAAATTTCGCGTCTAACGCTGTTGCTGGGGAAGGCGGTTAGAGGCTTGGAATATCTTGATGACTTGAGGACTGGGCAATTTGCCAATTTCGCTTTTGGTTTGGCTTTATGTGAGTAGACCGAAGACTCAGCTAGTCAGCTTACAAAAATGAGAAGGAAAAAAATTACCAATAAATTTCATGTAAAAAATGATTCCACTTTTTAAATTAAAAATAATATATTTACAATATTTTATTCATTAATGTTGTGTATTCTATTTTTTTTTGGGGCCAACGATTAATATTGTGTATTCATAGCGTTTTTGTGGGATGAGAACCCACGATGTGATGATAAGATTTTTTGCCATTTTTTTTTAAATGATTTTGTGAATTTTTCATCCCCTGCATACGTCATATGTTAATCATATATATTTGTCTGATCTTAAATACAAGACTCATTTTATAGTATAAATTATACTCTTCTGATCTTTAATATAAGACCCATTTAACTAATTTGATTAGATTAAGGAAGTTAGGTAAGTTAGTTAATTATAAGAAAAGTGACACATTTTTCCTAAAACACCATAATCATCTTTCTTAATACCCCATCTCCCTCTTCTACTTGATTATAGTTGAAGGAGTATTCATAGGTGTAATTAAGAGAAAATTGATAAATATGATAAATGAGTCTTATATTTAGGACCAAAACCAACTTAAGAATTGGGTCCTATATTAAAGACTGGAGGAGTACTACAAAATGGGTCTTATATTTATGATCAAAGGAGTATAGGTTAACAATAAGAATGCGGTGATTATTAATATTTTAATTATTTCTTAAATTTATAAGTATTGATTTTAACGCATTCTATTGTCACATCTGTGTCATGCATTTGAAGACAAATATAATTAAAATTTACTTTTGCCAGCACAGACATGAATTCAATAATTAATTCTACTTCCCACTGATTTGAGTAGAAAATATGTACCGTTTTTTCATAATACACTCCTTGATTGTTTCCATTAAAACTACTCTATAATGTAAATTTCAGTAAATCCATAACATATATAGTTAATGAGGATAGTTTTTTTTTTTTTTAAAGTATGACGAATAAAATAACCTGAGACCTTATGTTTAAATCAAGCTTAACTCCAATTAATTCTTATATTAAGGATTAGATGAAGTAATTTCACATTTTAATTAATCTGTTTCTATATTGTAAATGTTGATATAATTTTTTTTGGTATAAAATGTTGATATAATTTTGTACTCCAACTCCATAATTTGGTGTGATAATAAAAAATTTTTTGCCATAGTGATAATAAATTGTTTAAACTTATATTTGAACTTCAACTTTAATAAATTTGTAAATTTATGCCCCATGAAGATGGGAGACAAACTCCGGACTCTTTCAACATAATTTGTTGAGATTCGTCTCAAATTTCGACTAATATTACTCCTTCGGTTTTTGGTGTAAGGCATTATATAGAATATTTTCTTGGTCTCTCTAGGTTCTCATAGGGAAAAAAAAAAATAGACTAAAAAGAAAGTAAAATCTATGTATGATTTAAGAGTTACTTAATCGTCTTTTTTTTTTTTTTACTTTCCCGTAATGCTATAATATTTTAAACACTAACCATTGGCAGCAAATTTCATTTAAATTAGAACTTATAAATTGGGACAATAAATTATTTATTACATATTTTTTATATTGTCCTTATTTTTGTTGGCACCTTTTTGGGAAGTTACGCCATGGCAACTGGCAACACTTAAAATTTATTTAATTTTAGTTTAGAAGTAGTTTTTTAAATAAAAATAATTTCAATTTTCCCTTCGAAATTATGCTTTATTTACTTTTCTTCATAAAACAAGATAAATTTCGGTACTGCTATTAAAAGAAAATAAAATTATCAGAAATAAATGCCAGAATATATGACCTTACTATTTTCACAAAAAATATAAATTATCTGCATCAAGTTACAGAGCCTTTTCAGTTTTCTTTTTTTCTTTTTTTTTTTTTAAGTTTGGGCCCATTAGGCTCCAGAGTTTGACCAACTTGATGAAGTGAGAATGCCCCAGGTTGGCCACCAATCACAGCCACTTTTTAACTGTTGCGATATATGACAACGTGGCATACTGGTCTTCTATGGATATTTTCACAGGAAAATGGCATTTTTGGGCTATTACTTTAGGGAGATGATATGATACAAATTAAAAGGATTTCAAATTTAAATAAATTATTGACAATTAAGGATCAAAATTCTTTATTACTGGTTTGAAAACAAGGTGGCCTTTACGAAATTAAATTCAACCTCAGTTGTGAGCATTAAAAAAAAGAGGTTTATGGTTATCAATAGTGAGAGTTTAATAGTAATAAATTATTTGAAATTCATTTTCAAATTCGTGAGAGCTTTGGGCTCTAGATAATTTATTACCACTTTTACAAATATATTGGAAATAAGATTACTCACCACTTTTAATTCTTGCAGTTGGGCTTTCAATGTCCAGTATTTGTTATGTTTTCAAACAAATATAGACTTTTTTTTGGGTTTTCTATCAGATTTAAATTTAAACTTTTAATAAGATTAAATTTTGATTAAAAAAAATAATGCAAAAGGATCCTTTTTTAAATAATTACATATTTAAATTAGTTGATAGATTTTGGTAAGAGACTTTGAAAAACAAAAGTGTGCAACAATTCGTTTAAAATAATGTTTCCATATGTCATCAATTCAATTAAAAAACCAATAGTAATTGGATTGAGTAAAGAAACTCGGCTCTCCTTAAACAAAATCTGTTCTTAAATTTTGTAGATGGAGAGAGAGAGAGAGAGAGAGAGAGAGAGAGCTACTATTAATTGAATTTAACGATTTTTGAATCTGACTTGATAGTATAATCAGGTATCAAATTAAATTATTATATTTCTCTTGGAAAACCTCCCTCTTGAGAGACTTGTTTAGAGATTATGTCCCTATTTCTTACTTAAAGTTTCGTTGAGACATATGACTTCTTCCATGTGATTAGCTGTTGTTATTAATATGGTGTTCTTCTATTAATATCTTTTTCCACGTGAAATGCAGTGCGTAAAAATCCATTGTCTTGTCTTTTTATTTTTCATTGTCCTTGTGTTATTTAACGTAACTGGAATTAGATTAGATTAATTATATTACAACACGAAGCATCGTCTGTGAAATCTACCATCATCATCATCAGCTAAGAAATGATGGAATATTGTTGGAGATTAAGCTTCCTTTCACAGTTCATGTTGATGATTTATATGCATTTGAGATGATGATGAAGGAAATTAATTTTATTTTTCCTGAGTCATCATTAATATATTCCTCAAATCAATGCCACAATTGAGCTTGAGCTTCTAGCTATAGGTCTTGGTTTTGTCTTCCTAATAACCTTCTAAAGGTCAGTGGATTAAGATGAAGTAGAGGAAACTAAATACTACATTTTAATAGAAGGAAAAAAGAGTGAGTCCACTGATTTATATCCTGCGAATAAACTACATCATCAACAAGTGCTCATCATAACGGTTTATTAATCATGGTTTAAATTTTATTACCGGTAACAGGTTATAAAAATTGAATTGTTGCCGACAGATATACATTAACAAGTAATACATAATAGTAGAATAAGAAGAAGAAATATAATGGTAGAGTTTATACATTAGTTTGCGATATAAACCCTAGATTTTGTTCAAACAAGTCCTTATTCCTTTGTTTTCAGTTATACCTTCACATGTCAATGAACTCTAAAAGAGTAATTCAACATTCTAAGAGGTCAAGTCCTTATCTCTACTATTTAGAACTCACTGCAAGAGAATTTTCCTTTTTGTCATATATCTTCTGATTCGTGACTTCTCTATCAATTCAATTGATAGGCATGGGACTCTGTGTTTGAGTAAGCTAGACATCAGCTTTTGGTCTGACAATCCCTTAACAAGAAGATATATAAGATAACAAATATACTTAATTAGATGCCAACACAAATATAAAGAAGATAGTACAGTACATAATATGCTCATTGCCCTAGAGAGTGACATATATAGAAGCAGCTATATATATATAGCTAAGTTTCTTATAAAAGTTGATATCATAAACCTACACATTCTAAACAATCATTCTGACAGCCCCACAAAATTAACTATCCTTGCTGACACAGGCACAGAGAGAGAGAGAGAGAGATTGCGTGGAGGTGATAACATATCTTTGCACTAATTAATGACATGAATCATCGTTCAAAGATTCTTCTTGCTGCTGCACTCTATAGCATCTTGTGGCTTGTTATGATTATTATTATTAGTATGATTCGGATTGCATAGTTCCTTCAGCTCAACGTGCATTGAATTGATGAACGCTCTTGCTTCTTTTGTTGGTTCTTCAATGGCTTCTTTCAGGCTGCTGAGGGCCATGCAATATGCTTCCTGCAGTATGAATCCAACATGCCCCAGAAATATATACATCAGGTGTGAATTTGCACATATTATAGCAGTTAAGACCTAAAAGGTGCTTAAAATTTAATGTGGAATGCGTAAGCATTATATTTGCTTTTATGGACCCCTGGTATAATACCATGAATTGATCAAGTTCTGCAGAACTCGGAGTTGAAGCTGTTTTGAGCCCAGAATTTGCCTTCTGCTTACATGCAGCTTCTGTTAGATCAAACTCTTCTCCAGATTCGCCTAACCCCACCTGAAATAAACAATATTGCACTCAGAGACGCAGGGAGAAAGATGCACATATATATAACCAATGAACTTTGATTAAATGATAGTGAAGCTGTTTTTCTGAACTGAATTTATTTGAGTCACAAATTATAAACCAATACAAAGACAGACGTTCAACCCTGCAAGGCTTCTTGCTAATCTGATGATAGTTAACTGTTTCGCTATAGCCAAGTAGTGTAATCTGCCTAATTAAACTTCTAGTTGACTAAGTTCTGTCTTGTTTTCTTCTCTGAAAAAGATATACTTGATAGACCACGATTTTCCTTTTATAGATCATTCTTTTTGCAAGTTCTAGTGAAGATAAGGAGGACCAGATTGTCTCTCCTTGTTTTTCTTGTCTTCTTTCCCAGCAATAGGTAATAAAACATAGCCTTTACGATCCCTAGCTGTACATGTGTTTCCATATATATATGGTATGAAAACATATAATAGCTAGCTTAATAGCCTTTATTTGTCACTCGTACTTCGTCTAAAGACCTACCTATAAGCATGTTCCTTCCACAAACACCATGGCAGCTCTTCACCCAATTCACAGTACAGGAAAAGATACACATGAAAAGAGAAAAGAGGAAAAAAGGGAATAACGCAGTGTGGAAAGAACAAAAAATTGATAAGATACCTTCAAACAGTTGAAGTGAGATTCAATCAAAAGGCCATAAAGAGGATGACTGGAAATCATCTTTTTCAGAACCTCATGATCATCATCCCTTATTAGTTTCTCTCCGTCATTTTCTCTCCCACTTCCATACTCACCAATTCTACGACCCTCCATACCTCTCTCTCTTACGCAAACAAAACAGACACACACAAACCCTCATACACAAAGGCATATATATACAGTCACAAATGCGTATGGGAATTTAATGAATTATTACTAGATTACAAATACATCTCTCAGATAAAAGAAGTCACTATTATGGTTCTTGGTGCAAGTGAAGTGTAGCAGTAGCTATCAATATGTACGTACGTTCCTTTTTTTGTCGCTGTTGTGAGTTAATGAAGTTACTTCATTACGGTGAAAATATCAGTATGAATCAAAGTGCATATATATATATATATATATATATATATGAATGAACATGATGTGCATGGAAACACGATAAAAGGTGAAAGCAATGTACTGTGCAGTGCTGTGTATGCATGGACTTTTTCGCGACGAAAGGAACTTGTCAAGGTTTAGTGCTACGATTAAAGTAGCTTTCAAGGTACTTGCAACCTGCAACCCTTTTTGGCCTTTTCTGCATTCCCTTTCTCTTCTCACATATTCCCCTTTTTGACTACTTCTCTGCGTCTTTGTTATTTACTAAATTCTTGTTTTTCCCAACCAGAATCGCCAATTCCTAGTTACTCCCATTTCTTCTCAAGCACTACTGCATATCATCTATCATTGAACTTCAATCAGCTCATCAGTAGATAAGCATTTAATATTTAAAGTTTATTATTACTTCAATTGTAGTCCAACTGACATGGCGGATTTATTTGCATGCATGTCATCATGGGATAAACTGTAAATTCAAAAAAGGATGGGGAGATTTTAAATTTGAATTTAGGATTATTGAAAACCAATGAGTATATATTTTGGATGAACTTCTCTGGTTATGTTTGGTTACATATCTGCGACTATTTTTGGGGGCATAACGTTCAAAGAGTATTAATTATATATCGACGTGTAATTAAATTTAAGACATGATACTGAGGTGCAAGTAAATGCTGATCTTATTGGGCTGGAAGGTAGACAAAAGTGTGACACGAGGAATTAGAATAGATGTAGTAGGTGTTGGTAATAGGGCTGCTCAAGAACATGTAGCAGCAGTTTGTTATCATGGGAATTGCTTAATTAATCAACGATTTCTTGGGATTCATGCATGTCTTGAAGAAACTGAATCAGGGACAACATTAATGAGTATTTTATTTATTAACTAATAATTAATGTGGTTGTTGTTGATTTGGTCTGCACATTTAAGCATGATGTTTATTTTTCTTTGCTTGGTGATCAAGCTTTTGATGAATAATTAAGGTCTTATCAACCCTGATGATTAAATCAGTTGGTTGGGGTTGTTTTAGCTTAACCACGGATCTCGAGTTCAAGACGTTGGAACACAACATCTTAGAGGCTAGGGGCGCCAACCTTAATATTTCATGTCATGCCTCGATCTGGATTAGTCTTAGCCTGTTGTTGTGCCTGAAAGATAGTTTGACTCAGGATACCAGGTGCTAACGCAAAAACAAAAAATAATAATAATTAAGGCCCTGTCATATTTATGTAAATTGAGGCAAAATTTCTTTTACATACCTATCTTATACACTATAAATCATGATTGAAAAGCTATTTTTGAAGATTTTAATCGTCATTTTAAACAAGCATTTAGCCAGCTTATTCAGCATCTAATAAACTCCATATCATAATATATCTAATCTCATTTCTCAATTCTATTTAATATCCTATTCCTTTAATTTATTTTTACTTCTATTAAATGCTTGGTAGTTGTTTTCTAAAATAAAATGATCAATTATATGTATAAAATGAAACAGCTATACAACTAGAGTTCGCATAATAAATGGGAACATCAGTAATTTATAGAAAGAGTGGCTGGAAAAAGAATGTAATAGCGGGTTAATATCTTTTCTCCAGATGTCACTGAAATCAAAATCAGCAAGAAGATCATTAAGCAAATTCTTTTTTAATTTCATGTGACGACAATGGTATTATATCGTTTAAAGATATGCATGCAGAAGAAAAGTGAGGCAACTTGAGATTGAATAATACAATACAGCATTAATCTTAGATAGAAGGGTTCTAGTGTTGATAATAAGCTTTAGTTATTTTAGAATATGTATCAATATATATTCATAAAATAAAAAAAGAAATTAAAGGAAAAGATTAGAGATTGAACATTGAAGGGTGGAGTAATTGAGGGGAGAAAGAATCACATGTGGTTCTGCTTCGGCTTACTATTGATGACGCAACATTGGCAGACTCAATGAGCAAAACTTCCAGTTCAGTTTTCAGTAGGACGCCTATTCGACAAAACTTTGTAATTTCCATATATCCTTCGCCTTTGTGGAAAACCAACATTAATTATTCATATAATATATATGACTTAAAGCTTATAGAGTTGTTTGTTGAAAAAATAAAAAGTTCAGAGAGTTATTTATATACAATTTAAAGTGTAAATTCAGACGGCGAAAATTATTTGGTAATTAAGGATTATCTCCAGTTGAGTTTAATTAATTATTCATATATGACTTTAAATTTAGAAAGATATTTGTGGGGGGGGGGAGTTCAGTGAAAGTTATTTATTTGCAATTTTAAGTGTAAAGTGATATGGAAAAAGATTATCCCGTAAGAATTATCGTCAATCGAGGTTAGCAATTGTTAAATTTAACAAAATAATATTGAATATCAGATAGTAATTAAAAATATACATATTATATTAACTTTGGTTTGAACACCCGCTGAGAAAGTTGCCCATATTTTATACCTGCTAGTATTTCGAATAATAGAATTGTCTCCAAGAGAAGGATACTTATGTTTAAACAATATATATATGGATTATGTAGTTATAACCATCATAACATAAATTTTGATTTAGTAGTTGAATGATAAATTAATTGATGGTAAGAAATTATGTGAAAAAATCAAAGTTAAAAATATCCATACGAAGCTTTAAACCATAAATATGTATCCATCAACAAGTCAAAATTCACGAAATCTGCTGGCAATTTAACCTCAGATAAATTAGACATGATTTAATTTTACCCAATCTATGAGTGTTTTTTTTTTCTTGCTTGGATGAACTTCACTTTTTGTACAATTTGCTTCCCTGACATGCGTGGAAAAAGTGCTTAGAATTTCCTTTGACATATTACTGTTTAGTTTTGGTCTCTTCTGTCCCAAATTCTTATCTTTCATCTCTCTCCCTCTCTCTCTTCTCGAAACATCATAAGTATGATTTACTCGTAATGGAGACTAATCTCTTTTAAGATGCTGGGTAAAGATTTAATCAGATTTACAAAAGGATTAAGTAATTAAATACTTTGTTATGATTATGAAGCCGGATTTAAATGACCGTTAATCACATGTCACTGTGCATAACACGTGTGTTTGTGTGTGTGGTTGACTGGGTGGTTCAAAGACAGGAATTTTGGGACGATGGACCCATGGCTACAGCAGTAGACAGAGCAGAGCTAAATTATTTGACAAGAGCCTAAAGCCTAATAAAGGGTTGTCACCTGTCAGATCCACCACTTATAATTAAACATTTCAATTATTTTGGAAGAATTTAATATTTTCTCCCCCCCCCCCCTATAATTGTTGGTTTTTTTGTCCCAAACTATGTTTAAAAAACACACTGAATCATGTGGAAGTACATGGAATTAAGGCTATTTTTTTAAATACAATTATCTAGTGCTATTACATTAGAATGCAGAATTATCATATTATACTGGAGTTTTGTCAGATCTAAGTAAGATCTCTTCTCATAAAACTCTTTAAAACTCTCCTAGCAAGATTGGTGTGTTAAGGTCAATTTTATTTAATGCAGAGACAAAGGGTAAAAGGAGCAACAGCTCGTTAATCATAACCATTGATATGGCTTTGTGCAAAGTTAACAATATAATTAAAACATTAATTCCCAGTATTTCTTAAACCTGTATTCATTTTTCATCATTATCTACTTCTAAAACAAGTGTTCCAGTTTGCCAGCGGTAAGTTATTGAAGACTTGTTGGTAGATTATATAAGCACCATATATATGCCTGCCTCTATAAGCTTTGAAATGTAATCCTCCATATGTAATCGCCATGACAGCACCTTGAAATCAATGTGTTCCATTCTGCAGCGGCGGCAAGACAGCATCTTGGACAGCTATAAGCCTTGCTCTTCCACCGTACTCTTCTGGTAGAACCTCTTCTCCAACGTCCTTTATAAACTGTCTTCTCTCCTCTTCATTACCCACAACTACTATCTGCAATCACCCCCACAAATTATTCCATCAATGCTTTTTTATATCTGTGAAGAGTAACATCTCCTTGTAATGTTTCTATTGAGCGGTAACATGAATTGATAAATGTTCAACTTCAAGGTCATGCTCAAATGGGCATGCCTACCAAGTTTAAGGGAAAACTGCATTTCAACTCGCTATTTTGAGGCATGTTCATTTCTAACTGAAATGTACATATAAACTGTTTTGAACTTCTCAGTATCAGCATTGAGACTTCCAATCCTGAACTGAGGGAACTGTCCCATTCAAATCCTTATTTGGTCTGAATTTAGACCATACTTCAGCTTCATTCATCCTCATCCAAGAACTTTGGACTAAAATGAGAACGTTAACTTCTAATTAAAATTAACTGCAATAGGCAAAGTGATCCTCCAATGACATCATATATTTGCATTTTCACCTCAATCAAATGCCATGAAGATTGTTGAAGAAGCAAGCAAGCATGGATTTTATAACTTAGTTCAGGGGTAAACTGTAGTTTTCTTAATGTATATATGGTTCTTAGACAAGCATGAATGATTTCATTCCTATACTTTCAGCACCCTATCAATTTTAAACATTGGACAGTTGATATTACCTTTTCTAGAGTTGCCTTCTCTAGGAAACGACAAATTAGCTTCCATACACTCACAAAAAACTGAGGCATATGTATAACATAGAGCTTTGCTAGACGTTCAGGGTAGTAAGCCTGCAATTCAATTAAAAGAAACACAATAAATGAGATTCGATTTGATGCGTTAACTGGTGCAAAACTTAGGGTAAGTTAGATGGGCTTCACAGTGCTGACAAATTTTCATCCAAATATTCGATGAACAATGAAATGATGAACAGATTTGAACGATAACTATAATGAATGCATAATCATGCAAACTAGCACAAGGGAAACTCCAGTCAAAGATATCCTGTAGGGTTAAAAGTTTCAATTTTCCTTATTTTTTTAATTTACTTATTAATTTTTAGTCTAAAGTTTCTGTATATGGATGAACTCATTTCCAGCACTGACTAAACTTCATATTACAAACTTGTGACCAATGTAGGTTATCTGTATTTGGTGGGTCACACAAAATTCAATACTGAAGGAAAGAAGAGAGGAAAATCTGCAAAGAAAAGCAGGAAATTTTGAAAGTAGAAAAAAAAGAATGAAACTGTTAATGCTTATAGGTCAAGAGAGGCATAAGAAGTTTGGAAGTTGAAACTGGACGATGGTTAAATTAAGGTTCTTCACCATAGAGCCACCTCACTCTAGTCTACTTAAATATTTCTTGGGTTATTAACGCGATCTGATATGAACTGATTCTGGAGCAATTTATTTGTTATCACAGAGAAAGCATCATCAGTGCTAAGTAAATAAAATAATCAGGTCATAGAACTTAGTGAATTTGCCAAATTTCGAATATAATTAACAAAGTCAAGTAAACAACTATAATTTTTGTGTTCATATAATTTTCAGATTAAATTAATTTCATGTTTCATGTAAGCCGAGCGACAATGCAAGTATCTGTGCAACCTGTACCTCTCAATGATAAAATGCATGATGTGGACGAGAACAGTTACAGAATATAATGCTTGAAGAGAAAGTACAAATCAACGGCCATTTGCTATCATGAGTGACAGTTAATGTTACAAGTAAGAAAACGAAGAAAGTCACCTGTAAGAATTGAAAACCAGTGATGAACCCTCGTGCATCAATGTTTTTATACATGAGATTCTTCAGATCAACAACTGCAATCAACTTTTCATTTCCTATCTCCCTTCCTTTTACAGCACTGAAAACCAGTGAAATAATTAACTATAAGTCTCTCAATAGTCGATGACTGTTTGATGCAACACCCACTCACACACACACAGTTGCATAGATGCAAACAAAGGTATATGAGAGAGAGAGATAGAAACAGAGGGAGGAGGGGAAATAGATGAAGAACAGAACAAAGACGGGGAATAAAGGCAAAACGTGGGGGAAGGGGAGAGAGAGAGAGAGGGAGGCAACAGGCATTCATTCACTCAAAAACAAGTCTGAATACACGAATTACTTAGTGGCTATAAATAGAAGCCACTTGCAGGTTTCTTTCAGCCAAATGCTAGTTTGTAAAGATTGTTGAAGCGAGAAAGTCTCCTCTTGCAGTGGACTTATTTGTGAGTTTTTCTAGTTTACACATAGAGGTGGTTCTTCATATTTTCTTTCTGGTCCAGAGTTCAAAGAGATCTTATATTTGATTTTAAAATTCAAGAGTACTGTTTCCTTTAGTGGTTACTATGATTTTGACATCTGAAACTGGTATGTGAAAATGCTACTGAATTAGTGATCAATAGGTTCATCGCAAGCAGCACAACAGTTATTTCTCAGAGATGATAGGCAAATCAATGTACCAATGGTACAGTTACGACATACCTTGCGATTGACTTGTCAAGCAAATGAACAACATATTCTGCACCAACAGACAAGTTAAAACATTTGGCTAAGTAGTTGAGTTCTCATAAAAATCACAGCAGAAAAATTCAGTCATTTGCAATAACTTCTGTTTGGATCATACGATGAAGAAAAGGAGGGAGGGGTGGAAAGGCATAAGTAAATTGTAAATTAGAATTTCAAAATAAGGTGGTTGATTGGCAACAAGGGGGGAAAAAGTGTGGGTGCTAATGGAATCAAATCATCAAGTATTAATTATTCCCCCCGGGGGTGAAAACACAACGTGATAATAGATTTAGGGTGTGTTTGGTAGAGCGTTCTGAAGGTGGTACCATGCATTGAAGGAGAAAAAAGCACGATGAGGCTTAAATTAATATTTGAATTCACGATACATCAAAATGGGCTTATGGTGCAAAAGCCACAATATCTCAAAAGCTAAAATTTATTGCTTTTACCGTTTCACATGACCCACTATGGAGAGAAAAAATAAAACCATGAGAATAGATAGCTTTTAAAATAAGACCATGAGAATAGATCAACCAAATCGGACGCTGGAAAAAAAAAAATCACAAGCAACATTGCATTAAAAAAAAGTTTATAGGTAAAATTATATACAAAAAAAAAATTGCTATAGGTAAAATTACACCACTAAAATATAAAAATGTTGGGTACACCTGGAAAATAAAATTAGGACTAAAAATACACCTTTACCCTTATAATTTAAATATTTTTCTTAAAATTATCACATTATTATTTAATAATGTTCATATCTCTTTTATTTATTTTATATTCAAACTTACTTTTCTATTAACTATCCAAACAAGTTTCAGCTTCTCAAACTGAATTTTTTTTACAAAACTCAATCTAAACATAAATCACATTACACTATCTGACTTTTACTCAATCTGATTTCTGTAAAAGTCAGATTGAAAAAAAATTACTTCTACCACCGCTATTCCAAACACACCCTTAATAGTGATCTTTTCAATAAAAAAACAATATGAAAGAAACAAAAAAACATTTTGAAATTACTCAATTCTTCTTATTGAAACTATGTTAACCTTAATGGTTGTGGTTATTTTGAATGGAGAAGATCAGATAAGGAAGCAAAGGGATGTGGTGAAGGAAGCAGCTTAGACTTATCCAGCTTGATGACAAAGATAAGTATTGAATGGTGCCGTAGGGGGGAAATAGAGAAAGGAAAGGGGCCCACTTAGGTGGGTCCCGCCTATATTTCTAAATCTCTCCCCATCAAGGCCTTGTGCAGGCTTGGGATCCATTTCAAAGTCTAAATTGCTGCATAGGACTTTTACTAACTCTAATAATTAACAAAAATGATGTCCTCAATAAGCGCTGAAGTATTAGAATAATCTGGCATAGATTAAAAGTTAAAACACAGATATATATTCCAGAGGGCAAGATAAATAGGCTGGGCTCAACTATTTGTACTAATAGTGGAACCTTGAGGACCACTTGAAGTCAGGAGAATTGTACTGACTTACATTTATGGTTCTCCAGCAAGAAAAGTCTGGTGCAAGTAGATAAAGATCAGACACAAACATTTGACAGATGCTAATAACAGCATGATTATTGTGGTGGCTAAACTGTATGGTGATATTCATACTGATAAACTCATCTAGATGAATCGTTTCATAATGAAATTCCAAGGTAGTTGTAGAACCAGAAAAACAGAGCAAGTCAAGATAAGTAATCCAATTGTATCCACTTGACCATTGACTTTTAATTTGGAAGATTTCTCTCGTGCATAATTGTCCGGTCTGATGGCTCATATAAAAGAGGCATCTTTGAACTGATGACACTAGAATCATACTTTTCAAAACAGACAAAAGAATTATAGCCTTTTTAATTCTTAAATTATTTTGTTAGAACTCAATTTTCAATTTGGTCCATGCAGATTAAAAATTTGTAATTGGGTCTCTAAATATATAATTTCAATTTAGTCCCTGTTTTAAACCTCTATCAATCTGTGTGGTTAATTTTTTTTTTTTTAATGTGATCCCCATATATGATATGCTATATTAGTACTCCAAATATACATAATCCATGGATTGAAAAGGGATAAGAACAGGTGTTGGAGTGAAATCCACTCATAAATGTGGCATGTGATCCCACCTATCTAGAGTGACAGAAATGAGTTGGCATGAGCTGTGCATATCTAAAGCATCAGCGGAGGTTTAAAGACCAAAATCAAATTAAAAAACGTCAAAACTAAAAGTATTAAGTCATAAACTTCATTTACTACAAGGATCAAATTGAAACTTGAGCAAAATTATAAAGTAGTTTAACCCTTTTTTTGTTTGTTTTGTATATGAGAGGAGAGAAAATTACTCTTGAATTGAGGCTGATCCTTGGAAGGAAAATGCTTGCAGGCTTGAACAATCAACAAAGGGTATTTATCCTGAGACAAACCCTGCAAAAGGACCTTTCTTGCAGCTAATTCATCAGCTATTTCAGATTCTGAAATGAACCCATTAGGCACCATTGAAGCCCTCCACTTCTGCCACTGAACAAACATCTTGGCGGCTTTATTTGGGTCCATTGATCTTGCAATCAAGAACCTCATCAGTGTTGGACCTTCATACATCTGCAAAATCAAAAGTCTTCTAGCCATAAAACAATGATTTTCGGAGATTCAACACTCGCATAATATGCATCGTGTGAGAAATGTATAGACCGGTCACCTCAGCAGAAGAACCAAGCTTCTCCACTGCTTTCCTCATCTGGGTCGCTGCAAAATCTTCTACTTCCCCCATTAATTTGAAGCTCTATTAAAGATGAGTGACTGAGAGAACAACGATGAGAGAAGAAGAAGATGATGATCAAAACCCAGGCCTCAAGAGGGGAGGCTCATGGGTTCAAATTTCTTGTTTTCTTCGTTTGTGCCAATGTGGTTTCGGTCGGATTCCCGCTTTAGTGGAAGACAAATATAGAAGGTTGGCGGGTGATATAAACTGTCAAAGTCATACTAATAAATGCACATGATGCATGACGCTGTTTTATATTTTTTCTCCTCTGCTACATATAATACTCATTTTATAATACAAATTATATTATAAAATAGATTTTATATTTAAAAATAAAAAAGTTCTATTTATTTTTTCAGAAAAATTAGCCTGGGCACAGTTCTCCACGGAAGAAACAGTGCCTCCGTAGAATTATTGCCTATGATAGCACCAAAAAAAAAAAAAGAAGAAAAGAAAAACAAAGGAAGACTTTTCTTTTTTCTGTATCTGTTTTTTGTATCCCGAAGTCAAAGAAAGCCTTGTGAGTGATTAATGATCGAAGGAAAATAAAATACTACCTAGCTCTGATTCTAATTATAAATACTAATTGACTAATTTAAAGAGATTAAGAAAAAAAAATTAAGTTAGTTATTTATAATAAATTTGTGTTATTTTTTTTAAAATGTCCTTGCTAATCAAGTGTATTTATTAGTTAGAATCACCATTGTTAGAAGGACTACATTGGAAAAAAATACATAAATATGATAGACAAAATAGATTAGAATCTTATATTTAGAATCAAAATAAAAATCAAACAAGGTCTTATATTAAAAACCGGAGGTAGTAGTACATAGTAACTGGAAGGGTTGCCACCTCCAATAATTCCCAAAATATTCCTAACGCATGTTTGTGATAAATAATTGATTTAATTAATTTTTAAATTTTTTAAAATTAATTATCTAGTTTTTATATTAAGGAACAATTTGTAATGGTTATTAACATCAACCTCAATTAGCAGGAGTGAATTATTATGGATATTTTTAAAAAGCTAAAAAATTATTTCAAAACTAAATACCTATTCTTAAAATATTGGAATGGTCAATGGCGGAGGATAGAGGGAGGATTGACGGGGACAAGTATTATATAATTTTTAAAAAAATATTTATGCAAATACTAATATTGTTCAATTTTGGTACAATTATTTGTAGACCAGCCCTATGCATGGGAGTGGCATAATTGGAGCCAAGATTTTTTATTTCCTACAATGGTCTGGTTTTTCTTGGGCCCACATAATGGTCTTTAACTTAAAAAATTTAGTTTAGTAATATAATTTAAATATATTCATCTATAATAAATATAAAAGTCACACATGTGTTTTCACATATAAATAATAACTAAATTAAAGATTCATCTTTTGTGGAATATTTTAGATTATTTTTGTCGTTACCGTCAACAAGAATGAAGCCATATAAATGGCCTGCTTTAATTTCAAAGGCGCACTTTTGAATTTTTAAAGCTTTAGTCAAATATCGACAGGTATGAATTCTTTTTATATGAATAGGGAATGATTGATTTTTCGAAGCAAATATGATAATTTAATAGTTCATTCAGAAATTGAGTATCTGCAAGATGACGGTCTTGATCAGGAAAAATATTTTTATCTGGAAACTCGGAGATTTAAAGTTTTTGGACATATAATTATATGGCAGTCAACAATAAGCTGCTCCAATAGCAATAACAATAACAGCATAGTACCGCAAGTGCTTACATTGATAGCAAATGGGCCATGAATCTTGAAATATTAACCCTAAAATCTTATAACTTTAAAAAAAATTGCCATAAATATAAATATATATATATACACACACACTCCCCAATATCTTATTATGATATATTGATCGTCCTATTTTCATCAAAATAATTGAAAACATAGATATTCTGTGCAGGTATTGTTTTCCTTGTTTTCCTTTCTATACTACAGCCTCCCCCCCCCTTCCGAAAGAAAGGAAAAAAAAGAAGGAAAATACTTTACAAGAGAATCTATTAAACAAAGAGGACGGAGATGGGAACTAATTACTACTTACAATCCTTAATAAAAAAAATCCAATTGATTTATTTGAGGAAATTAAAAAAATTACTAAATTATTTAAGAGTATTTATATTTATTTTTTAAACTAATTTGTTTCACTTATAAATTAATATATGATCTAATACTACCTTCGATCTTTAATATAAAAACTAGTTGACTAATTTGAATAGATTAAAAAAGTTTGTTAAGTTAGTTATCTATAATAAATAGGTATTGTCTTTCCTAAAATACTCTTGCTAATTATGTGTATTAGTTACAACTACCATTTAATAAAATCTTTAACATGTGTAACTATTACAAGGACTGTTTTAGAAAAAAAAATGAAGGAATAAGAGAGACAAACTAAATCAAAATTTTATATTAGAACCAAATTAAAAATCAAACTAATTCTTATATAAATAATCGAAGGTTATACACAAGTATTTTAAATATATCATATAACATATAATATATTTAAGTAATTTAATATTTTTTTAATTTTTTAAGTTTAGTGAACTAAATCTTATAACAAAGATCGAAAGTAATAATTTTTCATGTACTATGAAGGAAACCATAATTAAAATGTTTTTTTCCCCTGTTCACTCGAGAAACATGTTTTTTTTCCCCCTGGATACACGATTTAAATGCTATAATGCCAACATTTTGGACGTTAGGTGCCACTATTTTTAAAACAGAAACGCCAATAACATCATAGTCTAATTCAAAAAAGGTACAGCTGTTTAGACAATTAGGATAATTATTCAAGCCAAGATTTTATCATGGGGATTTAATTTAAATAAGTTTACACAATACAGAAGTAAATAAACCTAGATGCAATTATTTATAATAATTAAATATGAAAGTTGTATGAGCTTTTGGTCACATAAATAGTAAGTTTTAAAATCATTTTTTGTTTGAAAAAACGAGTTTAAAAATCTCACATCAATATGATCACGAAACTCCAACTGTAAAGAATTTCCTACTTCAACGGTGCAAGCTACAATATTTAAAGCCTTAGTCAAATGTAGACAGACAGGTATGGTTTTTTTTCCCTTAATAGGGATATGACTTTTCGAAAAAAATATAATACTATATTAGTATATTTTACAGTGTATACTCTATAATATAGATCTAAAGAAAGAAAAATTAAAATATTAATTCGTCAAAGCGACTCTTAAAATTGGAATATAACTCCCGTCTAATCACTGCCACGTGTTTGAATTATTGCGCTGTTTTTCCCCCCACGGTGAAGAAAGAAGTAAAATAATGAATCAATATATGCTTTTTGTCTTCGGTATAATAAAATAATGCAGTTATTTTATCATAACCCTCTTCTCTTATGCCACATGGGAGCGAGATCCTTGGAGATAACAGATTGGATTTCTGTGTAAAATCAAGAAGTTTCTTCCATAATCATGATCAATATAATTGATAATCATCATCTTCAGTTTTTGTTTGTACAAACCTTCTTTTCTAGTTTTAATTTTCTTTTTACATTTAACGGGATGTTTGAATACAACCAAATAGTAATTTTAAAAATAATTTTATGATATATAAAATAAATATATAAAAAGAATTTTATCCTGACTTACTAAAAATGTTTTTAAAAAATACTTTCTGTGAAAACCAAATACCGCCTAATTATTAGTTGATTGTTAAATTACATTGCTGACCTTTTGTTTTAATCAAAATGTACACCTTCTTTAGCATTAGGTACTATTTGGTATGAAAGAAATAAATGAGAGGGAAAAGGAAGGAAAATTTTAATGAGTTTTATTTAGAAAATTAAAAAAGTGGGGTTTTAAAATTTTAATAAAGAAAATAAGTAATATAAAAGAGTAATAAAAATTAATCAAAAACTTTTAACCCCACTTTTATAATTTTTTAAATCGAGTTTATTAAAAAATTTTCTTTCTTCCGTCTCCTCCATTTCCCTTATATCAATCGCACCTTTAAGATCACTTAACAATTATTTGAATAATTATTTTAATTTGCCTATCCCAATATGGAGAGGTTGACAATATTAACAATATGTTGCCTCTTCCAATGGTGACTTTTGAGTTGGGATCACCCACATACGCCCTCGAGGGTTTCAGGATTTGGATCAAAATATGATATTAAGTTAATTTCAACGGTTTCGAACCCAAAATAAAGAGGTGACCTGGATAAGTAAGTCACTTCACTCGTCAATTATGTCAACAATAAGCCAAGGAAAATTACTTTTTTTTATCAGATAAGATAATGAAAATAATTCAATTAATGGAAATCTCATAATAGTTACATTAAAGAATATCAATCCTTCAACAACCATAGTATAACAAGAAGGAAAGACACAATAATTGGTAAAGGAAATAAATTACAGAAAAAGAAGAATAATAGAAGGAAATTCCCAAGAGGAAGAAGAATGATGGTATTATATGAGAGGGAAGACATGACCAAGTTCATGGAATCCTTTGTCACTACCACTCTTCTTCAAAACCCTTTGATTATTTTCTCGGCCCTTTCCATTATTCCAACCCAAATCTCTTCTTAGTCCATCCTCATATCATTACTTCATGAAATCACCACTAACATGCTTTAACCAACAGGAATTGGATCTAGTAAAAAGGGTTAATCTCTTACAATGTAGGGAACTAAAATTCGAATTCCTACTAGAAGAGGTATCTATATTTAGTACCCGACAGTACTTCAAATAAGATTATCTTCAATAAGAAGATACCTATGAGCAGAAAAAGAAAAATCATTAACTTGCTTTGACATATAAGCCGCCATTAATTACCTTGGCTGACTCCTTAAATTTAATTGGTCTTGCTCAAATAATTCACACGCACTTGAGTCAACTTGAGTTGTGGAGCCATTATTAGCTAATTCTTTCCGTGTAACTTCATAAACTTCTCTGTTCATGTATGAGTTTATTGGAAGGATCATCTTTCTTTTATTTATTTTTTTTAGAATATTGATTGGAGTTGGATCTCAACCAAAAGTGAATCGGTCCTTTAATTATTTGGTATGATAGGCCCAAAAAATTAGTTTTCCCAAGGGAAAAGAAAATCAAATAAAGAATCAATCATCATTATTCAATCAGTTGAAAGAGCAGAGGTTCATATAATTTTTTTAAGTAGAAAATTTTGCATATTTGAAAGTAGACAGAAGGTTGATGTGATTTCAGTAAAATTCTAAGAAGGAATGAGAAATTCACTTTATGTTTATTCTTAGTTTTTCCAAAGAGTATGGTAGGTGAAGAACACAGAATGAATGAAACATTTCTTAACTCTTAAATTCTAACCCACTTCAAGATGGTGATAGTTAAGCTATTTGCCAAAAACAACCCAAAAACTCTTCGCCTAACTATACCTTCACCAACATTTTAACCAACTCAAGAATCTCATATTATTTATATCACAAAGTAACAAATTAATCAACAAAGCAAAACATATTTTCTTTTCTGTGGCATAAACATTTTTCCTTGTGAAATGGACAAAGAATGTAACCAGACTGTAGTTTCTGCCATAAAGGAAGGGTTATTGAGCATGGGAGGGTTAGGGTTAGTGATGATGACAGTGACGACATGGATAGTGATGCACAGATGGAGCCAGAGGAAGAAGAAAGGGCCAAAGACATGGCCAGTTCTGGGAGCTGCAATAGAACAACTGATGAACTATGAGAGGATGCATGATTGGCTTGTCACTTACTTGTCTCACTCTAAAACTGTGGTGGTTCCTATGCCTTTCACAACCTATACTTACATTGCTGATCCTGCCAATGTTGAACATGTCCTTAAGACCAACTTCAACAACTATCCTAAGGTATTATAATCTCCATTTGAACATAAAATATTATAATTTTGGTTTTGACTAAGTTACATATATTCAGATTATAATTTTGGACGATAATGGTTTTGATTTGAATGATGTGTGAAGGGGGAAGTGTACCATTCATATATGGAAGTGCTGCTTGGAGATGGCATATTCAATTCAGATGGTGAGCTTTGGAGGAAACAAAGGAAGACTGCCAGCTTGGAGTTTGCTTCCAAGAATTTAAGAGAGTTCAGTACCAAAGTTTTCAGAGACTACAGCCTCAAGCTCTCTTCCATTCTCTCCTCTGCTTCTTTCCTCGATCAACAAGTCGACATGCAGGTATATATAGTGGGCCCGGATTGTCTCCGGGTCAAATCATATATATATATATATATATATGGATCTGGAGAGAACAGAACCAAAACAACAAACTTACACTATAGATACTTCATATATGGAACCTAGCACAAAAAAGAAGTGATTATTGATGAAACTTGAGTTTTGACATTTTAGGAGTTACTGATGAGGATGACTTTAGACTCCATATGCAAGGTGGGATTTGGTGTTGAAATAGGAAGCCTGGCTCCCAATTTACCAGACAATCTTTTTGCTCAAGCCTTTGATGCTGCAAACATCATCGTCACACTTAGATTCATTGATCCGTTCTGGAAAATCAAGAAGTTCCTAAACATAGGCTCTGAAGCACAGCTTGACCGAAGCATTAAGATCATTGATGATTTCACTTACTCAGTCATTCGAAGAAGAAAGGCTGAGATAGAAGAAGCCAAGAACAATGGCCTGCATCATAAGGTGCTTGCTTACTAACAGCAAATTCAATTACAAATTTATCATATGTTTCTGAGTCTAACATCCATATTAATAGAGATTTTAGTATCATGTTCTGTTTCTACTTTGTCTTCATGTGTCTGGTTTCTGAAAATTGCAAAATAGATGCAATTTACAACTATAGAAATTAATTAATCATCACTTTCTTCGATCAAAACTCAGATTAAACACGATATTCTATCAAGGTTCATAGAATTGGGAGAGGGAACTGATGCAACAGAGAAGAATCTGAGAGATGTGGTGTTGAACTTTGTGATTGCTGGTCGAGACACAACAGCGACGACTCTGTCATGGGCCATATATATGACCATGACACATGATCATGTTGCTGAGAAGCTTTACTCAGAGCTCAAAACTTTTGAGGAGGATCAAGCAAAACTACGCAATGTTTCATTGCTTCATTGTGACACTGAAGATCCTGAATCATTCAACACAAGAATACACCAATTTTCTGAGCTATTGACAAAAGATTCATTAGAGAAGCTGCCTTATTTGCATGCAGTCATAACAGAAACACTTAGACTGTATCCAGCAGTTCCTCAGGTATGTTATTCTAAATTTCATTATAAGATATTTTAAGAAAAACCATAAAGATCTCAATCATGAAATTATATAGCCACGTTATTTTGTAGGACCCAAAGGGAGTATTGGAGGATGATGTGTTACCAGATGGAACAAGAATAAAAGCAGGAGGGATGGTGACTTATGTTCCATACTCAATGGGAAGGATGGAGTATAATTGGGGTACTGATGCTTCCTCCTTCAGACCTGAGAGGTGGTTCAAAGATGGTCTTCTAGTACATGAATCTCCTTTCAAATTCACTGCCTTTCAGGTTAGTTAATTTGATCAAAGATGAGTGAATTTGAATTTGGATTTGAATTAATGATGGGATAATATATATGCAGGCAGGGCCAAGGATATGTCTGGGGAAGGATTCAGCTTACTTGCAGATGAGAATGGCGCTTGCAATTCTGTGCAGATTTTACAGATTCCAATTGGTGGCTGGTCACACTGTCAAATATCGCATGATGACTATTCTTTCAATGGCTAATGGCTTGAAGCTTACTATACAAAGACGTCCTTAATAAATTCACAAGCTTGTATGAACCCAACCCAACATGGTTTAAGATGATTTATATTATACCCCTTGATTAAGCTTGAAATCTATTTAGAGTGGTAAAATTGATAAAACCTTTGTTCTTTCTTGTTAACAATAACATTATTGAGCTAAAAACTAATGCAGATATATTCTCTCCATGCAATGGGAAGGGCATTTGAAATTAACAGCAATCAGATCTTGCAGGAACATGGATGCCCATCAAGTTGAAGCCCAAAGGATGGATTCAAAAACAATAATTCACATGAATTAAAGAGGTTTTGCTAATCAAGTTGCAACCAACAAAAGCATCTGAGCCTCTGTTGAACAAAATCAAAAGCTACCAAACGCACATTTAAAATGGAGTTAATTAAGATGTTTTACCTTAATTTCAACATATGCACGCTTTGAAGAAGAACATGAACCTTCTGCTGACTATAGATTCCGGAAAGTCTATTTATATATAGAAAACACTATCGTTGCTTGGATTTAAAATGTAGTTGCTATTATGAATAAAGATCTTAAGTCCATCCATGCTTTTCACTCTTGATACTGTCAAAAGAGCATGAGGCCGAAATATTATATAGGCGTGTGTGCGCATTACACATACATATATAGGACAGACATATCACCATAAGAGTTAACCCTTGTGTTAATAAAATTTTGGACAAACCATGATAATGCGAAGGTAAAGTTGTAGCCAGACGTAGAAAATCTTTTTTCAGGTTCTCCTATACTACCTTCCATAGAAAGCCCTGCCTATATAGAGCCCTATAGTAGCATGAAACTACGCTCTTATAATTGAAATAGATGACTATGAAGAGAACCTATCACACTCTATGTTGTACTCTATAACCAGAAAGTATGGGAATTTTGAACGGAGAATAATATAGTATTTGATTAGGAAGCAAGTCCATTTTCAAATTTGAAAAACGATGAGATGGGAGAGAATAAACCATCTTCATCAAGCTACCAAACTGCAGTCTCAAGCTTGTACCGTTCATCATCATAGCTAGGCTTATGCAGATTTAGAGAAGACATGCATTGCAAAGCCATAATTCGAATTAGTCGGTTATTCAAATACTTGATAATAGGATCACGAAAAAGAGTTTGAAACCATGTGGCCCTAAAGGTTATTAAAAAAAAAAAAGATTTAGGGAAGATATTGATGACGAAAGACCTTAGAAGAGATAAGGTATCTGAAACATTTGACAGGGTTTTACATTGACAGTTCTGATTGGATGCAAGTAATTTACTTATTGGACAGAGTTTTATGTGTTGACAGTTAGATCTGATACAAGTATATTTACTTTTTATTTTTACCAACAAGTATATTTACTTATTTGAAATATCAATGCTTTGTAGATTTAATAGGAATCAAATGAAAAGTTTATATTGTTTTTTTTCCCTCTATATATTTGTAGCTATCTCTAAAAATGATACTAATAATAAAATGGATGTTAAATTATAATTGTTCAACAAATCAACTATTTTTGTTCGATGTAAAACACTTGGATTTCAATTGTTACCATCCTTATCTCATAATAACAATCTATTGTTATTTCATTTTAGATTATCTTTGTAACAATTCAAAATTAATCTTCGAATCAATATATACCGATTTAAAAAATATGCAAATGATGTCATTTTAAGCATTTATTCTACAAAGCATTGCAAAAGTTGTAGTCAATATTCTTTTTCGAATTCTATTTTATTTATAATAATTGGGTAAGTTTTGTGAAGTTGATGAAGTAAGAGACTTTTCATAATCTCGCTAAATCATATCTGGGAGTTCAATAATTATAGGACTTGAGATAATTTTAACGTATAGTACCAGATTTTAGAACTCTTTGAATTATTCCAAAATATTGCTTATTATATTTATACGATAAGTTTGATATTATTTTATTTGAATTTGCTATACACTATAAAATACAAATATATATATATCTCTCTCTCTCAAGATGACAGTTCATCACACTGTTAAAATCAATTATTCGTGCAGTTGTGGAGTTCCATAGCCCTTCGATGTCGTCCATGAGGTCGTCATTGCATTTTCCAGGTGAGTTAATTACTTCACAAAAACTCAAATATATATTGATTTTTCTGTCGTCCTTCTGAAATTTCATTTTCTGTTTAATGTAGGTATGATTTCTAAAGCATTTATGGCTTGATTCTAATATATTGTTGGTTTTGTCTGCGGTTTGAACTGTCATTTCTTCTTCTTCCTCTTCTTTTTGTCCCTTTTGCCAACGTTTGAACTCTCATTTCTGGAAGTTTTTTGCTTGCCTTTATCTTCTTGCTCCTTTAAACATGAAATTTTTTCAAGAAAATTTTGTACAAGTATTTAGCACATTAACCACATATATCGAAGAGCACAAGAACAAGAAGAGCCCCATAGAAGCAAATCCCATCAGAGTTTTATAAAAGATTAATAGAAAGATTATTTTTGCAATTTTTATTGTTTCAAATAAGCTTTTTGAAGTCATATATATCAAACATCCATATTACAAGTTCAAAAAGAATAAAAATTAGAAGTTGAGATCTACATATTAGAGTAAAATACTATATATATAATTAATACCAATTAATATTAGTTAATAAATATAAATAAATTATTTAAAATAATAAAATAATTATAAGTTCTTTAGAGAATGGTTATTCAAGACAAAAACGTGTAGAGGAATTCCTTTCTTAAAAAATTGGTATTTGCAATATCTATCATATTTTTATTGCTATGATAAGATGATAACAAAGGTTTTAAAAATTATTTTTATCAAGACATAAATATTTAAAAAAATTTATTAAATTTTATTCTGAATATCAAGTATGGCTTTAAAAAAAAATGTATATCCCAGTACAGGGATAGTGGAAGAATGCAAAAATCTGTATTTCTTTTCTGAACTCCAAGTTTGTTTGTTCAATTTATCTTATACTGGATGGTGTCCCTCTTTTCTTTTCCTTTCTTGATTTTATTTTTTCAATGCTCTCTATATTATTTATTTGATGGGTGAGTACGTACCAAATCCTCTTTTTTTTTCTTTTATCGTTTTGAACATTCTCCAATGATATTAACTTTTTGTTTTTCACTTAATTATGGCCATCAAATCACATATGTCACAAATAACTAATTTGAATAAAATGTTTAATATTTTAAAATTAGTTATCTACTTTTTTAGTTTTATTTATTAGGCAGGGAGAAGAAAATTTTATTGGTCTTATTAAGTCACATCATTAAATTTTTATTATAAATGTACTATTTTGTCTTTTATCATTATAGTATGCTCTCCCTAGTGCTATATATAAGCTTCAAAACATTCTCTTTTATCATTTTTCTCATTTATTTTAGGGAAAATTACACTCAGGTCCCACAGAACACAATTAATATAAAAAAGGTCCCTTGAAATCGCGAAATGATTCTGAAGTCCCCAGAGACCTGTGTGTAATTAATTCTAATTGTGAAATTACCTACTTACCCCTGTTAATTTTATTGCAGCAATTCGTTTACAATCTCAACAGTGGCTGTTAACAACCCGAGAAGACGTGATTGACAACCTCGGCAGTGCTCATGACAACTCACTCTATGGAATGCCAGGGGCGTTGTTGAGGTTGTTAACCACCTATTCTCGGGTTGTTAACAGCCACTGTTGAGGTTGTAAATAGGTTCTAATTTTATTGCAGCAATTCGTTTACAATCTCAACAGTGACTGTTGAAGACGTGATTGACAACCTCGGCAGTACTCATGACAACTCATTCTGTGGAATACCAGGGGCGTTGTTGAGGTTGTTAACCACCTCTTCTCGGGTTGTTAACAGCCACTGTTGAGATTGTAAATAAGTTCAAATTAACAGGGGTAACTACGTAATTTCACAATTAGAATTAATTACACACAGGTCCCTGGGGACTTCAGAATCATTTCGGGATTTCGAGGGACCTTTTTTATATTAATTGTGCTCTGTGGAACCTGAGTGTAATTTTCCCTTTATTTTAAGGACATATTTGGAAACAAAGTTATATTTCTAACTTATTTATTATTTTAAACTAATTTTAACTAATTGCTCATTATCTGTAAATTAGTTATTTGATCCTCATAATAAGGATCGAATAGTGCATATTGTTATTTGCAAAGTTGAAAAGTGATTATATTTTGATTTAGAGTTAATACAGTTTAAGATTTTTCATGATCTGTGTAAAATATGTTGAAAATACTTTATAAATAGAATAAGTACAGGGGGTAGTATTATTTATTTGATGGGTGATTGCGTACCAAGTCATTTTTATTATTTTTGCCAACAAGTCTTTATCATCAATAATGAAAATCCAGAATCTTAAAATATTTGAACCAAAATATTCAACATTCGCCATAAGAACAAAAAATCCCATGAAAACGTATAGCCATAAACAAGGGGGAAAAAATTAAAAAGTTGCTGCAAATACATAGGAGAGAACTCTAACTATTATACATTTAATTAATCCCAAAATATATATATAGGTAAACGTTCACTATTGGTCTAGCTTCCTTTCTGCAAAACAAGCGATCCCAGGTGCAAATGTAGAGGGTCCAGGTGCCTTATTTTCGCGGTTGATGTGGAGGCCGTCAAATGGGATATCACCAAGGAAGTCAAGATTAGCCTCATTCACATCAGGTTCGGCAATCAATTGATGGAACTGATCATCAGGATTACCTCCGAATTCATCATCAGGATCCCTAGCAAGTATTGCTTCTGGCTTGATGGTTCCATCACCTCTAGTACCAGTAACTTGACAAGAACCTGAAGCCAAGTTCTGATCAAACTGTTGCTGTTGCATATTGTTTCCATGGGAAGAACCTGAAGCAAGGTTTTGAACAAGCTGCATATTGCCTCCATGGGAAGATCTTGAAGCTAGGGTTTGATCAAATTGTTGCATATTGCCTCCATGAGGAGAACCTGATGAACCTAGGTTTTGATCTATCTGTTGCATGCCAGAAACCTGGTTTTGAGTTATCT